CTAACTAACTAACCACCCAGCTATATACTCAACTACTCAACTTTTTGAATTCAACAATTATTACGTCTAGTAATCACAGCTATTAAGCGCGTCAAGATAGCTGAGATTAAGAAAGAGCTATTTAGCAATGTAGACGACAGCGGCATTGAGCCTGAGGGTCTTATGCCACTAAGTTAGGCGCCTGAGGGCTTTGAGCTTAAGGAGTAGCAGGAGCTTACTAAGGTATTTAACACAGCTATTAATAACAGCTTATGCTAACATCTGTAGAATTAGGAATCTGAGGAGCAAGAGATCCGCTACATCCTCTCGCTACGCGGTCAAGGCGATAGTCCTAAGAAGGGACGGCCTACCAACTTCAAGCAGCCCTACAAAGGCAACCTTAGTACTACTTATCGAGCTATCGCGCAACGCAATCGCGCTGCTACTCAAGACAATGAGGCTAAGGCATTAGTCGCGGCACGCAATGCAGACTAGGGTGCAAGACACAACCTCAAAAAGAAGCTTAACAAGGATAAGGGCTATAATAATCTAGATAAGAGAGATTAGAAGAAGATAATAGAACAGAGGTGGGAAAAGGTCGCTGAGAAGAGATTCGAGAACTACAGTAGTAGTAAGTTATCACAGCTATTTATTACATCTCTGTACTAATCTGTATAGCTGAATAGCTAGAGGCTTAGTTGCAAGTCGCTTATACGAAGTGGGAGAACGCCTACTATAAAGCAGATCTTCGACGCTATTAGTCTAAGGTTGAGGCTGCTCTAGAGGCTAACGATCCTAAAGAGGATAAGATGCCGCGCGTACACTAACGTATACATAGTTAATATAGAGTTCTAGATGTTATTTAGCGGAAAGCCTATTTTAAAGGTTAAGAACAGCTTAAGAACAACAGCTTTAATAGCAAGAAGCAGAAAGAGCGATATTAAGAATAGGTAGATAGACTGAAGCCTGAAGAGTTAGCGATATACATAGACAAGGATTAGGAGTAAGTTTATTACAGCTAATTATAACATGTACATGCTAACAAAGACTAGGCAGCTAGAACTGCCACCTATTGAGCTAGAGAGCGATTATCTAATTATAGATGATAGTAAGCCCTATATTCTAGCTGCAGACGATAATAATTGTGAGGAGGAGTTAGATGAAGATACTAATATTAAGGAGTATTTTGCTTCTTTGCTAAATAAGTATAAGACACACGAGGAGTAGGTGAAGAAGGCTAAGGAAGAGGATAATAAGAAGACTGATTTTGAGGGGTTTTTAGATTTAGATAAGTAGGTCTCTTACATTCTAAAACGATTAGCCTTGCTCTAGTAGGATAAGCAAACATTAGCGTTTATTACAGCTAATTATAACAGCTAGACAAATCTAATAAGCTTGCTTTTTATATTAATAACGCTTAGACTACTGTATGTATTAGCCACTAAAGATCTAACAACTAATTATACTTATTACTATAGTATCTAGTTTCTCGTTAACTCTACGCTACTTATGTAGCTAGTAACCTAAGACGTTAGTACAACGCTACAGATCTTTGAATCTAGAGATTATAGAACAGGTTGTGAAATACATACTTTTAGACATAGCGAAATCGACCTAATAGCTGTTATCACAGCCTATTATCCTAATTACACTCTTATAGCTCAACTATCTATAGAGCCGCCCTTATCTCTCTATTATCTCAAAACAAGCAGGTTGCAGATTGTTAGAGGGGGGAATAATTAACTTGTTGAGCTGCTTAGCTGCCCGCTACTACATAAACGATTACTTACAGAGGGAGACGCTGAGGGAGAGCGTCTTTTTAACATATAGATAGCCTAGTAGAGCGATACAACCTAGGCTAAGAATCTAGATAGTGCGCTGCTACGCTAGAACTCTCTAGGGCGTAGTAGTCCTATATAGAAGCAAGTTAGAGAAGCTGCTAATATAATAACTAGTTAGCCTTACGTTCTCTGCAGAAACTGTAGGGCTGTTCTAGCTTATCTAATTCTAACTAGTATTAGAACTAAACATCTACTTAACTACTAGAAAACTAATTTATGTAGGCAAACTACGTCGCCTGTTTACAGGGGTTAACTAACAACGTTTGCCCCCTTTTCCCGCTAACAACAGATCGCAACACATATTACAATCTCAGACTACACCTAGACTAGGTTCGATAAGGAGCTTGTCTATGTTGTAATCGCTAACAACTAGTCTTTCCGAACAGTAGAGCGACTATTGTTCTAACAGTTTATTAAGTTCCTCTAGCTTAATACTGTAATAAATAGCTGTTATAAATTCTAGAATGCCTTCGAGACCTAAGTTAAAGAAGCTAGTGCAGCGCTTCTACAGGACCTTAGCCTAGCAACTAAGATCTTAGTCGCATTAGATGCATAGTCTGCATCTAATTATCTAAGCTTTCTTGGAATTAAGGTGTACTATATTAATAGTACCTAGCAGCTTCAAGAGAGACTGCTTGATTTTATCCTAATGCGAGGTCAACACACTAGAGTATCTATAGCAGAACACCTACTCTCTATATTAACAACAAGAGATCTCCGTTATCGCCTTTTAGCTATTACAGCTAATAATGCAAGTAACAACAGTACTCTTTGCTGTACTGTTCAATTATATCTTGCTTAAGACAATATTTGTTGGAGCGCCCTAGAAAACTCAATACCTTGTCTAGCCCACGTTATTAACCTAGTTGTACAAGAGATCCTCTAACACCTTAATCTAGCGAACCCTGTTGAAACAGCGTCTAGAGAACTACTACAGAGAGATTAGATACGTTAGATTGTTACAACTATATCAGTACCAAACTCTCTTCGGAAGGTCTGCGTAGTTTATCACGTACTGTTATCACAGCTAATGTTACGACTAGATCCGAGCTATCTGTATCGCAATCAACGCATCACCACAGCGATTTGAACGCTTTCTCGCTATACAACCTCCTAAGGGTCGACTAGCAGTCTTTCGGGATGTAAAGACTTGATAGAACTCAACACACGACATGTGCGAACGCGCAATAAAACTACAAAAGTATATTGATAAATGGCTAGTAAAAGAGATAGCATTGAAGAGAGGCGTCTGTACAGCTACTGCTTCTAATAGCACTAGTTCTATAGAGCTAGACTATCGTGATCTCCAGCGACTTCAGCTTTTATTAAACGAGTGGAAACACCTAGAGGTAATTACAGAAATGCTAGGACAATTTAAGAAAGCTACTAGCGCTTTGAGCGAGATCTAGAAGCCACAGATCTAGCACGTCTGGCTTATGTACAATATGCTGTTTGACTATATTGAAACAATGTTAAGTGGGTTAGATGACGATACTGAGCGTCAACTAACTGAATGGCCTTCTGTAGTAGAAGCTGCAGTTCAAGAAGGCAAGAAGAAACTCAGTAAATACTATGCTAGAACTAGCGAGGACCGAGGGTTGTTATACAATTGCGGCGTAATTCTGGACCTAACTACGAAATTAACGATATACGAGGTACTATTATCACAGATATTTATAACAGTTAGTAGCTAATTGCACTGTTAGGGAGAGGGCTGGGGAGCAGATGACAGGTACATCTATCGACAACAGTTTCTCGAGTACCTAGGTCGATATGACGCTGGGCAAGGGGTAACATCAGGCGTTAGCTCTACGCCTACTGCAAGAACGTCTACAGTCAATGAATGGTTTCGGAAGCCTGCACCTGTAGCACAGTCACCTTATGCTAGCTTTTCAACCCCAAGTCAAAGCTCTTTTATACTAGAAGCAGACGACGACAGCGAGGGCGGCCTAACTCGCTAAGAGGGAGACGCTTATCTCAGCACTCCTCCTATTCGGAGAGGGGAGCAATTTGATATCCTAGAGTGGTGGCAACAGCATGAAGATGTCTACCCTCATCTATCTCAAGTTGCTAAGGATATCTTAGCTATCCCAATTGCTGGAGTAGGGGTTGAGCGAGTCTTCAATATCGCTAGAGACGTCATTGCTGATCGCAGGCATCAACTTGCTGCACAAACAATCCAGCAGATTATAGTACTTAAGGATTCTATTTCTCAGAAAGAGAACGTGCGCAGTGTATCTGAAGCACAACTTTCTAAACCCCTATGCGATGAGATAGATGATCTACTTGAGCTAGAAGCTCTTCTAGAAAACTAGCTACAGGATACCTGTTATGTAGAAGAAGTGGAGGAGGAGGAAAGTGAGCTTTCTGATCTAGAATCTCCACTCCAATTACGAAGGTCACAGCGGCTAAGAAAACGGGTTAGGCTATAGGTAGACGTAGCTGTTATAATAAACTGTGATAATCGCACATCGCCACTTCCTCTAGTCAATACTGTCAAAATCTTAACTATCAACTCCTAACCCGTTTTTATGTAGCTAACCCCAACCCAACCCCTGACCCAACCCTATACCCACGCTTTGACCACCCTAACCCAACCTATACCCACGCTAAAGAAACCCTAACCCAACCCCAACCCATTTATAGCGTGAAAAATCTGGGTTGTGGTACAGGTTGGGTTGGGGTCTGACAAATCAGACCCAACCCCAACCCACGGTCCGTGCGACCCCAACCCAACCTATACCCAAAGTTGGGTATACTATACCCATTTACCAGTCTATCTGCATCTAGCGAGCCGCCTATCCTGATCATGTGCCGCACTCCAGCTGAATGGCACGAATGACCGAACCTCGAATCGTTGCCAGAGTAGACCTTCGTCCATATGAAAGAGGGAAGGGAGAGGACGTAGACGTCGTCGTACATAATGGCCTGGACCGGGTCGTATCCGCCGTAGATGTAACTAAGAACCATTCAGCGTAACCCGAGAACTAATAGAGAGATTGAATGTACATATTGCTACTAGAGTTATCTTTGGCGTAGCTGATCGATGGCATAGTGCAAAAGTCGATTCTAGGAGGGGGTATCTCTCCCGTCGTGGACTGATTATACCATCTCACGTCAGTCTCGTGGAACGTATCACACAAAGCCACGGTAGCGAAGTCGACCTACTTTAGTTAGCACTCAGGCAACAAAAATCCTAGATCCTTGGATTACCAAGACTCCGTTGCTGAACGTGTCGATCCTTTGTCCTGCGCTGCGCATACCGCCCATTGCCACGAGCGTGCCGTTCCCAGACTTGCCGATTCGGCTACCCCATACCAAGCCACCAGCTATTCGGGGAGCACCAAGCGAATCAGTTCCCACATTCCTCGCAACCTGAGTAGTCATATTGATGATATTCAACCCTGGAAGATAAGTGATGTGATCGGCCGTCTCATTCTGCAACGTGCCGTTTATGTATTCTGTCACCGTGTACGCCGCAATCGACGAGCCTTTGTCGACCATGCCGTTCAGATAGAATGCAAGACCGAGTCGCCAGGCCTCAGCATTAGCTCCCCAGTTCGGGCGCCGGGGAACCGCATATGTCAAGTCGTACCGGGCCCATGACATGGACTCAGTATCATAAGACCACAATGAGTAGTCATCTGATGCTGGTAGTTTCCAAATCTGCATCGCTCTCGTTGGCAAGAAACGTAGATCCTCCGAAAGTAAATAAACGAAGATTGTCAACAAGGCTGCGATAAAGGGCACCTCTGACCATGTTTGGCGGGTTGGCGTTCATAGCGGAGTTGCCGAATCTTCCTACTCTCTTCTCGGTGAAGTTCGTTGTCGCATCCCATGACGCGCTCATATCGATCTCGAAGATATATTTGCCTGTAGTGCTGATGAGGTCTGTGTATCTTCAAAATGGTTAAGACTTACTGAACCCAAGCCAAGTGGAACCATTTTTGCGCGAGAGCTGCACTCCGCCGTCGACAAATATAGAGTCGTTTCTCAGCATCGCTAAGTGACCAGTTCAGCAAGGGATGGGGCAAAACTCCAAAGATGACCGGCTAACCAGAGTGATGCCACCTCGTACATCTGTCTCGAACGATATCAATCCCGTCATCCTGGGTCAAACCCAAAGCGGCCGTCAACAACACCAAAAAGGTGATAAGATGGATCGCTTGCCAATTTGAACACATCATGTCGGTTGGATATGGTTTTCGGAGGAGTAGTGTTGCCTTTTATCAAAACGGTCAATTGGAGTCGACCAGTCGCTTACATAGCTGCTGCGACACGCAGGTATGCTTTGATAGCGCTATGAATTACGTATCGTGCTCTAGATGCTGGTTTGTGGGATACATTCATACGGCCACGGGAGGTTCTCGCTAATCATGACCGTATGTGGTACCGGTCTGAGGTGTGCCCCGGCGCGAGGTAGAATCCAGCGATGTCTTCCCGTGATGATGCGCCAAATCTTACACTCCACTATCAGCCAAGCCGAGTTCCGTTGCTGGAAGTTGTAATTCTGTGCACGACTAATGTATCATGATCGGTATATGTCGCGCAAGTGTCATACGATATGTAAGCAAGATTTGCGTGGTTGGTCAATGGATCTCAGCCTTGCTCCTCTGTAGATTTTCAGTATTGGGCTAGCTATCTACCAGGGGTATTCTCTTGAGCTAGCCAGTACGTCTCTCTTTGGGGACATCGTCGACACTATCGTGCTCTTGCAAAAGGTCAAGATTTGTCAGAGATCCAACTGAGTCTATCGCAAAGGCACGGTAAGGATTGGATGTCACAAGCTTATCATGCGTTTGATGAGAACGATGCGAATGTGAAGTGAGGTAAAATCCAGAAGAAAAGAGCACAGTCGCTCCGCTATCTGCATCTAATTCAGGCTGGATCTGGGGTGGACTTGGCGGCTTCGCCATGTGACTACGATGTGTTGTCAACCATATATGCTCTCTCCTTGGCCTTGCATCATTCACACAATGATACCAATCAGGGCAGAACTAGTCTTTACCTAGGACCAGCCTATGCTTCTGTCATGAAGAGCTTCCAAGAGCGCTCAAGACCTCAGTGGATCGACTGGTCCAATTCGTCGGCTGAGTCTTCGGTTTCGGGCTCGAACATGGGCTTTTGGCTTCTTCTTTCCTCGATGAGCACATCGATCTCAGGACCAAGTTTTTGGAACCATTCTCGCAGCGTCTTTTCCATCTTCTGATGTCCAACAAACTAGATTTACCGTCTATCATCACGTCAAGTCACGGGGTGTACCCGGCGTTTCACAAGCAAGGCAATGCTGATGTAGGTGGTCCTATGTTTGATCTGAATGTTCTTCCTAATATATATTTAGTTTGCATTATCGATCTATTTAGTAATCCTACATGCTTGACATCCCTCTTCACGAGTTCAAACGTTCAAACCACCCCACCGAGGCACCTCGGCGCCGAGGTGTTGAAGAGATCCGTGAAGGCTGTACTAACAATCAGGGTACCCCTTAGGGACTGCACTTAGATCTCTACGGACAGCATTCACTCGGTTGTGGCGCCTAGTGGTGATTGTAGCTCAGAGCTTACACTTTTCAAATTTTAATACTGACTGCCCACGGTAGCGGGTTCCCCGCGGGTAGGAAAGGGACATGTTAAGCTGCTCGCCCACCAATGAGTAATTGACGGTTCTCGGCTCTGCTCTACAATTGAGCTAGACAAGACTAGTAACCCCCGCATCTTGAATCTGGGGGATCGACGTAGGGTGCACAATAAGCGTCTGTGCTGTTGGCCTTTAAAGTTTGTAGTCAGATTTTTGGTAAATATCAAGGTCGGTCGATCAAAATGCCGAGGTACTAGACAGAGAAGCAAATTGACCGCGTTACAATCAGATCAGCTTCACATCTTAGAGTTACTATTCCCGATTTGCATTCTCGATCAGGTAGACACGACTAGGTTAATTGAATTCAGGAGGGCATCACTCGGCTAAATTCATTCTTACCTAGCTAATTAGAGTTTGAAAGCTTGTCTGCTGGACTGAACATCTAAATCTAGAAGCTTGTTGCTAGACAAGCTTTCACATGCTACCTTCGCGAGCGCCTGGTCAGTATGCTCAATGTAAAGCTTTGGATTACATAAATAGATGAGCTTGGTCCTCTGTATCAGACATCCCAACCAGCGGCGCTTCCAAGGTTTCGCGCATCTTCCTGCATCATGTTTTTCTCATTACTGAACCTTCTCATCTGCAGCCAAGTTGCCTTGGGCAGCATCCATCGCCGGGTAGCGCCTATTCCTCCAGCTCAGGATCCTTTCTATCAACCACCAGCGGGTTACGAAAATGCCGTGCCGGGGGCCATCCTTAGGTCCAGGCCTGCCCCAGCTAAACTTCAAGCGCTCAGCCTTGTTTCGGTGAACATCAAACAAGTCACCCAACTCCTGTACCGTACGACGAATGCTCTGGGACAGCCAAAGGTCACTGTCAGCACTGTCATGGTACCAGAGAATGCCAGCTACGACAAGGTCATCTCATAACAAGTGGCAAAAGACAGCGGAGGCCAAATCAATTGCGCTCCGTCGTACACCCTTCAAACTGGCTCTCAATCTATCTACGCTGGCACTGGAGATGTCGAGATGCTCCTCATTCTTGGAGCTTTGAACGAGGGATGGATCGTGAGCAGTCCGAACTGGGAAGGTCCTAACTCGACTTTCATTGAAGGTTTTCAGGCTGGCCAATCTACTCTCGATTCTGTCCGTGCAGTGCTTTCGTCAGGCAAGATCACAGGTGTAAAGAGTGATGCCAAGGCCCAGATGTGGGGCTACAGCGGTGGTGGGCTAGCCTCAGAATGGGCTATGGAACTGCTGTCGTCTTACGCTCCTGAACTTAAATTCGTCGGAGCTGCGATCGGAGGAGTGACCCCAAGCGTGCAGAACGTGTACGGGACTATCAACCATGGCCCTTTCGCCGGAATCGCCGCTGCCGCCCTCCTAGGCATGGCCAATGCATTCAAGGATTTTCAGACGGCGTTAACGAACCAGTTGATTCCGGCAAAGACAGCGGAGTTTTACCAAGCGGGACAGAATTGCTTCTACAGTGATGTAGTGCTTTTCGCCGGACAGAACATCTCTTCATACTTCTACAATGGTGACAATATCGTCCTCGAGCCAACTCTTGCCAAATACTTTCGCTCGAACGCACAAATGGGTCGTCACGGCGTTCCATCGATGCCGCTATTCGTCTACAAGGCGGTGGCCGATGATATCTCTCCTATCGCCGATACAGATGCGTTGGTGGACCATTTCTGCGGCGACGGTGTCTCAATCACCTACGTTAGGGATGTGGCGAGTGAGCATTCCACGCAAGCCGCCACTAGCTTTCCAGATGTTATCAACTTCCTTGGCGCGAGGTTTGCTGGAACTCCTATTGCTGGTTGCTCGATTCGAAACGAGTTTCTAGATGCATTGGACGCAGGCGGGCCTTCGTATTTTGGCAGCATTATCGTCACCGAACTTTTGAATCTACTAGGTAAACCAGTTGGTCCAGGTAATGTTTAGAGTTACTATGCTATTACGCTGTTGCAGCAACTACTGTACGTTCCTTGAACCGCGCTAGCTTGCAACAATAGCTTAGTCTAAGACTCTGTACTGCGACTTTCTCAATGAAAGGTACTATATCACAAAGAGCAGCCATAGTGCCGATCGAATCCGGGCTCGTGAAGTTCCAAGGTCTGACGTATAGGAAAATACTGATTGCATGCGTCAATGAGGCTGTTTGTGGAAGTCGAAGGCTTTCGTCGTCGTTCCAGGCTTGGTCGAGTTCGTCAGTTGCTAGCCCTATGCGCCATACTCAGCTATGTAGGGTGGTATCTAGGTGGGTCAACATGTTTAATCGATTCTGGAGGGCCGATCCATACACATGCAATCATGTTGCGGTGGTATTGAACACGCCTGCATAAGTTAATCCAACGATGGACCCCTACGCAATAAGCAATGGTTGGGTACGAGACTTGGATACCTACCAACAGCATTGCTATTCGTCGTAGATAAAACTCTTTCCGTGAAGCTGAGACGGATGATGAATGCGGAGAGTATGCTGGCATATCATCATGGTCCATGAATGGCAGATGCAGTTCGTTACGTGGCTTTGCGAAGACGCATCGAACGGTATGCAAGCGACGCCCCCGGATGTTGAGAATACGCGTCGGATTCGAGGTTGATCAACTCCAACCGGACGTGCAATCCGTAACAATGGTCCTGGAAGGAATGGACTTGTCTGGATCTGTTGCAGTCTATTGATTTTTGAGTCCGTGCAGCATTTTTATTCGTGCTTGTGCACTGAAGCTCCCGCGTTTGCCACCATAGTCATCGCCAGCCTTACTCTTGTCCTCATTATCACCCTTGTAAATTTGCATGGCCCGAGCAAGTGGATGCAAAAATCGTACTAGACAACCGACAAATACTAACAGGCGTACTGAACAGGCCTTTCCTAGTTTATTTTGTAATTGGTTCTACGCTAAACTCAAGCTTATGTTGCGGTATAACCACCATCGACAAGAATATCTGTTCCCGTCATGTATGAGGAAGCGTCCGACGCAAGCAAAAGATATACTCCCTTGAGCTCTACTGTTTTCCCGAAGCGTCTAAGGGGGTTAGCCGTCGTTTCTATTCTCAGACTTTGTGTGTAGGATCATTTACCCCATAGGCACTTTGTCCATGATCGCGCTCATGACATCATCTGCGATCGGTCCGGCTATAGTAGTTTCTATGAACCCAGGAGATACAGTGTTCACACGAGCGAAGTTTAGCCATTCAATCGCGAGTGATTTGCCTGAACAATGTTAACATAGTCGGACTCGGTAGGAACACTGACAAGTGTCTCTGGATTGCTTACACATATGAATGACGGCGGCCTTAGATGCATTGTACGTTGCTTGATGTCGAGGAATGTTGACGATGTGGCCAGACATGCTCGCTGTTGCAATAAAGCTGCCGGTTTCAAAATTTTCGAGCTCAGTCCCATGCAATGTAGTTCCCTCTTGCTTCTGTCTGCGGAAGTGACTCCCAGCAACATGGGCGCAGTAGACAAATCCATTGGTGTTGATGTCCATGACTTCAAGGTATCTCGCAATGTTCGAGTCGATAAACGACTCATCCCCCCAGGAAACGCCAGAATTTGCCACGAAGATGTCAAGGCGCCCATTGAGTTCTTTGATAGCGTTTTCCATCGCCACCTTCACTTCGTCGTATGAGGTGACGTCGACTTTATATGCTTTGCCTGTTGAGCCATGGGTCAGCACGACTTCTTGATTATGTCGTTCAATAAATGATGCATCAAGGAGGCTTTAGATTTGGTCACACGTACACTTGACCTTGAAGACTTTTTCGATGTTGTCGGCCTCTTCAATAGCCATGCTGTTGCTGTTGTACCAAATCGCCACATTTGCACCCGCTTCCGCAAAAGTCTTGGCTACTGTTAAGCCAATCCCCTGACCTGCGCCAGATATAATTGCGGTTTTACCAGCCAAGGAAAACAACTGCATAGCCGGGCTGTCCGCTGGGGGTTTTGTGTTGTTGCGTTGAAACACTCCGTTCTTGATGCCTTCAGACATTTCTCTAGACATGTTATGTTTCAGAATAGCGATTGCTAAGATCTAAGGGCACAGCGAAGCTTCTCAGATATCAACTAGGCAGTTAGCACCCACCGGGTATAAATACAGGCAAGGAATAGGTGCGGACCGGACCACTAGGTGCACTGCTACAATCTTGCTAGTGCTTGTGATTCATGATCGTCCGTGGGGCTGAATCGATCTGATGTATGTACCCAGCGGATAGCAAGATAGGCAGATTTTCGGTGGGGCTAAATTGCACCGTAGTACCGCTAATATCCGCAAGCGTGCAATTATGCGAGCGCCTAGTAAGACATGGAGCTACACGAGTACTATAGTAGATTACAGTAGTATTGTTTATGTTACGGTAGTACTGTTTGTGTTACAGTAGTATTACCTCTGTACATCGCGCTGTAGTATCGTAGAAATATGTCTATGCGCGTGATGCTCACTCTTGAAACATAGTAATACAGAGCTGCGTTCTAACATCTACAGTATTAGAACATCGTAATGATCTATGTTTTATAACATATCTGACAGTCCTCGCAGCTGAGGAGTCGTAGATGCTGATATCGATAGTCTGTTCTATATCGTACATGACAGCTCTACAAGCGGCTAAAGTTCGCCCGAACTCTTTGCGCAGATGATCGGAGTTTCGGAACAAAGGCTCTGAATGGGTTGCCAAAGGTCAAGCGTACATTTGACTTGCCGATACGTTGTGGCTGATGCGGAGATGCCGTCGTCGATGCTGAACGCTGAACCGGAGTCACGACACGAGAGAAGATCAATAGCTCGATGGCCAGCTGCCACAAATGGTGGTACTCCTTAGAGATGTATGGCGCATCGCGATGGGGTATGTAGTGTTGAAATCGTAGCTGTGGTTCCGGCGGCCGTCGTTGTTACGCCAACGCCATGTTTGGGTAGTGCGCGCGGCAATCTTTCCGAATTCCGACCGCGCAGCCTCAGCGAGCTGTATCTCAGTACTGTGTATACTAGCACCACGAAACGCACCGCGACGCATTGATACGACCGATACGCTTTTCTCAACTGTATATACTTTCCGACTTATCACGAAACGACGTCATTGGCTCCCACGTACGCCTCGTTCCTCGTACACCGCCTGCCACGACCCTCCCGTCCTGTCGACGCACATGCCGTAGCCGCTGTCACACAACACCCTCAGCAAAATGCTCGGCTTTCGACCACTATCCGTGGGCAAGCGGAAAGCCAAGTCGTACAACCAGGCGCCGACAGCCGACCGCGATGTCGAAGACGGCGACCTCAACGAGAAAGGCTACGCCAGCGATGACTACGAGGCCTACATGTCCTCGGGCACACCAAGTCCGTCCTCGTCCCGCCATTCCTCAGGCGCATACGATACAAATCCCAATAACATCGAATCGAGACCGCTTCGCCGATCCTCCAAATCTCACCGGAGAGCCCCTTCCAAAGCTACCGTGAGTGCATACAGCTACCGGAATCCACGGGCATGTACACGATATTTTGGGCTGGCGGTGGCGAGCACGCTGTTGTTCTTCATGTACTTTTTGTTCAGCAGCAGTTGGGCCTCGATACGCAATGCGGAGCTGGGGCTGAACAAGCCGCCGCCGCCGCCCAACGTATGGGAGAGCTTTCCCTTCCTGAAGCGATATCACGGCGGCATACGGTCGCTTGTCAGCCGGGACAAGAATGTACCGGAATACCCAACAAAGCAGGACATCGACCCCGAGCTGCCGGCGGAGGAGCAGCCCAAGGAAGCTGTCAAAGAGCGGAGATCGCAGGGTGCACACATTGCCGACTCGATACCTTTTGACCCATACCCGGACTACAGCGGTATAAACTACGTAGACAAGTACGGCCCGGTCGAGACGTGCTACCTCGATGCGAACGATACCATCAAGGTTCCTGGATTGAGGGCATACAAAGGCGTACCACAGGGTATGCCGGACAACGTCATCGGAAGCTATGAGACATTAGGCCTAAGGAACGACGTCTGCTTTGAGCGCTTCGGACGACTCGGTCCGTATGGGCTAGGCTACAGCAAGAGGCGCGGTGGGACAGGCGCGGGCATGGAAGGTGATCGCGAAGGCATCGAGGATGTCTGGAAGGTTGACGCTGAGGTTGACTTCCGCGAGGTCAACTGGACGGAAGCGCTCGGCAGGTGCTTGGAGAAGAACAAGGGCCGGTTCGAGAAACAACCCAAAATGGGGACTGATACATTCAAGATGCAGAAGCGAGATACGGTAAACGATGCCGAAGCCGAAGCCAACAGCACAGTCCACGTTCTACCAAAGGCAGCCCACAATACGCTTCTTCCACGGACCGCCGTGCTCATTCGCACATGGTGGGACTACGAATACGACGACGAAGACATCATGTACCTCCGCGCTCTCATCTCCGAACTCAGCCTTGCATCCGGCGGTGAATACGAAGTCCACTTCCTTATCCATGTAAAGGACGACAACAAGCAGATCTGGGCCGACGAAGACGTCTACGCCGAGGTCCTCAAGAACGCGCTGCCCGCCGAGTTCGCCGGCATGGGCACGCTGTGGTCAGAACGCCAGATGGGCCTGATTTACGGCGGAGTGGAAGAGTCCAACTATCGCGGACTGCCTGTCCATGGTGCCTACCGCTCTACATTCATGCCCGTGACGTACTTTGCGCACCAACACCCCGAGTTCGACTTCTTCTGGCACTGGGAGATGGACGTGCGCTACACCGGTCACTACTACCACCTCTTCGAACAAGTCTCCAAATGGACAACTGCCCAACCCCGCAAAGGCCTCTGGGAACGCAATGCACGTTTCTACGTCCCCTCTGTGCACGATTCCTGGGAAGACTTCAAGCAAATGGTCCGTGTGCAAACCGAACACGGCACCAACAGCCAAGCCAACAGATGGTCCTCTCATCTCCCGCCCAACCCCCACGTCCCCGGGCCAGAGATGCAGAAGCCTGAGAAGCACATCTGGGGCCCGGAGCCTCCTCAAGACTACCCGGACATCGAGATTGACGAAAACGTCAAGCCCAACACCACACTCGCAGAAGACAAGTACGAATGGGGTGTCGGCGAACCCGCTGACCTCATCGTCTTCAACCCACTCTTCGACCCCGATCAGACGAATTGGATCCTGGCTGATGATGTCACGGGATACGACAAGAAGAACGGGCTTCCACCGCGTCGTACCGCCATCAACACGTCCGGTCGCCTCTCCCGGCGCCTGCTGGAGACGATGCACCGCGAACAATCCCGCTTCCGACACACCATGTTCAGCGAAATGTGGCCCGCATCGTGCGCCCTACACCACGGTCTCAAAGCCGTATACGCGCCTCACCCCGTCTTCATCGACCGGAAATGGCCGACGCAGTACCTCGCTGCCATATTCAACAACGGACGTAATGGCGCGAGCGGCGGGGCGCGCATGTCCGTCTTCTCTGACGAGAGACAGCACAATTTTTTGGGTACCACGTGGTACTATCATGCGGGCTTTGCGCCGAATCTCTGGAAGAGGTGGTTGGGCTACAAGGTGGATAATGATGGTGGAGAGGAGTTTGAGGTCCAGGGTGAAGGGCGCATGTGCTTGCCGGGCGTCCTGTTGCATCCAGTTAAGCAGGTGGATTTGGTGCAGGAGAAAGAGCCGATTGATGAGAAGGTGGAGTGAAAACTGGTTGCGCGTGGTAGCGCGGCGTTGGCATTCATTGCAAAGGCGTCTGGGGTTTTTTGTCGCACGCTTGCTTGGTAGCGTAGGATTCTTGTTTTGTTGTATATGATTGGAGATGAATCCTGACAGTCACGCTGCATATGGGTATATGAACGACTGGGCTATCTTTATTTTTCCACTTAGCCTTGCTTTTGTACTTGTATCAAGACCGTAACGTTTCTTGCCCATGTTTTCAGTCATCATGCAGCCTTTTTTCCATCTCGTTCAATCCTGCCATCTCCCTTACACACTTAATAGCTCCTCGGCAAGCTCAACACCTTCTCCCCAATATAGTTCAGAATCATCTCCCGACTCACAGGCGCTATCCGAGGGACAAAGCATTCGCGGAGGTACCGCTCAACATCATACTCCTGCGCATACCCCATACCGCCATGCGCCAACACCGCTCTTTCACACGCTGTAAATGCCGCTTCGGCCGCGAGGTACTTTGCGCTATTGGCCGCTACACCAATGGCATCTTGCCGGATGGAATCGTCTGTCTTGCTAGCATCGTACAACCGCGCTGCATGGTAGGTAGCAAGTTTTGCAGCTTCGAGCTGCATGTACGCGTCGGCGAGGGGATGAGCAATACCCTGATTCATACCGATAGGGCGCTGGAAGACGTTGCGTTCGCGTGCATACGTAGCAGCGCGTGTGAGAGCAGCGTAACCGAGTCCCAGGGCTTCGCCGGCTAGCAAGCACCGTTCTGCGTTCATACCGTGTAGGATGATCTTAAAGCCCTGGCCTTCTTTTCCGACGAGACAGTCGGCGGGGATGTGGTAGTTGTCGAAGAAGACTTCGTTTGCGTCGACGGCGCGGCCGCCCATTTTCTTGATGCGCCGCATGTCTAGGCCGGGGGCGGAGCGATCGAGTGGTATGCAAAACATGCTCAGTGCCTGACTTGGCTTCTCTGCTTCTTCCCGTGGTGTCGTTCGCGCGAGCAGTATCATTCTCTTTGCAACTTGCGCACACGTGATCCATATTTTCTGCCCTGTGATCTTGTACCCCTTCCCATCGGCATCTTTCCTCGCAAATGTGCTCAGTCTCAGCGTATCGAGTCCAGAGTTTGGTTCCGTGACTCCAAAACACGTCCTGTACTCTCCAGAGATGATCTTCGGTATCGTCTCCCTCAATTGCTCTTCGCTCCCAAACTTGGCGAGAGGCTGCGTCGCATACACATTTGCGTGGATGGCCTGAGCCCCTGCTATTCCGGCTCCGGATTCTGCAATTGTTTGCAGCATCATTGTTGCTTCTGAGATTCCTAGACCAGAGCCGCCGTAGGCTTCTGGCAAGGCGATGCCTAGCCAGCCGTCCTTCGCGAGCGCGGCGTGGAAGTCTGATGGGTCGGTGCTGGTGTCATCACGGTCGCGCCAGTAGCTATTTGGGAAGTTTGAACATAGCGCGAATATGGCGTCGCGGACTTCAAGTTGGGTGGAAGTGAAGCCTGTTGTTTCCATGATGCGTTGACGTGGTGTGGTGCTGAACCGGCATCTTTGGGAGCGCAATTGGAAAAGGGAGGCATGGCAGGTTAGCTGTGATGCGCGCAGGACGCGCTGTGTTACTGCAAATGACATATTTCTAGATAGAGATTACATTGGTGCTGTTATTGAGCTCATATGTTATTGCATGACGTTTGTTGGCGAGACATTGTGTAGCCGACTTGGGTTGTTGCCGCTTAAGTGGGGTCAGGGTCTTAAAGCCGAGGTGAACCTGCATGGTGCGCTTTTCTAAACACCGTTGCTCCTTCTTCCTCAAACAGCAGATCTTCCTCCAGCGAAGAAAGTCCATACCAGTCCATCTTGCCACGCACATCCCATTCATGTCCGCGCAGTCGACTGGTGTAACCGTTCCGTCTGATCTGTAGCCTCGAAAACACCTCGCATCGATCGGCACGATCTCCATATGTCATTCTGGAAAGATGAAGCGTGAGCCACTGTAGCGCATCTTGCCGCGATCCCGAGATGACTTTGGCAATATGCATGGCCGCGGCCACAGAGCGCTTCTCGTCAAGCGGTGGAGTTTCGGCGGCTCCCATTAGGCCAGGTATCAGTTGGTCGCAGTAGTCTGTTGCCTTGCTAGGGATGTGGAGGTAGAGATCGAGCTTCGTGAGCTTCATGCTCGAAAGAACTTCAAGATCCTTTTCATCAATCTGGAAAGTATGGTCAGCGCATATATGCATGGTCAAGTGGTTGGAACCTGCATTGGTATCGCATTCAGCGTGCCATCCCAGTCGCTCAAGGTTTGGAAACGTAGAAGCAATCGTCTCGAGTAGGCTCAAGCCCATGTACTTGAAGCCATTGTAATGCCCAAACGTGGGCCCAAGGATAAGTGTCTTTAGTGAATTCCGATGCTTTTCAATCGCAGGCCAAAGATCATCAATGCAATATTGTGAATGAGACACGTCAAGATGCTCAAGCGCATCAAGTGACTCAAGAAACATCCTTGCTGGCTGTTGAGTACCCTCGCGCCCTAGCAATCCAAAACTCAACGTCTTGAGCTTTGGAAAACGTCCCGCAGAATTCTGAAAGAAATTTATGGGGTTGTCAATTCCAAAGTCAAGTTTGCGCAGACGCGAACAGTCAATTGCATCGAGAAACATGCGGCAATAATCGTCGTCCCATAGGTAGATCGAGTCTCCATAGAGCTTTGGGTGTTCAATCGTAAGCTCTTCAAGTCGAAGTAAACGCAAACCGGACGTGAGATCGAGGCGCGGCAACTTTCTCGGTTCAGTATCAGGTACGATCTTTGGCCCATCATAGCCATCGAAGTCTTGTCTGATCTGTAGCCGAAGAGATCGTACATTGCCGCCGGCCGCCAAAGCCTGAGAAAGCCGGGGCCAGTCAGAGCGCCAGGGCACGCCAACATGGGAGGCCTCGGTATAAACCACGTACGTGAGGTCGGTAAGCAGAGGGGACGATAGGAGTCTCATATCTATCTGTCGATGAGAACTATTCTCCGCGTTCTGTCGGTCCACGGTAACAACACGGAGCTCGAGCTGCGGCCAAGTCGCGTGGATCATGTCGTATACTGCACGGGACATGTGTGCAGAAGTCTTCCAACTAGGACAGTTAGCTTCATGATAATTAATCCGTTTGGGTTATATACTTCAGCGATTGGAAATCTCCGTGCTGCGCAACTTTGCTGAGCATCATAATTAAGTCGTCCGACGGCACGTCGTTTGTGACTGCGATGCTGCGAACGTGCTTGGCTATATGCCCGTGTTCATCTTCGCGGAAACTCTCCACAAGCGCTTGGTATCTCTTTTCTTCCTCGCTCTTCTTCAGTCCTCTAGTCAAAGTGACATTTCTGTATATGAATGGCAATGCTGCATCGCGTAATGTGACTGATGAATGTGCCACGTTCAACACGTCCGTGGGAGATATTCCCGCAACTTCAGTTATGATGAGGTGATGGATGTCTCCGGGGATGACATTTAAATCGACCGCCTGACCCGTGATGCCACCTGACAAAGCTGGAGGCGTGGCTTTTGCGATGCAAGTACCGGGGGTGAACATGGTTTTCGTAATGCGACAGTGGCAGAAATGCGTGGTCAGGATGCTGTGGTGATGTTTAGTGTGCCCACGAATATGATGCTTCTTTATACGTTCAACTCTTTCAGGCAGCGATAGGAAGCAGGCGCAGCACGACGCGGTGCCAACATGGATCGAAGAGCAAGACCGGAAAGTGACCGCCACACGAAGTCTGCAAAGCCATCGCACCGTTCGCAGCAAGACTTCTACCGCAGTGTTTGACAGTCTCCCAAAGGAGTTTACTCGCCCTTCAATGAGGCTTTCCGAGCCAGCAATAAGCTGAACATGGGAAATTCAGGTGCAGAGCTCCAGTCCGACAGTGGTGAATATAGAGGCGTAATTTCAAAGTTCTATTGGGACCCCGGGGCAATAATCAGCCTCAGGCTGCATTTACCAGTTCCTTTAAGGCGGCAGGAGCTTCACCGCCACGACTGCGCCACAACCTTCGCATTGCTCGATCAGAGGGAAATCCTTGCGCACACGGATGTACTCAACGGCGATACGCATACCCGTAAGACACTCATTTAACAGTACAAGGTACCGTGGTATCTACTAGGTCTAATTCAGCGGTTGTGTTGTGCTAAAAAGCGGGCGTCGCGTTTGGTGGGGATGCGCCTACAGTATCCGTGCACTCAATGCCCGCTGTCGGTTAATGCCCGCCACCCCAGCACATACTAAGTAGTGCCAAAGTAAGACGAATCTTGAAGGGACTCGAATAAAGCTCTACTTGAGGTATACATACGGAACTATACGTGACCTGAGCCTGGCCCGATGCATTGTTTTCACGCCAATTCATTCGGAACCCTCCCATTGAGAATGACTTCCTCGCTTCCACCACTTCCCTCACTACACCTCCTAGCACTTTCATTTTCGCTCTTCGCATCGCTCTTCATCGTGATCTCATGCTTGACTCTGATATCGTGCTTCCCGTGCACCGGAGGCGGCAGCATGAAATCGTCCCGCAGCCTCAACGTGTCGCCAAGTTCCACCTCGACACCCGCATTCTTGACACTACTCTTCCCGTACTTCCCGAAGACTGAACTGTTTCCATTCCCAGAGCGCGTGAGGCTCTTGGTAAAAGATGTAAACGCGGGCACGAGTCGTACGACGAGCGGCTTCATAGCCGGTACGCATGCGCAGACGATGGAGAGGTTCTGTTCGATGCTGGCCCAATAGATAGGTGGGGCGGCGTAGTAGAGGGGATCTTTGGGATGGCGGAAGAAGACGAAGAGCGATTGGATGCGCAAGGCGGAGATGATGCACACACTGGCGGAGTATCAGTACGAGAGTAGGTGTTGTGTATTGGAATTGATGTAAAGAAAATAAGAGCCGTACATCCAGCCTACACAAAGGAGGCATACGAGTGCGATTTTCTGGCGGCGCACGAGTTGGAGACGCCAGATTGCCGGAACGGGGAGCAGGGCGACCATCAAATCGGTGATCATATTCAAGAAGCTGTGGGCGAAGCGAGCTCTGCGATTCGTTACTCATTGTTTAGAGTCAGGATCTCAGTTACAGAACATACGCGTTATCATTGATGCATCTTGACGTCGGCTTTAGCGTCAGATCCCAGAACGCCTCAACTGGTATGCAAGAGAATGCAAAGGTGAAGAATGCTGAAGTAGCCGCTCCAACGCAAAGGGCCATGACAATGTAGATGGGAAGCTTGCTGTCCGCGACGGCGAAAATACGCTTGTATTGCTGACAGATCGACACTTTGGTGAAGAGGGATCCTGCTGCGTAGGCGAGGATGCTAAAGTAGAGATACTGCACTGGTCAGGATGTTGTGGTGAAGATTGTACAGCGTATTGGACTTACTTTCAAGCTTTCGATGATTTTAGGCAAAGGGACGAGCACTGTGTGCTTGCCAGCGCCTGCCTGCACCTGCTCGATTTGAGAGACGCCCGCGAGGATACTAAAGACCTGACGCACGCTTTAGTAACCTGTGGATTGTTTTCGCATCGCCGATGAGCCTTACCATTGATATGCCAATGAAGTAGTCCTCCCAACCGACGATTTTAGTGAGCTTGATCCGCGTAAAGAAGCGCAGGGCCACACTTATGAGGGCTAGGAAGGTGAACGAATAGACAAGTGCAAGAGTCTTGGGTCCGAGATTATCCTGTGCTAATGCGGCGACCACTTGCGGGGGTAGCTGAGGTCTTTCATCCATGTTGACATAAATGCGCAGATGAGGTTGCACGTAGTGGTGACTAGGATTCTGTGGGTCTTGAGCCCTTATAGTTCAGGCCCAATAGAGATCTTGCAAAAATATGGTCCAATTGCGTACATCAAAGCGAGAGTTTATCTCGGATGAATCAAAGACTAGAATCAGCAAGCCGCTGGCGTATTATAACTAGTGCAACAACAAACAGGGCGGTACCCCTATGATTAGCAGAGATCGCATTGTCCCACCAATCTCGACATGCTACTTCTCAATTGACAGCGGCCTGCTGAGTCCGCGCATTGATAATGGCATAGTGCCCAAGGCTCAGATGCCTCGCACTAGAAGTTCTCTTCGTACAGGATTTCGCTTGCTGATTTCAATGAAGTGCTCATCGTAGATTAGTGTCTAGCTTGGCAGTCTGTGGTGTCCTAACTTTCAGCTGGACGAACCTGAGGCAGCTAGGCCAATAATGCGGCGAAACCCTGAATACTGCATATTTGTACTACGGCTATCAATGAGCTCACCACAGCCACCTAGCGCAAACATGTTATAAAGCATAAGCCCAACGTACCACCAAATACACGAGTCTAAGCCAGGATTGTGGGCATCTAGGATACTAGGTCGGTTCTCTGGGCTAGTGGGGTGTAGTGCAATCGGACAACCATGGCAGAGTTTCGCCATTGGTTCATGAAGGATGACCACGACGAGGCAGCGTAGCTGCCGTACACGAATGAGAGACGATAAAAAAGCGGGGCCTCGCTACCCTGCCACCACAAATAGCTCAAGACAATAATTAGCTAGGAGTTGAAGCAAGCTACAAACAAAAGGTTTAACAAATTGCTAGATGTACTCTCTAGCAGCAATTTACAATATCTTTAATAGGCATTAGCCAGTGGGTCGGCCGCCCATTGGGAAGTTGGGTCACGACCAAGGTCGTGATCCTCGCCATTGGTTGAGCTTTGATGATGCAAGCGGGACCTAAGCGATGCGCATGTGATGAGCCGCTTCCGCACGCCACTACTTCGATGTAAGGGGCCGGTTCCCGTACCGGCCCAATGGTCGCACCGGATGCCATTCAGAAAGCCAGGCGGACGCAAATCTTGGAAGGGCGAGGAGATCTTAGCACCCAATCTCTATGCATATCTCTTATCATTATCAAATCCGTTAGCACTACGGAGTACTCTTTGTAGTAGTCCTGAGCTGTTGTAGCGCCTCTGTCCAGCGTTTCTAATACCTGTCTGGGTGCCAAGCAAACGTGAACTACTATCGCAGTCTCGTGTATTGGACGCAACCGTGTTAGAGTACGGATTAGCTAAGAGAGAGGCAAAGTAGCTTTGTGGCAGACGTCATCGGCATATGTAGCGTCTTTACTGTGCTATCAAGGCCGAGATGGAAGATGGAGCACAGGGCCTGACTTGACATTCCCTGAGCATAACGTAAACCCCGGATGGCAGGCTTGGCAGAGAGCCGACGCGGAGTGGGTGTCGCGTTGGTGGGGATGCGCCTAGCGCGTTTTTGTCCTTAGGCATCGCCACCTCCTCGAGCTACTGCATCATCCATCCATCTCCACCATTTGCTCCTTCCACACCCCTCAATGCTCCTCTTCATCGCCAGCACATCGACGAAAATTGATTCTCTCCTTTGTATTCATGTCTTTGATTCACAACGTCCCCGTAGGAAGATTGCAGCCGGGAGAAGAACACAACCACCATTGCGATAACCTTACTGGCATCTCGGACGAGGCATCGAGTCTGCACAATGAGCACATATTTGAGCCAAGAGACCTGTCAAAGTTATGTGCCTGCTAACATTCACTTTGAATAGGAGGAGTACCCAAACCTGCCGCGAATCACCTAAACGTCAGTCGACACATAAACGCGATGGCTGGCTATTTGCTCACAACCTTAACGATTGCATGGCCTAGTAAATAGTGCACGCAATGTCGGATCCCACTCTTCCAACGACGCGCTTTAAGATCACCGAAAGAACGGAAAGCTCTCATCGCACAAGCCGACTCGATGCTCGGGGGCTGTGTCGCTCTCGCCTCAAGCATGATCAAGGCGCCGTCGATTGGATCTAACGATACTAGCGTTGCTGGCGGCTGAAATAGTGCTTGAATGGTCCGCTTCACATCCGCCCAGCACACTTGGTTCGCGCACGAACCACCATCGTAGGAAACCAAAGGGCTTGTCGACGAAGGCCTGTGCGCTAATCCTTGCCCCCATCATCCGGAAACACGGAAATGCAGACACGAGTTTTCGTAGGCTCACTCGACCAGCTGATTCAAGGTAATGATTTGTGTGAGTATCAGTTAACAAGTTATATCTGCGACTCCTTCTCTCTCCCCCTTTCCAACTCGGCAACCAAGTATTTGCGGATCGAGCTGTTCGCCCACTAACCAGACGACTGAAGATCAACTCTCTAATAAGTGAGTCAAAACCATTAGGTGGAACTGTTTCATCCGGTCCTCGACTAGTCTTACCGTGTTCAGGGCGCGAACTCGGATCTTGCTCGCAATGACGGACCAAGATGGTATAGGGCACAGATGCTAAAGATGCAACCAACAGTGAACCCTCCCAGCAGACTCACGCCTCTATTGATTCCCAGATTGACATACAATGGTTGTGAACAGTGAACGATGGCGGCAGCAAGTACTGACCGAGCGACGGTATTACCAGCGAAGACAGATGCTACGTACTTGGGATAGCTCAGGGGAAAGTAGAGGAAAATGGGTTGCATGATCATGAATATGCCGCCACTCATGATAGCGATTCCAACAATGGATACGATCCAGTGGATATCGGAAGTTGCTGTCCAAGCGAAGAGGAACAGTCCTATTGGAAGCAAGAACGATGCGAAGAGAGCAGGAATGAGGCGGCGTTCTGGGGGCCCAATGTTCCAGGTCCGTACGGCAGGCTCCCATGTAATGCGTATCCAGATTAGGTACATCACCAGCCCTACAGTGATCCCGACGGCGATGGACAGGTAGACGAGACCTTGCGCTCCGAGCGACATTCCAAATATTCTTTCGTAGACCATTGGAAAGCACTCGAAGAAAGAATAGTAGATGTCGTATATAAGGGCAACGTAAAGTGCGGTGAATCCAATAGATAGATTGAGGATCATGGTTTGAATTGGCCGCCAGAGTGCTTCGGTGACAACTTCCCGGGTATGGCGCTTGGATTGATCAATCTCGCCCTGGCTTCTGAAACAAGATTGGCCGGTTTGTTCGCGCAGTCGTTGAGTACGTTGAAGGAGAATGTTGGAAGGCGATGCCTTTAGAACCAGGAAGAAGAAGGCTATGAACAGCGGACCACTGAGCCACAGCAACTCCCAGGTGGACCGTCGCCAACCAGTCGCCGGCACGCTGTAGCCAGAAAGCAGAGGACCAACTGCGGGACCGCTTGTAGCAACGACAGCCCAAGTCGATAGTGCGTATGAAAGCTTGCCGAAGGCATACATGTCACCCAACGTCCCCGGACCAGTAGCGAGGCAAGGACTTCGAAAGAATCCTAGGAGAAATTGTAGGAAGACCAAGCCTGGGAAGTTGTTCACCAGGGCCGTAGGGATGAGGAGAACAATGAATATGGCAAAAGTGAAGATGTACAACGAGTTTCGACCAAGGGATGGGATCTCGGAGAGTGGTGACCAGAGCAGAGGTCCGATTCCGTAGGCCAGGACATACATGGAGAGCGTGAGAGAAACGACTTATTGAGAAACGTCGAACTGACGCATTATGCCGGTGTAACTCCCAGTGATGATCGAGGAGCCAAGGTAGACCGCGAAGGTGTAAGCATCGATGATCAGCGTCGGCACCAGTTTCTGACCAGTCGTCCAATTCTGTGGATTTGCAGAGTCGTCAGGACCATACCAGTGGACAACTATGGAACCATCTTCTAACATCTTGGGCTCGAACATGTCGTCTTGCTGTGTCTTCTCGTCGACTTCCGCAGGCCCACCGTCATCTGGCAGAGTGGAATCCGAAGGGCGATTGGAACAAGTGTTGTTGTCTCTCTCGCTTTTCGAAGTGATAGATCAGGGCTCGTCTTTTGAGCGTAGCTCAGCTGCTTCAAGAAGCTTGACGTAGGATTCTTGCAGCTGAAAATCATCCTGCTCTTCTGCGAATTGCAGTACTCGATTGCGTGTCATCAGACGGACAAGTCTACCAACGCTGGTATCTCGAATGAATTGAGACATCTTCCAGTGATAATGGTAGGATTCGATTGTTGTGAACACGTGGAAATGTAGTTGAGAGCTGGATGGACAGGAGTGCAAAGAGGTTAAATACACCAGAAACAACGAGGATAGCGAAGTTAGGGGATGTAGCCGAACCTTCATTGAGTTCAGTGTCGCTTTTTTTGTCCTCAAACTCCGTTACTGCCGAACACCAAGCGCGATCCTGGAGTGGCGATAGCATAATCACCGCACCAGAGTCGACGCCGCATTGCGCGGCTAGGCCTAATCTGTCGACTAAGATGAAGGCACACATGTAGGCCGGCTTTATCAGAACGGATAACGTCTCAAAGAAAGCAGAGAGGCTGTAGGACTTGAACGAACATCGAATCTATGCAGAAATATATCAAAACGTAGTCAAGACTGTGGGAATAGCACGAAAAGGTGGAGGCATATTGGGAAACAGTAGGGCACTTCCGCTAACCATCCGTGCCATCTTTGATTCTATTCTTCAGCCTGCCAGATTTTGGGACTGATACGCAAAGTAACACTTGATTAACGACAGATCTGATCGCGAAATTTGATTTGTAAGAGTGTCGTCCGAACTGAAAAGAGGGTGTGGTCAAGCCCAGTCAAAGATGGAAAAGCGCCACCAGTCCACAGTCATCAAGGTTGATGTCTATCCTCATTTCAGCCGCAAGCAAAGCACTTCCTCATCTTAATGTTTAGCGCGCTGAAGGATGCACTACGGCACTTGTTGAATCGATTTCGGGGTAGGTTTATCTCTACACACTGCATGGTCATCCCAGCGCGGTCCCAGACAACCGGGTTTACGAACATCGAATATAATATCGTAATCAAGTACCGCACGGTGACACGGGCCCATATTTTCGGAAGTTCCTGTATCTTGAGAAGAGTATTGAGTGAGAATATATTACGTTGTACTAGAGGTCTATATGTATGCTCCCGTCTGAGTTCAACCGCAGTGTCAGTCTCGCTGTCACACTAACAGATACCGGTCAGCCCTTTACATAAGCATGGGCAGGTCTTCCGCATGGCGCACGACTAGCTTGTCGTTGAGCTGTTGTAAGACAAGATATATTGACAGATATCCATAGTAGCAGGGTCTCACTTCGACTTGCTGTACTCAAAGCCATTTCATGTGCGGACATGTTTTCAGACTTCTGTCGACATCTCGGTGTGGATTGAACATGCCCAAATCACCTCCAGAGCACTTTATCGTGGTTTACCACCATTTGAAGTAGTCTCGAGCCAAGAATTCATCCCGTGCCATGTGCTTCCTAAATCGATCAAGTTGCTCCCTGATCAGGCAGTCGAGATTCCTGATCATACGAGACAGTTGCTGTGAATTACGGCCTTCATGCGCAGCCTGATGCTCGTGACCCACAAGTATGCTTTCTATGATCGGTAGGACACTCAGATCGTTCCATAACAATCCTTGTTCCGTTAGGCAAGTCACTGGCGTGTGCCATACCTGTACCAGTCGTAGCCCAGGGGGAACAAACAGGACATCGTTCTCTTTCAAAACAACCAAGCGTTGCCTCCCTAGCGGTAGCCAATCATCCTCTCTATTCGCCAAACCCGCAAAGTCGCTTGGATCCACTGCTTCCTCTGGCACAAAGACCCAGAGTTGTATACCGGATAAGTTACGCTGCCAGCTACCTGCTGCAGTATTGACATACGCACCAGAAAATGAGCCGGGAAAAGAAATGGTGTTAGAGTTGACAGACATAGTCATGCCTAATGGCGGTGACGCTAAGTTGAAGCGGGTGTCGTGAAGACCTGCGGTAACACTCTCCAAGAGTCGAAAACGAGTAAGCATCGTAAAGAAAGGACGATGGCAACTAGCCACACTGCGCGAGGTTGACATCCAGAACCCATTTGTATCTTTAGGATGCGAACGCAAATAGGCGGCAAATTGTCCAAGGGCTTCGCACATGGGCTCTTCGATGTTGATACAGCGAACTTCTGCTTGTTCCTCAGAGTTGAAAGCATCTTCGAGCAATGATAAGAAGCGTTCATAGTTGTGCATGCCAGCATCAGAGAATAATTCCTTGATGACCACAGGCTTCTGGAAAACCTCTCCAGATCGTGCTGCTTCAAGCATATCATATACAGAACAATAGAGAATATCGCAATCAACTTTTGAAGCGGCACTACCAAGTAGCATACCCCTGGGTTGAGAGATTGACCATATCCTTGCTAACCTGATATCTTGCGTGAGCCATTGCGATCGCGCTCGCCGCTTTGCGTAGCCTGGTACCGCTTCATCACTCAGTTGCTGGATATAATTCCACAACATCTGGCCGTATCTGTTGTGCAGACCATTTTCAATTGTGATCCCCCTCTTCGGTGGACTAAGAGGTATATTCATCTCGGAAGGGGGGTTTGTAGATCCAGCCGTGGTTGGTGTCTCTCTTGCAGTTCTCGTCACACTGGTAACACTCTGCTCTTGTGACCGCCTCCCGTTGATCCCCTAAATTCCTCGACCCAGATCAGACGTTTTGTCGTTCTCTGCATGGTCTCGATGAGACAAATCTAAGCTGATGATGTTCTCAGGGGTCGGCCATTCTTCTACATCCAACGCCAGGCCAATAGTATCATCGCTGAGAAAAGTTATAGTAGAAACACCATCTGGGTGATGATCTAAAGGTTTATTTTGGTCATTGAGCGCAAAGTTATCGAAAACTTCGTCCGTCCCTGATGACGTGAAGGTGTATTTGAGAAGTCGGACTGTTGGTGAACGACTGTCTGGATGTCTTGGCAATCTCCTCTGGTAACCAGCATGCCATAACGGTCGCGGCGCAGGAGGTATTGGTGAACGTGGTATGGTCTCAAATCTTTGAGAAGACGGCCATTCAGATCGACAGGTGCCGTTCCATCGAAGCTAGTCACCCATAGTTCCTCGATCCCTGGATCAGGGATGACACCGCCTGCTATCATGATATTCAAATCCCTATGGTATTGCACTGGGGCTTCATTGAGGTTCTTCAGACGACCGGAGATGATGGCCTGGCAATTTCTGTCGAGTAGGACACGATTGAGGTACGGGCGAAACTGCCTACTGAAGTTTGGGTATTGCAGAGCGCAAGTCTTCAAAAGTCGCAGACAACCTTGAGCGGCAGTATTCCAACCATAATAATGAACCACGGCAGGCGACCACAACGCGCAGACTACAGCCAGATTGCGCAGACGATGAACCTCATTGTACCCGCGCTTTCGTTTTCCGAGACTACCGTCTTCCTCCTGAGCACTGGAATCAATCGAATCTGCCAGGGTGAATAGCCCCTCCCATCTCGGAGCGAGATATCGTTCCGTCTCATTGATCTGAGGACATGAAACAGTAATGACAGTCTTCAAGGTTGCTATGCATGTATTGACCCGTTCATGTTGGGCGAGTAGTTGGTCGCAAAGACCGAGGTAGAATGTTGAATTCGCGTTAGTACTCCACGCATCGTAGAGCCGTTGCACCAGTGACTGCGTTTCATCGTCGAGCTCTGCCATCATCATGATGTATGTGTTGCTTGTTGTAGACCGGAGATATCAAGAAGATCTCGTACGCGATAGTCAAGCATTCGTTGCCGTACTTGCAAGGTTCACAGTTGTGCGGAAGTCGTATAATGCACGGTGCGCGATTCGAAAGTAGCTCGTGTGTTCTGCGTCACGGCAGTACCTAGATTGCACGCTATATTGTCAACGATGTATAAATGTGCATCGTGTTCGCTGTTTCGGTTGGCCTCGGTATCTGAATTTCGAGCGACGCAAAATGAGCCTGTAGGCCTGAATACGTGAAAAGCTCGACGAAAGTTGTAATCGATGGGAGTTGATGCATCATGCTTGATCTCACGCCGACAAGTGTTGCCCCACCCTCATTCCAGACGTCGCTTACGGCGCCACAAGGGTAGTCTCTGCGGCACGGGCCAGGCAAGGTTGCCTTAAGTCCGGGTAAAGTTTGCTCACTTTATCCCGACTCTATTGCAGTAAGCTGACATTTCAAAACTACATCTTGAAGCGAGAGAGAAAGGATCCCAAGGAGTGTAGAAGTCGGATTTGGTTTCAACCATAGCGTAAGTCGCTAAATAGTCCCCGACTAGACGTGCGAGCTGGAGGCCTTCCTATATGTACCTAAGTTATAGAATGAACTCAACCCAGGTGGACGACAAATTGTATCCACTTATCTCATGATTCTAACTGTGGCGACCTTTGCTTTACTTCCTCGTCAGTTCATGTTGTAAGATCCATGCCACTACCCAAGGCCGACAAGAGGCAAACAGATCCATTCACTAACGGATACATCATGGCGATCTAGGGATCGAGCATCTTCCAGATATCAGTCGAAGTGACGAGCACGCGCTCTTCGATACATAAATGGGCAGGATTCTCAAACTGGCCTCCCTACGCTACCATACTAGCGATGGTAGACGTGACGAAGTCAGCTTCCATGAATGTTATGCTAGCAGCTGGTATGATGCTATTCTCTTGCTTACCACCTAAGAGATATATCTTGGTTAGAGTGCTTTGCTTGAGGTGACTGACTTTTGGATACGACAGTAATCAAGTACTGTCGCAGGCGTTATGGGTATTGGCGGAACTTTGTTCTGAACACTCACACATATCGACCATGGTTGATCTAGTCATCTCATTGAACTAAGAAACATCGAACTATCGCTCTACACTGCGTCGCTCTACGTGATATATCCCAAACACTGCACGACTCACCACTGACTGGAGTTTCACCACTCAAGCGCAAGTGCCAGCAGGGACAGCGCTGGGAGTACCAACGCAGGAGAACTTCTTGCCACCGGTCACGTTGACTGTATTCCAGGTCCAGCCGCTGCAGTTGGCGCACTCAATAGCAACATTAGTTCCGCTAGCGACAACACCGTTACCACCAATGATGTTCTCGATAGTAAGACCAGTAATGGGAACGCCGGTGCCAGGGGCAACGCCCTTGGGGAGATCACCACCGTTGTAGTTCTGCTCAATAAGGATACCATATCTAGCTAGCTATTAGGACAGACGGAGGAGCAGGAAGTAGTGCACATACTTGGTGATACCGCTGAGCGTGATGCCCTTGTAGGTAACCTTGTCAATGGATCCCTTACCATCAACAAACGACTTGACTCGAATACCATTGGAGGAGTTGTTGATCTTGTTGTTGAGGAATTGCACATTGCTGACTGTGTTAGAGGCAGTGCTAGATCCGTGGCCGACCGATCCGACAGACAAGCCGTGACCACCGTTGCACTGTCCGTTCTGGAAAGTAATGCCCTATACAATGGGTCAGCAATCAGACCTGATCTTCTAGTGTCCAGAACTTACGGTTCCAGAGTTGATGGCAACACAGTCATCCTGGTTGTCGACAATAGCGCCGTCGATAACAATGTTAGAGCTAGCACCAATGTCAAAGCCATCAGTGTTGTGAGGCATCTTGTTCGCAGGCAAGCTGTTTCCGCTCTTGTTGTCAATGGTCATCTTATTGACCTTAAGGCCATTGCAGCCGTTGATGCTAACAGCCTGCACGGGTGTGTCCAACAGATAGAGGTTGTTGATGGCTGAAGTGCCCAGCAAGTTGTGAGCAGCTAGGAACTTAGGCTTGGGTGTAGGACCGTTGCTGCCTAGGCCGTCCCAGTATTGAGCACCTTGACCGTCGAGGCGAGCGCCGGCCGCGCCAGTAACGATGATGTCGGTACCACCGATCTTGAGGAGGGAGTCATCGAAGCCAATCTGGGCGAGCCAAGTGTTGTGACCCTGGAAAGTGACCGTTGTGCCCTTAGTGAGCTTAGAGAGATCGAGCGACTGACCCTTAGGGACGGTGATTCCATTGAAAGTAATGGAGGAGCAGCCAGGCGCATCAGAGGCAACAGTAGTGGGGTTGATGGTACCCGTATATGAACAGACGGCACGCTTAGCCAGTATATTTGAAGAGGCGGCAGACATGTTGTCGGTGGTAGGAGCCGCTGAGGCGACAGCAGCCACAGCGGCGAACATTAATCCAGTGTGAAAGGCAGGCATCTTGGACGTGCAAGAGAATATTGTTATAAGTATCGGGAAACGAAAGTCGATATTTGAAGAGAGGATGAGCGGGATCTAGAGAGCTGTGTGGGGATGATCCTCTACAGGTCCTCTGTAGTAGCTCTTTATAGAAGTCCATGTCGCTTTTCGATTGCTCCGGCAGTAGTATAGCCTTCTCGTACCCTTCACTGCCGAAGTGCCCTACCTCTTCCAGCTTCAACTAGACTGATGACCATTCGAATCAGTTCATGTCGTTTAACTAAATCCAGTAGAACGTTAACCCATGCGAGCTGGTATATTACGAATTTAGGTTAGACTGGTATGATCGACTTGGTTGCCGTTAAGTCCGGCTTTAACGATACGATAGTCCTGCCGGTTGCTAAATTGCCAAGGTATTCTCCACCAATTGCAACTTTGGGACATAGTAGGTGTTCGTAACCATAATAGGCCCGACTGAACGTGTTGTAGTAGAATAGTTGGTGGAAATGAGGGGTCTACAAACATGTCGTTCCGTCTAGCTAAGCTAGGCAGTATCTGTGCACGCGCAGCGACCATGGTGTCGCAGTGGCGCAAATTCTGGGTCCGTGCATCTAATGCGCCGATTCGAGTGCCGTGAGTGCTTTCTAGTGTGTCGGCTGAGGAAGGTCGTTCCGGCACGTTGTAGACAGCGGCAGCGCGTCGTAAGGTTTACGTTCGTGATATCTGAAAGGGATTGGTGGATTCCCTCTTCTTTGGACTATAATTCGAGGCCGAGTGGCGGAGAGAGTAGTGTTCGACGTCGAAGGTGCTCTGCAATACCTTTAAGAGAAGGGGAGTTGTTGCGTGGGTGTATGGGTCGTACTATGAAACAGTCTGGCGACAACAGCTGTTGTATTAGTGTGCACAGCTCAAGTTCGTCTCTCGTTATGATGGTCGGCAAGCGCAGATCCTGGTCAGCTTGGCACGTTCGGGGCGAGGCCGCGTTGAGCGCACTGACAGATTGAACTAATGCAGGGCAGACACAGAGCCGCTAATAACGCTAACCATCCCAGCTAACATAGCAGCATAAGGACCGAAGATGCGGTTTCACCACTTTCCGAAAATTGCCGTCAGCACTGGAGGACGGTCTAGAAAGTGGTCGACTACGTGCCAAGCAGCGTAAGCTGTTCTAGAATATGTCCATAGCATACGTACCAAGGGATAGATCTTTCATTCAGCCGCATGATGTGAATATTCCGACGCCAAGCTTAAGAAGATTGTAATCATTGGCGCAGGGTCAACCGGAGTAAAAGTGGCAGAATCGCTTGGCAAGATGGCTGATGAATTCGTCCTCTTCGTGCGCCGTCTAAGTCACTGCTACGTCTTGGAAAGACGCTCGTTGACAGCACATAAACAATACGTGATGAAACGCTTCTATATATTCATGTTGAAAGCCGCCCGAGGTTTGCATGTCATCATCCCAGTCGTGGGTAATGAAGAGTCCCTAATGACGTGTCTCTAGAGAAAAGGTAATGACACTATTCTATACATGGATCAGGGAGGAGACTCTTGCAGAGTTATTTCTCACAAAAGCTTGTTCCGCAGTGATGAAGTAATCAAAATTACCTGCCAATATTAGAACACCAATGTCGCGGCACGTCTGACTGGTCCCGCGGAGTTCAAGATTATGGCACCGGCGCACAGCCGTAGTACTTTTACACGAAACGAATGCTCCATGAGTAGAACTATCACTGAGCTCTGAACAAGATCAAAATCCGCCCATGTCCGACAGGACAGAACATATACTCGACACTGTGGTATTAGTGACAGGCGTCGACTCAATGACCGGCTCAATTACCTGTGTAGGAGTGAAAAATGACCATAGAGTCGGCTTGAAGGCGGCTTGGGCCGACGGCATCATAATTCTAGGGTTTTCAAACATGTTTGCCCTGCGATTTCCTCGAGCTTCGGCACCATTCTCGACTTTCATACTTGATCTGTCTTATGCCGGTCACAGTGATGGTTGGATATCAGCTTCCCCATCTCTTTCTCCTTTTTGGATGGATATCATCGCTTGATCCTATGCTGTAACGCTGGCGAGAGCGTTTTGCGGGACCATCCTCGGGCCGTATGGTATCTTGAGGATGTTCAGGTCGATTGTCTTGTACAGGTTGTTCTAGCCAGGCCCGGGCCGACAACAAGTTGTTTTTATTCTGCTGCTCAAGCCGCTGCTCAAGCAACATGAGTTGCATCTGGTAGTCCTCTAACGTCAAGGTTTGGTGGTAAGTAAGTAAGGTTTGGTGGACTATCCGTTGCGGTTGAAGTAGTGCAGGGTTTACGGGATCCTGCAAACCCATTCCCATACCGCCTTTTTGGTGAGCTAGCCTGGTCTGCTGATGCCGCTTTTGCCAAAATGCCTGCTGGAGTTTGGATCGCCGTTGAATCATTGCACGGTTTACTATTACTTCTGTCAGTCATTACCCTACAATTGCACGAAGCGGTAATACTGACTCATCTGATTTTGCTGCTGTTGAGAGAACATGTGCTGCTGAGGTGGGATATTGCTTCTAGGAAGCAAGTGACAATCGTAACGTATCCGCACGAACAGTTCCTCAGCCGCTTGCTGAGGTTCCTCTAATGGCATTGCTCGTGTAGTAGTTTCTTTCACGCTGGACACGTCTTTCGCGCTTCCGGGATTATCACCTTCCGTCTCGAGAATGCTCTCAGTCACACTTGGTACCAGTCCGCAGCTGAGACTTTAGCATCTGTTAGCTTGAATCTCTTCAAAAGGTGTGAAGCTTGGAAAGCGCACCATTCCATCTTCGTGTCTCCACATATCTTCTGAATGTTTATCGCGCGGCATTGTCGACAGCGGATGTCACTCATAATGCCCTTGCGCTTGACTAACATGGTCATGTACACTGTCTCTCCTGGTTTTATCAACTCATTCCAGTTCCGCGATTGGATCTCTCTAGTCAAGTCACCATTCTCTAATATATATTCATTGTGTTCAATCTTCTTGTGCCATGGCCGATCACCGTAGACGGTAAGCAGGAAGAGATGCATTTGCTAATCTATATCAGCGTAATTCAGTCATAGACAGAGATTCAGTTTCTTTGAGGACTGACAGGTGGAGATTCACAGCATATCATAGGGATAGGAAGCAAGGTATTTGTCCTGGAAGCATCGTAGAAAATGATAGGATCCGCAAGTTCGACATAGCTGCTTCCACTGACCTTGGTAATGACATCATGATATCGCCAGTGACACCTAAGCATGTCGCCAATAACTTCATCAATACCGGCGATTGATTGTCGAGACAGTGGGTCAGTCTGATGGATGTGCCTGTAAACATTGTTTTAGCTAGCAAAAGCAAGGGCCGTTCGACAGATCTATATCTACTGACCAAAGCGATGTGAAAAGATAGTACAAGCAACTGTGCAAGCTTCTCCGGAGCTGTTCTAGGTCGGTCGTCCCACAGAAACTGGTCTCTTGTTTGGCATTCAGTTCGAAATCGTGAATGGCTTTACCACAGACAAGCAAAACCTTTGTGATAATATTAGCTGGAGTGTCTAGGGACATTTCGTGCGTTTGAGGCCTCGACCCAGACACTGGAGGCTTCGGGATAGCTTCATGTATAGATGATAGAAGGTTTCGAGTTCGATAGCAATATGATTTTGTCTGGCAGGATTAGTTTTTTACCAATCGTGTAAAGCGACAACTTACAGCCGTTGGTGATGGGTAAACTAGGAACGCTTCACAGGTTAAGAGGTCGAGCCGTCGACAATTCTGAAGGACTTCCGTAGTCTAGCAGCTGTTAGCAGTTGTGGCTAGGATGATATACTTTCCGGCACTCACGATATGCGCTGGAAGTGGTATGTCGTTAGGTATCCTGGTGTAATGGTTGGTAAACCAATAATGTTTTGTGTGCTATTTCCATAGGAACTGGCATTATTGATAGATAGCAGGGCTCTGCCCTCTGAGATGGTAGCAGCCATGGCTGCGTCATTACAAAGGAGCACAATTCTAGATCGCTGAGAGTGTATCAAGACATCTTGCATTGGGAACTCCGCCGTTCAGTCGATGTATTGAATTGTCACGAATGATTGATGAAGGAAGACCGACGTTCTACAAGTAATGGCAAAATGCAGGAAGGCCAAAGAGCGAAAAGAAAAATGCAACATAAGCGCAATGTCGGTGAACAGTCAACCGGGCTAGCATTTCAAAGGCACCAATAGCATAGAACTTCAAGCACGATTGGCCTTTACGCGATGTCGAACCCATGTCTGACAAGTCAGCTGAAACCGCCACCAATGGCTGTCGAAGAGCAGTGCACTCAAGTCTATTCTTGACTGCAAACGGCGAAAGAAATAATGAATATATGTGTTCTCGGCAGAGCATAAACTTGCTCCACTTGGTCAGTCGCACGTGTAATGATACGATTAGACCGGATTGAAATACAAGTTTGAGTGTCGTACCCTCCACCGCGTTAGTCCTGTCCTGGTCGACACGGCAAGAGCCCGGAAACGAACTTCATCCTCAGCGCGCACCCTGTGATCTTGCCTAGAGCGGTGGAAATGTCGTTTTGGAGGTCTTCGATGACTTTCCTGTCATTATTCGACTTGATGCTGCGACAGTGAGTTAGCTGCTATCTGCACGCGTCGGCAGGTATGAACGCACAGTACTACATGTTACGATAGGCCAAAGTCTAACTGGCAAGTTCTTGATGATTTGTACACCGAACGATAGTTCGTCGAGCGCAGCCCCGTAGAGCGGCAAAACGCGTTCCGGGGCACAAGGAATCCGTGCGCGGTCGACGCTCATTCGCGGACGTCTTCCGTTCTGCTCTTCCTGTATTCATAAGCTCGGCCCTTGCCGCATCCGGCTGCAGCAATAACTCACTACGTTGGACGAGAACCCGAGCTCTTCTGAGAAATGCGGAAGTTCTGGGAACTAAGACAGGCCAGTTGCAGAGATGGAAAGTAGAGTCTGGACTGACAATCGACCCCTTGTCGTCGCCTTGTGCGCCACTCTCCCAGTACTTTTGTCAACAGCCTTAAAGTCCGAATCCGTCTCGGAACGGCGTATTATACCACGCGACCTACTACGCGATCTACTTCTTGAATTCCGAGACTTTTCGCCCCAACCATTACATTCAAGATTTAGCCATGGCTCACAATGATACTGGAGAGTTCAGGCGCAAGACCTCGCAGTTTAGATCCGTCATACCCTCTGCGCAGTACCCAGCTGAGGCCGGTCGATATGTCCTGTACATGAACAACCTTTGTCCATGGGTCCACCGAACCCTCATCGTGCGATCTCTCAAGCACCTCGAAGATATTATCGAGACTGTCGAGGTCGATTCATACGCTCCTGGTCGAGGTTGGACTTTCTCTGGCAAATACGGCCCGGATAAGGATCCCATCACAGGCCTCAAGACCATGCCGGAGGTCTACGAGAAGCACCACCCTGGCTGTTTGGCGAATGGCATTGCTTCTGTACCTGTATTATTTGACAAAAACACTAGTAAGATGCATCCTGCTCGTTTGTTAATACTACAAAAGTTAACACGCGTGATAGATACCATTGTTAACAACGAGAGCAGCGAGATTATTCGCATGTTCTATACAGCTTTCGAGTCCATCGTACCACTCGACGCGACGCCAACAGTAGACTTGCTTCCTGCCGACCTCAAGGACGAAATCGAAGCTATGAACACCTGGGTCTACGAACAAGTCAACAACGGCACCTATCGTGTCGGCTTCGCAACGAGTCCCCAGGCTTACAGTGCTGGCGTCGAGCGCTTCTACGACGGCCTCGGCCGCCTCGAGACGCATCTCTCCGATCCAGCGCACCGGCCTTATCTCTTCGGTACACGGCTTACTAAGGCTGATGTGCGCTTGTTTCCGACGATTGTACGATTCGACATTGGCTACGTTGGGTTTTTCAATCGCAGTCCGGGCGATGCAAAATTTATTAGGGACTGGTATCCAAACGTGGACAAGTGGTTGAGGACGCTGTATTGGGACGAGAGCGCAGAGATCAGCGGTGCTTTCAAGAAGAGTGTTGATTTTTCGAAGATGAGAGAGGGTGTTGCGAAGGTTGAAGGTATTGATAAGGACTTTGAGCTGCCGGATATAGATATTTTGCCATTGGAAAGCGTAGCGTAGAAGACGCAGTAATTTTGAGAAACTACTCGCGACAAAAAATGCCTAACATTTCACTCACTGCCATATAATTACTATCTACATTGTCCGCTTACTTTGTCGAAATGTCACGCACTGATGATACCTTCTGTCAAATGATTTGTATCAAGAACTACCCACAGTGTTTCCGCATAAACAAAGCTCAAAAGACGTCAAAGAAGACAAGAGTTGAGTAATACACGTTGAGACATCCTAGAACACGGTACGGACCGGATGGGCGATCGATTCGGGGACCAGATGGGGCTTTGTAATTCACCCAATCAGCTTGGTAAAGAAAGAACCACACTGGAAACTTTCAAGTGGTTGGGAAACTATATTTTCCGAGCATCAATCGAGATGCTTGAATCGTATCGTCGATGCATAAGTATCTATCCCCATCTGTACTGTTGATTGCCGGTGTGGTAGCAAAGTCTGCGCTTGTTTGCAGAAACTCAGCCCTCCACCCCTTCCTCACACTACGCATAATGGGCAACGCAACCTCTGAAACTACTGTACCATCTATCGCCATTCCTCCAGCTCCCCTCGTAGAAGCACAGCTAGAAGGGAAATTGTTACCCCTAACATCATGGGAGTACAAGCAATACAACCAACTCGCCATCAAGATGGACTACTTTGTGCGTTCTCTTGCCTTCTAATCAAGCCAACCTCGTTGAAATTTTCCGTTTACTCACAACATTCCCCATACATAGCACAACATATTCTGCGACTCGTGGCGCACAATGCAGACGGCGTGCCAGAACCGCGCCCCCTTCCCACCACAAACCTCGCTATCCTCCTTCCTCGACGTAGCACTGCACTTCTGCACTCACCTCAAAGGCCACCACGTCCTCGAAGAAACCTAGTATTTCCCCCTCTTAGCGCGCAAAATGCCGTGCTTCGCAAAGGAAATGGAGATGCCGAGCCAGCACAAGCAGATCCACGGCGGCTTGCTGGAGCTGAAGCGGTTCCTGGAGGGCAAGCAGCGAAATTTAGAGAAAGGTCAGATGGACGAGAGTAACGGTCAGGGATTCGAGTGGGAGAGGATGAAGGAGATTATGGATATGTTTGGGCATGCGCTTTGGCGGCATTTGGATGAGGAGGTGGAGATGCTGGGGGCGGAGAATATGAGGCGGTATTGGACTTTGGATGAGATACGATATATGCCTTTCTGGAGAAGTCACAATGGAAAGCGATTCTTATGCTATGTTTTTTTTTGTTTTTTTGCGGCGAGGAACAGGGTTATCTTGCTCAGTGACGGTCTAGGTAATACGCTTCTAACCACATAATGGCATGCCGACGTTATGTGGATCAAAGATCGTCTCTACTGATGTGTACGACTGGTATTAACACTGTGTATGGTATCACAGCGTGACTCAGTTCCAATAGATCTCCATCGAAATATTCAAACACGGTAGCCAAACAATTTTTTTGTGATACAAGATAGGATGCGTCCATGCAGCTCCTTCGCTTTCCGCCTTACGCGACTAATAGATAAACTATCCACCGGTTCGAATCTCCGGCGATGGTTGCGTCTGACCAAATTGTTACACCGCACGACTATCACCACAAACTTGTCTATCCGCAGAGAGAATAAATTGCCACGCGGAGAGTTCCAACTCACCCAGCTGTAGAGAGGCTCCTCTACTGACACTAGCGAGAATATGGTAACGAAGGACAATGAGCATTTGCAACCTTGGAATAGCAATACCTAGCTTCTCTCATCTCTACGCAGTTACAAAACGACGTGGAGATCGCTCTTGAGCAGACCAACTGCTTTGCGCAGGTTGCATTACGTATCTCACACTATGCCCCTGGAATTTTACCCGCCAAAAGGCCTAAAGGTCATTGGCATAGAAGATTATCCACCGTCTCATGATGAAGCGAGCAACGCTTTTTAGTGTACAGCACGCCTCCGCCTTAGACAAAGTCAAAAACATCCCCCCTATCTCCCACCATCTTCCCCACCCTCTTTGACCCCACAATCCTCTCCAACTCCAACCTCTCCCACCTCGAAAAGCACACCTTGACACTCGCCTCCGCACGACTAACCTCCGCCCTCTCTACACTCTTCCCCACGAATCCCACAACCTCATCGTAAAAGATGTGATTTTCCGGTACACCATAAAACACGACCCTCTTCACGCCGCGGAGATTATAGCGGTGGAAATGGTGCGCACGACCCGTATACAGCAACACCGAGTGTTTCCCATTCATAAAGTGGCTACGTGCTTTACGCACGTCAGTTGCATCCGTGTACTCTGAGATGGACGCATACGCGATATCCGTATCGACGAGGGAATTGCGGATGCGGACAAAGTCGAGGTAACTCGGTATGAAGACAAGGACGCCAAGGCCACCTTCTACCGGTTTAGGCAGCCGTGTGATGGACGGCAGGATGGTCGTGGAAAAGTACTTGAACCTAGCGTCCGGGTCCGTAAGATGGGATGGCGAGTCGAAGCGGAGAAAAGTCTGCTTGATGCCATAAGACAGGGTTTCGATGAGCCCCGCGGTGTGGTCTGCCGTGTACTTGAGCCTGCCTGCAAAGTTCCGCATGTGTCTGTTGTACAGGGTGTTGATCTTGGGCGTCAGGAAAGCACTGAGGACAATGGTCTGGCGGACGAAGCCCGCATGGCCATCTAGATACCAGTTCCTCACACGGCTAAAGTCACAGCCGTGGGGGTCCTTGGGCTGGAGATTCAGATGCTCAAAGACAAACTCGGCGTGTTCCCAGTTCTGCATCAGAGCGGCGTCTGCTTGCTCCATAATCACCATTTCAATCGACGACAGGAAATCCGAATCGCGTTTCTTGGGATCTCCAGATTCGATGGCGCGACGCAGGCCTAGTGTCGAGGCAAAGATGATGTCAGAGTTGTAAAACGTCGAGTAGTATTTCAACGTCTTTCGAGTGAGTTTTACGCCGATGCGAAATTCGTTCTCGTCGTTTCCTTCAAACAAGTCTCGGAAGTCTGCTGGTCGGTCTTCGGAGAACTTGTCTTCTGGGAGGGAGAAGCTGTCGAGGAATCTCTTCTTGTTCTCCTGCTGTTCAAAATCGTGGAGAGCGGTTATGCTGTCTAGGGCACGAACGCAGGCTTGTTTTGTTTCTAGCAAGAAGAGGATCTTGGGACGGGTGAAGCCTTGATCGCGGTATTCTGTGTCGGTATCGTCGTCTTTTGCCTGGGCGAGTTTGGCGTTGTTTTTCAGAACGCGATCGCGTGTCATGAGGATGTGGTTCAACGCGTGTAGACAGGTGATGTCGCGAAGACGGCTTGCATTTTGAACTGTCCTCGCGCCGAACAACAGATCTTGATAGCCGAATATCGAGGGTGTGATGGCTTGTTCCAGTTCATCAAAGTTGCCGATTCTCTTTTGTGCATTTTCGACAAGCCGCGCTTTTAACTCAATATCGCGGACGCTTCGAAGCTTCCTAACCGGCGTCTTGACTTCGTCGCTAGGAACTTGAAGTACTCCAGCCCCCAGCCCAGGTTTCCGATCGAGCTTTTGTGACGTCCATTGGTTGGCTGCTATCCGCTTTAGGCGCATCGCTAGTTCGTTCTCGTCTGGGTTCGCAAAGTGTTTTTCGTAGGCTTGCTCGAGCTTCTGCTCTTCTTGGTCGTCTTCGTCCGAGACCTCGTCGTTATCCATCTCTTCTTCCTCTTCCTCGGCCACAGCGTCTTCGGCTTCTAGCGTGGAAGATTCGTCATCCACTTCGACGTCGGGTTCGGGTTCGTCGTGTCCCAACTTCCGTCTCTTCTTCCGGTGTTCGTCGGAGCCAGTATTGCGCGACGAGAAGGACTGCAGGAGAGAGGCATACGCATTCGAGATTGGCTGTGCTTCTTCTTCCTCTTCGTCTGAGGCAGCGTCGTCTGAGGCGTCGGATTCGCTGTCGTCGGACACGGATGGTTCGCGCATGTGGACGTTTCTGGAGCCTGTTGTCAGTACTGGGCTAATGCGCCTGCGACCAATATCCGTACTCACGAATCTTCGACCTCGTCTCGTGTTCTCGCTGCTGCAAACCCGCCTCTGCTTCCGCCTCTGCCTCCGCCTCTTCCACGGCCTCTCATGCCACCTCTGCCTCTTGCCATTCCCCCGCCACCCCCTCCCCGTCCACGGGAGCTGCCTCCGCCTCGACCTCTCATTGGCGCCATTCGGGACGCGCCGAGCGATGTCAGTTGGGTGAAGGCCTCGGTGTGTGTGTGCGCAGTGCTGATTGCACAAGGAATAGAGTCGCGGTACTTGGATGCGCGAGATTCGAGAGTTTTATCGTATATTCCAAGTGGTGTTGCTTCAATCTGAACAATATTCGAAAGCCATGCTAGGCCGCGGCGTCCACCAAAAAAAGTTCAGATGGTCCGTGCAAGCGAACGCACCTGCCCAGGTTTCTTTCACAATATCGACCGTGTGCCCCACCAAGCACATTTGACGTCCTCCGAGCGCCTCACCACCACCACCCACGCCCACGCCCAAGCACCGCCATCACCGTCACCATGGCCGAGAACGACTCCTTCCTCCATCTCGCGCGCCCGCTCGGCCCTGCCCCCATGGGCGCCCAGCCGTCGACTGCCCCGCTGAACGTCGCCATCCAGCCCCAGGTATGCGACAACCGCAGTGAGAGGCTTGCCTGCTCTGCTCTCTGACACCCAAAACTAGGCCGTCTTCTCCATCCTCGACCACTCCCTCCGCCGCCCCGCCGAGCAAGAACGCGTCATCGGCACCCTCCTCGGCACCCGCAGCGAAGACGGCACCGAAATCGAGATCCGCAACTGCTATGCCGTCCCCCACACCGAGACGGCCGAGCAGGTCGAGGTCGACATGGACTACCAGAAGCAGATGCTCGCCCTGCACCTCCGCGCAAACCCCCGCGAGGTTCTCGTCGGCTGGTACGCCACCAGCAGCGACCTCAACACCTTCTCCGCCCTTATCCAGAACTTCTACAGCCAGCAAGGCGACGGCACATGGCCACACCCGGCCGTCCATCTCACCGTCTCCACCGTCCCTGGAAAGGACATCGAGTCCAAGACGTACATCTCCGCGCCCATTGGCGTGACGGCTGAGCGCGCCGCAGACTCGTGCCTCTTCATTCCCGTGCCCCACGAGATCAAGTACGGCGAGGCGGAGAGGTCGGGCCTGGAGCTCATTTCGTCGGCAAAGGACAAGGAGGACCGGTCACAGGACGTCATGACCGATCTCGATTCCCTGGAGCGCGCCATCACACACGTCCTGGACATGCTCGAGCGCGTTTCCAACTACGTTAACAACGTCCTGGACGAGGAGGCCGAGCCGTCGTCTGCGCTGGGACAGTTCCTCATGAACGCCCTCAGCCTGGCGCCAAAGGTCGAGCCCGCCGACATTGAGCGTGATTTGTACGTTTCCATCCCCACACTTGTACCCTTTGCCCTCTGCTAACGTGACTTGCCACAGCAATGCGCACATCCAAGACGTTCTCGTCGTATCATACCTCGCAAACACCATCCGCACACAGATTGACCTCTCGAATCGTCTCGCAACTGCGGCACTTACCATGGGCGGCGGCGACCCGCTCGCTGGCGATGGCAAGAAGGATGGTGACAACAGGGGCAAGGGTGGTGACAGGCGAGGTGGCGGCAAGGGAAGGCAGCAGAGGGAACAGGAGGCTTGAATTGACGGGTAGGCACACTGCATGGAGTTTGGCGTTTCTCAAGTGATATGCCACTGGCGAAGGCAGTTTCAAAGCGCGACACCACGCTTTCGGGGCCAGCAAGAGCTGTGCCAGGAAAAAGCTACAAGTCTAGCTCTTTTACGAAGGGACAATGGGGTAGAGAGACAAGCGAAGATGTCGAATGGCCCCCAACTCGCTGCTCTCCACATTAACCGGGGCGCTGTATAAGTACTACATTTATCCCCACGGTAGCATGGTCGACATTTATGTCCAGATGCCAAGAAAAGTCATGGAATGAAGACGGTTTAGAATCACAAATAACAGTTCAGGGTGTGGTGGTGATGTTTTGTGATTCCATGCAGAGGTGCTCATTCAAAGAATTGTGGGGCGGAAAGGAACGTATAGGAAGGAAGATGGCCGCAGGCTTTTAGATGGTGACCTGACGCATGACTGTTTGTTCTTTTTGAGATGTTGATATCTAGGACGACTTTCAATCCTTGCGCAAGCGGGTACATTGGGGTCTACTGTATCGTGTGTTCTGTCAGTTGGGTCCAGTGGAATTAGTCGCTATTGGTATTCGATTCTTGGTGCTGTCTGGATCAAGTGACCCCGGGTGGTGGTTGATGATGGTTGGCTTCTAAGCCGGATCCGGTGTAGCATATGTACCTGTCGATTGAGTCCTTTCGTACATCCATTTCCACTCCAACCGTATTGCACTTTCTAGACGTTCTGACCACCCGTTAGTCTTCAGGTATGCCAAAGTATAGCACCTATTCATGGCTTGGACTGGCTTCTCAGCTCTGGATTGGATTGGCTAGGTGCTGACCATACCGGCGACCCCTCTTTTCCAGGCCCCATATAACCGCCCATTCTTTCTTCTTTTCCGTTCTACTTCTGTTATCTCTTTCCTGCCTCAGTCTAACAAGAGGATCAAACGTGTCACATATTTCCAAAACATCGAGTGACTGCCTGGCCTCTTTGGTCATGGCGCAGGAGTACCAATACTAAGCACTTGACATGACTGCAGGGCAGATTCGTCTTTCTCAGCTGCTATCCGGGAACGATGAGCTTTTGCGCATCAAGTTCACTCTCTGCCCCCTTACAGAACTGACTTTCGATGCACTCTCGTACACAGTGGATGAAGAATATGAGGCTCACTCCATCATATGCGAAGGCTACACTATTCCAATCACCCCAATCTTCCATCTATTTTTGCAAACACTACATCAATCTGGAAATGTTGAACCTTTATGAGTAGACGTTATCTGCATCGATCGAGGGAGTACCAAAGAGGCGGTTTATGCTGTGCTGCATACTCTCATCATCTATCATACGGCGAGGCAAAGACTTTGTTGCATTAGGATTGAAAACTTCAATTTTCTGCAAAAGTCCACATCAACGACACTTGGAAATGATCGACAACCAACGAACAGTGGTCGAATGCTTTTCAGGGATCGACATCCTTCACTCAACGTACAGGATCGTGGCACACGATCTAGAAGTGTTCGGGAAAATATTCGAGATGCTCGATAGCAACGATTTCCACAATTTGCATGTACTTGTGAATCATATTTGCTTAAGCAGGCACGCTATTTACTGTTTGCGTTTCCTCGCTGATTCACTTAGTATCAGTCTTCTGCTCACACAACACATCGCATGTTTCCGGAACCCTGACATGTTCGGAGAGAAATGGTGCATGCCTTGGACCGAACTGTGATAAGGTTTGCTTGCCTAACTATCTCCCAGTCCCACGTCAGGGCCGCAATCCCCAGCGTCTATGTGGACCCTTCCGGTGTAGGCTCCTCAGACATGACAGTGAGCATACGAATTTGCCGGACTTGTTGTTAGCGACATGAGGTGTCCCATTCTATCCAAGTTCCCCCGTGATTACGCACCTATAGCTTACTCAACTGCTACCCTAGCAGCTATACTATGTTCAACAGATAATCAAGAGTTACAATACCCCGCTTCGCTTGGCATATAAAGCAAAGCAGCTTTGCAGGTCAAGCGAGGCTCATGCACGATTGGCATACGCTAAGAGAATGGCGGCGTGCGGCTGAGATGCAATTGCTACTGCAGTGTTAGTTACGTCGCTACGCGTTATTTGCCGTGAGAGCGTCATTATGAATCAATCAAAAGTAAATTAGGTTAAGAGTTGCTGCATCGAACTCTATAAGCAACACTGATTTTTGGTACGCATACTCTATTTTGTCCATCGCTCTTTCCCAAAGCCCTTCCAACACCAGAACCTGCCGGCCAGAGTGACGATGTCAGGTGTCCTAGACCTCGAACTCGGACATCCCCCAATCCCTGATTCCAGAACCTCCGCGACCAACAAATGTCATTCAGCATGCCCATCCATGATGTCTTATTATCCTCCGCCTCCACCATCTCAGACATGCCCTTCATCAGTCTGCCCACCTCCACGGCCTGAGTCACCTCGGAATGAATCTCCAGAATCAGCTCGGCAGACGAGGGTTGACTTCCCAGATGTCAGGAGAGTATCGCGCGAAGAGCCAGGAGAAGTATGGATGGATGAGAACGACGAAGAGCACGCATATGCTCGTCCAGTGAGAGCAGCAGATATCCCGACGAAAGCAGACAATGATTGTTTTGAACGCCTTCAATTTCCATACAAGGACGATCTCATTTACGAAGAGAAAAATGCCTTGATAGTCAACCTCGCCACGATGCATAGAATCAACCTGGAAAACCTCCGTCACGAACTCGTTGGATTGGCGTTCAAGACAAAATATCCGGCACCTCTACACGACGACTACAGTTTTGACAGCGGAAGTTGCACAAAGACGATTCATGAGTATGGTGAGTGGAGACTGCTGAACTCGAACCACCCCACAGATGTCTCACGTATCTAATGTCTGTTGTAGTCGAAGCGCTTCGCGATTGGGACTACATCGCCGAATGCGCAAGAAGAGGTGAACGCTTGGATCCATTCCTGGTTTCCACCAAGTTGACGCTCTCTCGTCTTACCATTGAAGATCAAAAGTCGAAACACAAGTCGTACATGGTGCGAAACGACGTCGAACAGAAATATCGTGAATCCTTCGAAAAAGATATGGAAAAAATATGCAGCCATTCCCCCATCATAGACGCGGACGATGTTGACAAGTTTGGTGGCTCACGAAGAGCTAAGAACAAGAAAGAAGAGTACACAGCCTACCTAGAACGCACTTTTATGGCGGTCATGGGTGGTACATTCCTCGTCGGTCCGATGTTGGTAATGGTGTTACACAATACCAGAACTACGTCTCTCGTCACTACGTCAATCTGTGTGTTTCTTTTTGGGTTGGTCGTTTCATACTTTCTCGAGAAACAGATGGATGTTCTGTCGGCCACAGCAGCTTATGCGGCCGTTCTGGTAGTCTTTGTTGGTACAAACACTAGCGGCGGGGAAATAGTAGCGGCTTAGATGGACTTCCAGCTGATGTGTTTAGGGGTTTAGCCCAATCTATCTGAGGAAATGAATGAAGCTTGACCTACCCGAGAGGATGCCCCTTGACATCACTGCGATCACTATGATGTGAACAATCGCTACTTCTTCTTTGTCAACTGATACGAATTTGTAACAAATCATTCCATACGTGCGGAAAACAGTGTTTTGCTCGATTATGCCGACACCATCAAGCCAGAGGTTATGGGCACTTATAGGAGGATGCGGAGATCATACCTCAAGACCACATTCGAAAAGCACCGGGAATTCCTTGGTTTTCCCACCGATGAAGGTGCTGACGAATCTGATATAACAAATTCGATTATGTGCTTTCACGCCCCCTGTTTTCCATCTCATGGCAGAAGGTTTGCAGTCACTAAGAAAGGCCGCTTTTGCCTAGTTCGCAAAGATAACCAAAGCGGCAACCTCATTTGCGTCCTTCGTAGCAGTCAAGTGCGCTACATATTTCGACCGCATACGGAGGATCATGGTCCCATGAACTTTAGGGAGATATTGATTCATGGGATAATGCACAGGCAGATGAGTGATTCAAAGGAATGCAAAGTGAGGGAGTTCTTTCTGGATTGATCATGCACATGCACAGCCACGATCCAAAAGTATTATCTGTCTTATGTCAGCCCCGCCAGTTCAGTCTTTACTCCAAGAAATCTCGAGACAAATCTGTTCGTCACTAGTTTGGCCTTTTTCGAAGGTCAGATTTCGCGTCCGAAGACCCTAGAGTCACAACCTCTAGCTTCCCAGCATTGTAGCAAGCAAGAGAACAAGTGAAAGCTAACCTGACTATGGTCGCGAACCGGCTGTATCCAGCAAGTCTAAAATGATGGAGACTCATCTGATCAGATGAGATTCTGGAGATGGAATGTGGCAACACGGTGATGCAACGCCCTCTTAACTCCACCAAAAGAACACAGCTGTGATCCCCATGACCTGCACACTAGTCAACCACGCTCCGATCGCGACCCCCGTCTGCGCATCTTCCATTTTCCACCCGTAGATCCCTGCGATAATACCACTTAGCGACAAGAGCAGACACATCAACATAGCGAACAGCGCCCAATTGGGGCTTTCTTCGAGATGAATGCCCCAGCCATTATCTTTAGGTTTGAGTGCAGGTCCGACTTTCCATGGCAGCCGTTCACTCCAAAACACGTCGGGATGTTTTGATTTGGAAGCGTAAAAGTGGTGAAAGAAGACTTGGCTGTCCATGGGGGGCATCTCCATTGGGCAAGGATCGTAATCGTAATTATGCCTGACTTCTGTGGCTGGTGGTATTGAGGGGGTTTCGTAGTTGAGGGAAACGGCCCGTCTTGGTCCAAGGAAGAACTACAATTATGTCAGTTGTGGAGTATGGATGGTGATGGACATGTGCGACGGACTTTTACAAAGATGGCTTTGTTTGGCTTCTTGAATCGGGCCCACGTTGGGAATATCGAGCGGCGAGTTGTTTCGTATTGCTCTCGTATCATTGCGAAGAGTTCGCCATCGCTGACGGCAGGACTGGGGCGGGTGAGCTCGCTCATTTCAAGCTTGTACTTTCCTGTTTCAATGCACAGTTGTAAAGCAGTCGGTGGGGAGGTCTTGACAGTCTTAAGACCTGATGGCGGTGTAACGTTACTTGCAATATTGTTCTGACTATGGGAGGTGCTGCTGCTTCCTCCGGGCATATTATACCCTACCGTGTTGGCTTGTCTCGTGTGCGCTTTCTTTGGTTGTGGTATCGATGCAGTAGCGCCATGCTGTGAGCTTTGGCCAGACTGTTGTTTCAGTCTGGCGGCAAGTTGATCAAGAGAGCTATGTGTCTTTTCTTCGAAGTCACTGTAGAGAGGTTCTCCGCAGGTCTATCATGTAAGTGCGTGTAAGTTGTCGGTGGTTGCAGAAAATGGCTTACACATGTCCACTCCAGTCTCTTATAGCCAGAACGCACTTTCGGTCGAACAAGCTCCCGGATCATCCTAACGAAAGTTGTCGATGCTGAGCTGTGAGCATTCTTGTCACTATTGTTGGTATAGTCCGAAGGAATCTGTTGGATTGAATGCTTGAGAATTATCTGTTTGCTCGAATGCTTAGGAACTGTGGGAATTGGGGTTGGCAGAAACTGATCTGTGGCCCCAAGGGACACTATTAGCCGGCTGCGAGGACTCCGAAGCGTTGATTTCTTATATCTGAGGCTCTTGTCAGTGGACGGCAGTGGAGGCTTGTTTTGCTTTTCAAGAGACTGCACATTGTCCCTACCCCAATCGCTCAACTGTAACTTCTTCTTGTAACGTGCAATTGGAAGTGCGTAACGTGCATATGGAAGTTCCCATTCAATATCATCTGGGTTATCGGTTGGTAATCGGGTCAGCTTCCTGGTATCCCAAATTTGCTCCAAAATCTCTTCCCTTTTCTGTCTGAACCTGCGCAGTGCTCTGTGCTGCCCGTCCTCTTCCTCTAGAAGGAACGTCGAGAAGATTTCGACCCGAACAATATCAATGAAGTTGTTCATGCGGATAATTTTAGGTACGACGCCGAGTCTACTCCCCGGCTTGATCAGACACATCCAAGACGTTCGTTCATTGTATGGCATTTTCCTAATAGGGATGGACCACCACGGCCTCCCTACGTATTGTTCTATGTCATCCCAGCCAACATCTTGCTCAATATCGAGGGCGCGTATCGATCCGTCGGGAGTCCGTACAACGAAATCGAAATATGTGCTTGACCTTTGGTAACTGCCGTATTGGTCTGGGTATGCACTCCATACTTGGTCACGACGGCAGGTGGCGATGACATTGCGGACAGGAAAGTGCCGCGCACCATCAATAGGATTACTGAGAAGGTAGGGGACGTTTCTCTTGGTCTTCTCTCCGTTGACAACAAGTGGTTCACCGCGCTCAAAGGTTGATTTAATCCAGTATTCGGCTTCATCAATAATCTGTCGAGCAATATGGGCTGGTAGGCGCGATTTACATATTCGGTGCCGCAGCATTGCATATACCTCAAATTGATCTTCCCTTGACCCAGGAAATCGTTTTTCATGCTCTTTGATAACCTCACATGATCTGACCTCGGCATCTATCCCCCTCTGCTCTTTCTCTTCCGGTGATCCAAATCTTGCAGCACATCGCGTGGAAATTCTCTCTATCTCATTCCAGAAATCGACTTCGCAATTACTGATACGAGGGATTGAATCGTGTTCTGATAGACTCCGCTTAACATCTTCAAGCTCCTTGCTGAAGATGATGACATCACAGACGTCATTTGATGAGGCGAGGAACTGGCAGAGCTTTCCTCTCTCGTTCTCATCCAGAGAACACTCATCCAAACCGTCCAGAAGTATTATCGCGTCTCTTCTTTGACACATACGCTTGAGAAAAGTCTGGATCTCAGTTTCGGTGGGCTCGCCATCTTTGTTGCAAACCTTTGATAGCAGCTCGACATCCTCTGGAAATTGATTGAGAAGGTTCCAACAAAGTGTGCCAATGAGTTGTCGGGCATCAACCGTCTCGGTGTTGCCAATGAGTTGTCGGGCACCAACCGTCTCGGTGTGTTTTTTCCTACCATAGAAGACATAAGCCACCGTACGCCTATCTTTGCGGAGCTTCTGAACGACGTTTACTGCAATCTGCGTTCTTCCCACTCTAGGAATACCAGAGATCCACAATATCGGAGAGCTTTTCTTCGAAAGATGATTATGCCAATCGATATACTCTTGCTTGGAGTAGAACCACTCGCAGTTCGACGAGGAGATGTTGTCGACATACGCCTGATATTTCTCTTCGGCCGAAGATAGAGACCACAACCATATCTTGGTCTCGTTCACCAGTCTCTTGTCAATACAACGCTTGCTTTCAGTCGCCCATCTCTTGAATGTTTTCCAGGATCCAGAAAGGTCCTGGGAAAATTTGATCGTAACACTCCTATGAAGGCCCGAAAGCGGTATTATAACTTCATTTTGTAGCCTTGTAATCTTGCTGGAGAAGCGCTGGTGGTATATGAGCTTCATGTAAAATTTGGAGGTGACAGACTTCATGTTCTCGGTTTTAACGAGGTGTTCGTCCAGTCCCATGAAGGACACCATTTCCACTTCCGTCTCAAGAAGAGGTTTCCATATTGCTGCAATATCATCCTGAAGATCCTGGGGAATAAGACCTTCCTTCATAGCCTCATCGACAGCTTTCAATGTGTTCTTCAGCTTCTCCAGGAAAATCGAGTGTTCCTTCACTAGTTCCCCTCCCCCATCCAGCTCGGACAATGCTTGACCAATATCTAAGAGAACAGTCGCAGCCGCAACAGGATTTCTTGCCGAAGACCAGAACGACATTGTTTGTATCAGGGCTGAGCTCTTCTTGTGGCTTATGATCGACGGCTAATTTTCGAGGCCTGTACTCGTGGTACGGAGTACGGACTGCAAGAGGTGCTGGAGAAGAGAAAGACAACAAATGGCAATACTCTAAGGTAGTGATGGTCTTATCAAGTGTGCCTGGGTTTCCCCGCGGCTGTGCCAAGTGCGGCTGACGTGGGCGCAAAGCGCAAGAGTGAACTCGCTACAATGGAATTGGATCAGCTGAGTTTATGGTTTTAAGTCGAACACGCCATGTACGACTAACACAGCCTTGTTGGGCCGCTGCGCGTTGGCTGCTTTTCGCAGCGACACGCCCAGCTCGATTCGCTGCGTTAGGCGGGGCAAGGTCCCTGCGCGAGGAGAAGGCTGACGGATCTCAGCAAGTAGATTAGGTTTGCTGCAGCATAGCGCTGGTGGCGTTACCGGTGACTGTTCATCAGCCATTCAGCCTCGCGTTCGAGATCAACTGCATACACCATATCCGTCGAGGCAGAGACACTGAGCTTCCGAGCTAGCGAGCCTCCATTTCTGCGGTAGCGCAGCGATACTGAGCAGAATCATGGCTAGATCCAGGACCAGCGGACTTACGGGTTTATAAGGTGTACGTGATGGGGTGACAGGCGCTGTGAAGAAAGCGTGCGCAACTTATCGCGCTAGTGAAGTAAATGACGTCGAGCAGGAGCGACCGGTTTCTTCGAAAGGAAACGACACGACAGCACAACAGCACAACAGCACAACGGCGCAACAACAAAAAACATAACACTATAATAACGCACCAGTCAGCAAGAAGGATCCGTCTTTGGGCAAGATATCGAAGGCATTGAGATTACTGCGTATATCCATTTACATTCGCTCGAACAACCACATCCCTACCACATCATCACCCTAGTGCAAGAACTCGTTGAAGAAGTTCACAGCACTCCTCTTCGCCCTCTCCAAACCATCCTTCTGCTTCTGATCGTTGGGGTCACCACGCGCAGCGAAGCCGTGGTTTAGACCAGGAAAGTAGACGTACTCCCACTGCACACCCGTCTTTGGCAGCGTCTCAAGCGTAGCCTTCTTGAGCTCCTCCGTGTACATTTGGTCGTGCTCGGGAGAGAGGACCTGCACGGGGACCTTGACGCCCTCGATTTCCGACTTCTCGAGCAGCGAGGGGTGGGCGGTGGAGATGGCGTCGATCAGGGAAGGGTCGGCGGCGAGCTTGAAGCAGGCCCAGCCGCCGTAGCAGAAGCCAATGGCGGCGACCTTTTTGTATTGCGACTTGAGCGTTTGCGCGTGCTGCTTGATCTCGGGCCAGCGGATGTCCTTGCTGTTGCGGCCGAGGAAGGCCATGATGTCGAAGTTCTTTTGCTTCTCTGGGTTGGAGAGCGCGTCGGGGTCTACGACTTCGCCGCCGAATCTGCGCAATTGCGGTTAGTCGCGCTGATGGTGTGCGTGTGTCGCGTCGCTACTTACACATCGGGTACGTAGACGGTCGCATTGGCTTCCTTTGCGTAGTGGTCTGCGATGAGGCGGATGTTAGGAAGCGTCCAGCCGAAGACGTCAGTGACGATGAGGATAGCGGCATCCTTGTTGTCGCCAGTGACATAGCAGTCGATCTGGTCGAGCTTGTCCACCTTGCCAACGGACTCGCCGTTCCACTTGAAACCTTTCTTGCAGTTTTCGCAGGCCATTGTAACGGTATACAAAAGGAGTTGATGAAGTGTGAGTTGAGATTGGTGTGACAATTGAGCGCTATCTGAAGAATTTGGCGGGGTCAAGAGGCCTTATGTCGTGCAAGCTTCGAGTGGGGTACGGCTCGATCATTATGCAGTTACGTGCATGAAGAGAGGAAAGATAGCCCGGCTTCTGGCCGATTCCGTCATGGGGGCCAATCATGATGCCAGGGCGGAACGTCGCATTGATTTGATTTTCCGGCAGCCAGTGTTGTCGTGGTGTGGATAATGACGATGATAGCTGGTACCGGATTTTGCAGTCGCGCTGAATTAAACCCGGACCTGTTTCGCCGATATTCGCCGCTTCGCTGACAGAGACGGCCTCCAGGCTGTGTGTCTAGAAAACATCCTCGCTCAAGAAGCTTGCATACCTCCGCTTCTCGGTGTCTGCTCAACGATGCGAGGCAACCTGTATAGAAAAGTACGTACCGATACTACCTGGTCAATGCGAATCTTGAAGAGCCGACACGTATGTAGAAGGTGTCGCCAACGCCTTGCGGCACTCTACTTGGACTCCGGTTTCTTTACGGGCAGCCGTCAGGATGCGAGCAAATCCGTAGTCTCTGCGACTTGCAGTAGATGTTCAGATTGCGGAAAAATTCGTTCTTTCGATATTCTTGCGAATGAGCTCATCAACGAGTCAGCGATGGTGCCCAAGTATCTCATCTACTGGATTGCCCGGGGAAAATGGTCGATAGATCTCCAACCCCTCCGGAGTTCCCCATAGATGATCGTGACAATATGTTGTGGGTGTTTTTTTCTTCCACTTACAGGCTCCTCCGCCTGCTCCAGGGATGGCTTTGAAATCACGACATTATCCGGCTTAGCGGCGCTTTCACGGGCATCTTCCACTGCGCGACGGCAGGCTCATAGCAGTACACTCAGAAGAGTTAATTGACTGATTGAGCAGGTCGCATAGACATGTAGTCTTTCTGCCTTGCCCGCTTGATGGTCGCGTCTGGTTCCTGGGTAAATCGAAACTTCCAAGATTATTAAAACCGAACAAGACGTGCCGGCAGCTTCTATCATCGAAGTTACGACTATATGGCTATGTTGCAGATAGCAACGCGATTCAGCTATACACGATTCCCTCTTACTCCTTCCAAACGCTCGAATGCATACTCAGCCCACTCCCCATCGCGACACTCGTCGTCCCATCTTCATCCGTCTCCCAACTTTGTCTACAAGACCAAACAGGGTCGTTGGGGCCGCTGGATTCCTGTGGTATTTCAATCAGCCCCCATATCCTCATATCCACACACTTCATACCATCCTCAAGGCCGTACGTACCGCGTCAATGCAGCAAAACCACCCCCTGGGATAAATTTCTTCAGTGCAATCAGTGGCGTTGGCGATGGAGATGGGCGTGTCACAAGGTGGGCCGTGAGAGTGCAGTTCAGCGCAACAGTAGTCAGCGTAGCTCGCGCCGAATTAGATTTGGCAGAATGTGTCCTGCGCGATTGAAGTAGTGAGAATATGGAGAAGAACGCCAAGCATAGGTAAGAGAGTGCTAAGGGTTGGCAAGACCATTGCTTCTTGGAAAGATCCAACCAGATGCGACTGGAAAAGCCATAGCTGAAGCCTTGTGTTACTTATTTAGAGGGAAGATGCGACAGATGATGAGTGAGATGAGAGGAAATGAAAAGTACGAGGTGGTATAAGTATATGCATCGGCTGACCCGCATCTCGGTTTTCCCTACCAATTCTAGATCGTTACAACGTCACGTTGCACATATCCCCCAACAATAACTACAATTCACATGTACCCCAAATGAGTGATAGAGACACGGAAAATCACATCGGAAAATCGCTACCAGGGATAGCATGCCGCAGGCTATGCTCAAGTCTGCCTTTGAGCAACCGCCTTAGCCAGACTTTCACGCATGGCATTGGAGCTAAAGTAATCCCAGTATACCTGGATCAACTGATCCATAGTCATCTCTGACGTGACGATACCACTTGGTCCGTGACCAAATAGCGGGCCAGAATCTGAGTATTCCTAATATGGACGTCAGTTCAAGCAATTAAAGGAAGCTTAAGTGGATGGGAACTTTTAGCAATGCAAACATACCTTTTCAACACAAACAGCCCATCCAGTGGGAAAGTGGTTGGACGAGCAATCAGTCAGGTTGCTAACGTACTCTATATCGGTACAGAGCGCGTTCACACCGCGGCTGATGACGGTGTGGCAGCATGCGTCCGTATAGTCAGTGCCGTAGAGAAATTCGCAGATGGTGTCGTCGGAGCCCAGTTGGGCTGTGGCAAGGTGAACAAGAGACACTGCGAGAGAGATGATCGGGGTTGAGTAGCGCATTGTAAAGTACGAAACGACTTGTGGGATTTGGTGTTAGGTCGTGATGGGATGGTGAGAATAGGTGTTGCTGTGATGAGGTTAGCAAGTGTGATACGGCGTTTGCGGCTGTACTTGTATGTGTTGCTGAAGATTTGGTTAACACTGGTCAAGACGGCCATGCTTGTGATCACACTGCTGATACAGCGTATGCGGAATTACGTTCCATTCTCTCCCGATAGAAAGACAGGACGCCCGCTGGTGCTTCCTTCGAAAGGAAGGGGATAGTTGCAGAGTCGTATACGAAAGGCTCTCGGGTGAACAACAGAGACCATTTGATGTCTGGTGTAACCCGTTGATGAATGCCTAGGCGAAAAACAAGAAGACTGCGGCACTTTGGCAGTATGCCCATGAGATCCCCTTCCTAAGTTATCAGTACACTTCCAGATGGCCTCTTGCAGGCTCCGCGTTGTTCTCCTTTCCCGTAAGCAGCTTGCCATCGTTTTCTCAATGCGCAAAGTCTATCCGCTGATGCTACCCAAACTAGTCGAGTGACATGCACGCATGTATCGTTAACTCTCGAACGAGGTTCATCTCTAGTATGAAGACGAGTCTTCCCGCACATGGTATCGTTACTGTGAGTAGATGCAGCACGTCATATCCGCTCCAGATATCCGTACGGCTAGTCATGGGTTCAGACGACCAGGTCTGAGCGGTGGACAAAGTACGTTGGTAGGAGCACAACATGTCGGCCAGTAGCGCTTATTATGTTGGCGAAGTCAACAAGATGCGCATGTGCTTCTAGCAAAAGATGGATTCGATCGGGTAAGTATTCGACGTGCCTGTCTCGCGTAGGCAGTAATACCTTGCATATTGCTCGGGCTAGAAGGGAAAGCCGAACCGTATGCGCTTAGCCGCCTAGCAGATGTAAGACAAGGATGTGCTTGATTTGTAGAGAAGATTATGTAGCCTCCAAGGAACCTTTGTGTGCCTTGATGCTGTGCAACAGGAACTACACAGGGCGCACTTGATATGGTACATGCGGTGCCGGGAATTAGTTGCCGCCTCGAGCAAGTCATGGGAATCTGTTCGCGTCCTGCTTGTCATTCATTGCGTAAGCTGAACTTATTGGTCAGATAGCGCAGGACTTGTGCTACGGCCATTTGTTGCGGCATATGAGCATGAACGTGAGGATACTTCGTTGCGATATACGTCCCCTCGGCTGACGTTCGAGTGGCGTAACGCCAACACGTTTGAACCGGACCAAAGGAATTCCGACAGCGATCCTTAGTTCGTCATCATAAAATTGAGACACCTATAGCCAGGGCAGATTTGCTAAAGTTAATGGTCCGGGGCTCTCCTGCGCGACACTTGCAGCGTGCTCGGACGCGGGTTCGGAGCGTTGTGGGGAACGATCGCCTGTCTTCAGTGCCGCTGCCAGTTCCTTGGCGCTCGCGCTAAGAGCACTTAACGCGTCTTCGCGCGTTCGGCTTGCTTGATCAACACTCCCCGCCTCTTCTCATGGCATGCATCTTCAACTAGTCCTCCCAAATCTGGACTGGGTCAACGTAAAGCTCACCGGAAATATGACGAGCGGAAGTCGAGACATGCGCCCACGTGTGCAGAACCCCGCACTACGTCTACCCCTCCTGGCACCATAGCTCCAGAGCTAGCTCTGGGCGATGCCGGGGTTTATGCGTCACTATATGTGTAGAGCACGCCGTCGGCATGCTTGCGCTCTATTTCCTGCCCTCCTCTGCCTCTCTTGAGCCAATTCATACAATCAATCATTCGTCCGTCCTTGTCGCGTTGCAACGAGCTATTGCACACTCGAAGCTGCCATGTCTGACTGGTCCGACCTTACCGCGGCTCTTAAAGGAAGCTTAGACAAGCTCTCCGAGCTCCTCCAATCTGACGATCAGCTGAAAGCCTTCACAACGTCAAACGCTATCGAGAAGGACGTCACTTTTGGTATCAAGTCAAGTGGTTCGGACAACACCCTCCTCATCACAGTGTCCAATGGCAGCGCAAAAGCCAGCACTGGCGCGTCGAAAGATGCTCTATTCACGCTTGTGGCTCTCCCCGAGCAATGGGAACAGCATTTCAAAGCAGTCCCGGCTATGCCGTACCAGAGCTACTGGGGAATGTTCGGCATGAACATCAAGCAGAAAGGCATTGAAGTGCTGGGCGATCAGACAGCCTTCGCGCAATGGACCCATGTATGGAGGCGCGTCCTAGAGCTTACACATGACGCGCACTGTGGACCAATGAAAGAAGACGAGCAAGTCGAACCGGAGCGGGATTTCCTTACCGGAAAGTACACATACCTTGAAGCTCCAGTGTGGGGTAGATGCAAGGTCTTCTACGAGTACTCTGGTGAGGGAAAGCAGCCCATTGTCTTCTTGCATACCGCTGGCAGCGACAGCCGGCAATATCACGGCGTTATGAATGATGCGAGAATGCGCAAGAAGTGCATCATGTACGCGTTTGACCTGCCTGGACATGGACGAAGTTTCCCATCGAAGAACTACGCACCAGGCGCGCATACGAATACTGAAGATAGCTACGTGGGAATGATCACAGCTTTCGTGAAAGCTCTTGGCCTGCGAAGACCCATCATTTGCGGCGCGAGTATGGCTGGACAGGTTTGTTTGGCAGTTGCGATTCGACACAGGGAAGTTGGCGCCGCGGGAGTCATTCCTCTGCAAGGGTAAGTGGATGTTTAACGTAAAGGGAGCCGTACTCATAAAGACAGGTCCGACTACCTCAATATGGAGCGACAATGGCACGACCGCTCTCCAGTAGTCAACCAGTCGCTTTTCAACCCAGAATGGATCTACGGGGTATGTGCAAATGAGCCATGTGCGATAGAACCACTGCTGACTTCAATAGATGATGGCACCAACTACACCTCGCGCAAATAAACAGCTCATATGGCACACATACAGTGCCCAAGCCTACGGCGTAAGCGCAACCCCAGACCCATCTTTCCAACCCTACTAACCCGTTCGCAGATCTTCCACGGCGACCTCGACTTCTACTTTGGCGGCTGGGACGGCCGATCACGCGTCGCCAAGGTCGACACCCAGAGTTGCCCCATATACATGTTGACTGGCGAGTACGATTGGTCCAATACACCAGAAATGGCACAGAAGACGGCAGACAAGATACCTGGAGCTATGCACAAGAGCATGCCGGATCTAGGTCATTTCCCAGCTACGGAAAATCCGGCCAAGTTTGTGCCGCATCTCATTGAAGCGATTGATCATATTCAGAAGGTCAGGAGCGATAATCTGAGCACGATGAGGTTGGGTGATGGTACGGATTAAGATGGTGCAGCTACGGGTAGCTGGGTTGTCGATATCTTGAGAGATACGCCTGCTTCGAGATCATCAAACTAAATATACTCGATCTATCCAAATACGTCATTCTTCTTGTTCTAGTCGCCAAGCTAGTGATAAGGATGCCGAGCCAATATCAACAGTAGGCTGAGTTCTCCAGGCTTTTGCCGTGAACGTCTCTGCACCTTCCACTTACATTTCACACGTGGACTCGCTAGATGCTGCTGCCTCCGTAGCAATGATCCGAGCTTTGTTTTCAGGCTCGTCTCACCGTTGAGCCTACTTTCTCCCACCAGCACCTATCACTCTCGTCTCTACTTACCACCCTCCACTATCACGCATTTCTAATTGCGCAGCGTCATTACTTAGGTATTCTACGGCTCACCTGAGGTTGCGATCCGACTCACCGTTAGTCATTACAACCATAACCCCGGTCTAACGACATTGTTAAAACGCTCTTTCACCACCCACTAGAGCTACATTTCCACTCGCCGCCAGTTACCATATCCCAACGCTTGATTGGATATTACCTCCAATATGACTGTCCAGCACTCGCTAATGGATTCCTCGGCTCCTAGAGCCCCCCATAGCGGTAACTCCAACGGTGACACTCCGAGCAGCGGACCGATCGACTACAACACATACAAATATGTCGTCTGCGATGGGTGTCACCAAAGGCTCAGCAACGAACACACACCAGTCGAGATGCCCTATTGTCGCCATATTTTCGGCAAAGAATGTATACAAGCTCGCATCTAGGAGCCGGAGCGATATCCTGGTCACTGCTTCTTGTGCGACGGCATCCCGGGACTGACAAACCTTTTGCGAGATAACGATCCAGGTGTGATTGCTAGAGAGAGCCCACGAGATGGCAGCTATGCAGACCTCGATCCCAACCAAGTAGTGGAGTGGGGCCGTATCAATGCCCAGGAGCGGGCAAATGAGTCGGAAAGACAAGCGCATTTCAAAAGAGAGATGGCAAGGGAGCAACCGCTGTTTAAGAACGGTGTCCCAACTCCGATAACAAGTTCTGGCCAGGCAAATAAAGATGGAAGATCTCGCCCAGCACCAGCGAACGCCCGTTTCGATGCCGTCAAATTCGGGTTCCACGAGCGAGCGAATCGACTGGAGAGGGAAGACAGAATTACACAACGAGAGTCGGCCCAGCCCCGTGGATGTAGCAGTAGTGCTCTACCGCCTGTAAGAAATTCCAACAATATCAACACAGAGTCCCAGCTCGCACCGCTGAACGCTCAACCGTAGCTCGGCGAGAGTATAGAAAGTCAGCGTCAGAAAAATAAAGCTGCATGGCGATTAGTTGAGGCACGCCGGTTGTTCAACAATGAGCCCAAAACCAAATCACCACCGCCAATCCATCCGCCCTTTCCTCCGCCAGCTGCCACCTTCATACCTGGCAAAAGCCACAATCAAACAGTCGAGGAGCTTCGCCACTCTGTCGGATTTCAGACATCGAAGGACAAATACGCCCCAAAAGGAAAGAAATGGTCATTTTCCGGAACACAATCATCTAATGTCGTTAACGGTCCTCTCCGACTAGAAGTGGCCCCATACAATAATCCAGTTACCCCATTCAGAGGACAAGCATTTCTACCGAACAGGACACCTTCCTTCAGCTCCGACAACCATACTCAACCATCCACCTCTGGTAGCACGCCTCTTCGACCAGAAGCTGTCGCGTTCGAAATGTCGAGAGCCTCTCCACGGGAGCATTCGTCGTTGGTGGATTATGCAACATGGCCCACGTATACCGACTGGGCCGCAGTGCACAAAAGCTTCCGAGCTGATGATATCGTCGTCCCTGCATCCCAATTGTATCGAAACCCATACAGTGGGGCCTTGTTCAACAACTCCGGCCAAGAGGTGATACCTCCTCCCAACAAGCACCCCCTTCCCGGCAACCACCCCCTAAACAGCTTGATGACAAACAATCCCGAGACGTTTCACCGCGGCCAACTGGTAAAAAGCCGCCAGGTTTTCCCGCCTCCTTATAATCTACCAAGAGGTGAGGTTCCTTCAGCAATCCCCGAAGGCGAAAAAGGAATAGAACTGCTACAGCGGGCGTATGCCGGACTAGCGGTCACGCAGCGTAATTTACAGTTACGTCGTGCACAAGGACTTCCTCCTATTCAGATAGGTCCATATCCTCCAGCGGACCCTCCTCCATACGCAGCCGATTTATCAAATATGAATCATGCATCATCGGAGTCGATGGTTCCGATGACGGCGGTGGTAGAGGAGCAGGCGAGGAGGCATTACTCTTCGAACCCGTATCGGGGCAACGGAAAAGAAGGAACTCCGATTTCGCGGACTGGGATTAGAGATGGGAATGTTGGGGGAGATGCAAGTGGCTTGTCCATTCCGCGAACAGATATGATAGGTCGAGATCTGCCACGAAGGCAACCACGGGCAGCGTGTAGGGAAGCGAATCATGATGGGGGCAAGGAAGAGGATCCGTATTGTGGTAGAGGAGCAGGCCAGAGAAGAAATAGGAAATACGGTTGGATATTCGGTGACACGGAAAGCCATGGAACGAATGAAGCGGAGCACTGATCAGTGGGTTTGAGAGGGGTCGAGTTCTCGTCAGAGGAAGGCGAGGAGGAATTACGATCGTTTCTTACATGAGCAGAAGAGAGTGAATCCATAATGTACTGTTGAGATACATGGATACACATGAGATATGCGAATTGCACCCAGGCATCGTGTTATCTTATTCAGAGGGGTATCACAATCATATTATCCGAACCTTGCCAAGCTAATCGAAAGACTACCCTAGAGCCAATACCAATACCAATAGCCGTACTCCAATACCATATATTACAAGCGCGAGATGAACTTCTCCCGTCCGCCCCACTCGCTACCCCCACATGCGTAGTCGACTGCACTCAATGGATCTTATCAATCCTCTTCTTAGCAATCTTAATCTTGCCATCCACCCTCTCGACATCCTCCTCAAACAACCCAAGCATGGCATTCTGCTCGACAATCTCTCTGTTAATCGTGACACCCATCTCCTTCATCCTCCTCACCACAGTCGCTATATCAACCAGATCCTCATCCTGCGCAGCAATAATCTGCTGCTGCAGCTGCAAAACACCTTCATTATCCAATTCGCGTGTTTTATCCGTTTCCTGCGCCGGTGCACCGCCCAGCACCCTGCGACTGGACGACGACTTGTTGGCAGACGCCGCGCCTTTGAACAGACCCGCTTTCTGGCTCTCCGTGACAGCAGCCGAAGACGTCGACGGCGCATTGTGCGAGGCGGCACCAGAACCCGATATCGCAGCCTTGACAGCCATGCTGTTGAGCACCGAATCTAGACCATCGCGTTCTTTGCGTAGACCACTGATCATGTCTTTTCTTCGGCGTATCTCGCCGTCACCTAGTTTCTCGCCGGACCAGTCGTCCGAACCGCCTTTTGTGTTGGCGCCACCTAGCCGGCTCAGTCCTTCGTCCAGCGCGGAGATGAGCGTGGAAGCTCTGACGAGGCTCTTCTTCGCGTTAGCCGCTGCCTCGTGCTGCGCAGTTGCTGCGGTCGCTTGTTCGCGTTTCGTCAACCATCTCCGTGCGTCTTGGAGGTTAGATTTGAGTTCAGCATGTTTATCCAGCCAGTCCGACGAATCCCTCACTCTGTCTTTTCCAAACTGTGAACCGGGGAAGCCAGTAGTTTTCTTCCCGTTGCTGCCGTTTTGTTCGCCGCCTAGGTCGAGGAAGGACTTGTAGGCTTTGCAAATGCGCCAGCGTCCGTCTTCGCTGCTCTCGATGGCCCGCAGATAGGCCTCCAAGCCTGCTCGTCGCTTCTCGATGGCTTCAGGTGAGCTTGCCGTGTTGCCTATGCCTAGGAAGCCGCCGAGCCAGGATTTTGGTGGGAGGGGAGCGGGCGGCGCGCACCCGGCTTCTGATCGCAAGGCCGAGTCGAGAGAGGAGAAGTCAGAGTAGCGCTTCTGAACGCTGGTTGTGGCGCGGGGGAAGGGGTGTTCGATCTTGATGGTATATGATGTGTAGGCCTTTCCGTTCTCAGGTGTCTGGTTTTGCGCTGTCGGTATCGAGATCTTTAAAGGCGCCATGATTGCGATGTATGTGGTGGATGTTATGCAGGGTAAGAGTGGTGTTGTCGCTGATGTCGGCGGCAGGCGGCCGTCTTGTGTTTGGCCGGTGCCTCGCGCGGTCGCGTGCACTTTATTCGCGACGGTAGCGTTGTTTTGGCAGTCCAAGCTAGGTGTCTGCGCGCGATATGCGTGTATTCCGGTTATTGAAGGTTTATTGTCAAAGACGCGCTGAGCGCAAAAAGAAAAGACGTCTTGCGCAAGATCCAGGGTCCTGGCTTGATTGACGTCGTTGGACGCAGCCGCGGCACGCTAGCGCCACGTGCGTCACCTAGGCGATTGAGGTTTGCCTTGGGGAACTCAACACCATGATTCCTGTCACCAACACCTTGTTCGACATCAGACGGCCACGTCCGATCCCAGGATCACGCATCACTCATATCATGCTTTTGATAAATAGCAGATGAGCTACTTCCGACCTTTCGCGAATCGCAACGTACCTATGCAGTCAGGTAATTCAGAACAAGAAATGCCACAATCACGGTGGTATTCTATATGCCTTGGAACTAAAATTCTAAGAAATATCTGACTGAGAAGCGAGGATTCTCACACCTTATCGTTTCGAGACCTCTTTGCCATCACAACGCACTTTTTGTCTTTCGCAGTAGTCTCTTCTTCAGCAATTCTTTCGCGATGCAGCGATACCGCACTTTCGCATCTTCTTGTCGTTCCCTTTCCCTTCCTCTTCTCGTAAGCCGTAGCCCGCATACTCTGCTCAGGATAGCGCCCAATGTCTTTTCATGACAGGGTTCCGTGTAAGACCTCAACACCGTGCACTGCGTTGTTGGACATTTGCATAGCGTCTCGCCGGCGTGCTACCTTGCTAATAGGAGCTCAAATTACCAAACAACCCTTGCGGTCGCAGTTGATCTGCCCATGACAATTTTCTTGGCTAATACCGTTAATCAAAGGTTCGCCGCGAGAGGGTCTGGCGTGTCGCCATTGGCCGAGCGCACATCTTGGGGAGGAGTGCAAAGTAGTGAATAACCTCCAGAAAGCATACATGCTTTGCCGCTACTTTCGAGGACCACTCCGCCGGCTATGGATATTGCTAATGCTTGGGCAACACGACTCTTCTCATCGACAGATTCATATGCCAGTATACGGAGACGACGGTAGACGACATGGGCCTTCTCAATCTCCCACCGGAGCTTTGCGCCAAGGTGATCCGCCTCTGCGTCGACAAGGACAACGTCTGTGGAGTGTCAAAGCAACGCTTAACTTGCAGTGAGTTTTCCTGTAGAGCCTCGCATTTGCACGTGTGGTAGACACTGTGTTCAGTCCCTAGTCTACCCAAATGTGAGATGTCCAAAAGCGACTGGACTGACACCGTCTACACAGAGGCCATCAAGTACTACCTCGACCACGAGCTCTTTTCGAAAATGCCGGTTCGTGCCTTCACCCGCGCTGGAAGTAAGAGCGCTCGACTCATCGTGATCATTGCCTTCTCTTACCGCTCCATTCTCAGTAACTTTGACAATCCCTCACCGACCAATATTACTTGCTCAGATCTTTCTTGTCTTACCTTTACTTCTGGTAACGTTTACTGCAATAAGTCTACCCGACTATATAACAGGAACCGCTCTGTCAGCCTCTGACCCTCCTCACTTCTACTCCACATCACCCTCTTGTTATTGACAGCGAACATGCAGCTACTTGACTTACCACCAGAGATTTTCCAGCGTATTACGCATATTCTAGTTAAGAAACACGGCATCACGGAAGCTTGGAAGCTTCGAGGAACAAGCAGTAAGAACCACGTCACTATGCATCTATCATGAACATCGCGCTGATTTACTGGATACCAGAAGCTTTTCAAACCTATGTCACCTACGAAGTCCTTGCTACTCCGTCTCTCTATGCATACAACAAGATGCGTGCGGGACGCGAGATTCTCAAGCACAAGCTCGCCGACTTCCTCTACACGCGCAGCACAAAGCTGAATGGCTTTGTACGCACCCATGTGCCCAACTTCATCAACCGTATCATATACATAACGGAGTCGTGGATTACTGGCGATCAGGCAATCTCAACACTACGAAGGGTTATATGCGAACTCTTTGTCCGTAATTGCGACGGTGCGCTGAGATTCGTTTTGACCGATACGAACAAGCTGAGCATCCAAGATAAACAGGAAACCATGGCGAGTAGCGGAGCCAATTTGATCGCTACCGTTGCTGCTATAGGTGATCTTTATATCTTGAGAATGCAGGCCGCGAAGGACAAAGACTTGCTATGGGCCAAGTCGCCAGCCTTTGGATATCCGCTGGATGTAGCCGTTTATGCAGGGCACTTTGGTGTTGTCAAAGCGATCGCGCAACAAGCCGTCACCAACCAGAACGAGGACGTCGTCGATCTCCATCACCGCTACAGGTAAGTTTCCCACTATAAGGTGCAAACAAGACATACACTGACTTTGCGCTTCCGGATCTAGTTCTCGACCTGAGCATATCTCATTTCGTCGAGCGATCGGCACCTGCATCGAGCTGCAACATTGCGGTATTATTGATTACTTACTCCACAAGTACGTGGAAGCCTTTGGTTTCCCGACAGAAGTTTGCATGGCAGAATGGCTTGATAGAGCTGTTACATGTGGCCACAAAGACATCCTTCGTCTCCTGCTTTATTGCCCGACGCAAGCAGGTATATCCACGTTTTACAAGGCATTCGAAACAGCCTGTCGCCTTTCGAAAGTCTCCCTTCTCCACATCTTCTTCCCTTATTCCCTGGGTGGTCCAGGGTGTTTAGCAATCAACCAAGTCTACCCATCGAGCATCAAAGGCTACTCATCTACCTACCCCCTCAACACCGCGATAAGGCTTGCAGAGGGACGCCGCATGATAACCATCATCAAAAAGCTCCTTGAACTTGGCGCGGATCCAAATGGACCGAAGTACCGAGCTGGTTTGAGACGACCGCTTTATCTGGCAACAACTGGTGAGTGTGCTTCGGGTATTCTGCCGTTACTAGACGCAGGTGCCAATCCGTACTTGATCAATGATGCCCGATGGATAAAGGTGCAGCGGAAGAGGTATAGTAAGCAAACATCGAAAGGGAAGGCGTTGAGAATAGCGCTAAAGCGTTATGCGAAGTCAGAGCCTGCGAAGGGGGTGGAAAGATTTCTTGCTGAGGTGGCTGTGAAGGACGTGAACTTGAAGCCGGCGTTCTTTGGTTGCACGCAGTCATAGGTTGGCACTGGAATCTTACACTGTCAGTATCAGGGTCTATGTAGTTGATCAGTATCAAGATTAGATATCACAGCATCGGATCCGGATGTGACTTAGTCTCCCAGGAAGACCTTATTGATTGGCCTGTTTAACCGGTGTCGCATGCGCCCATACCTTCGGTCCAGGAATCTTATATCCCTCAATCTTCCCATGTACATCCACCAGTATACCCTCATCGCTACTCCCATACAGCTCTTCCCCCTTCACACCACCTTCTAATCTCCTCACCTCTCCACCTATCCCCCGCCCCACCCGGAGATTCAAGCACTGCGGATATGCTTGCGCTCCGTCCACTTTTTCTGCAACGTGTAACGCGATAATCTCATGCCTTAACACATAACTTCCCTCCTCCAGCACCTCTGGTATCCTGACCACCCACGAAAACCCATTCGCGATGAGCACATTCGCCGCCCAAGTTCCACCTAGATCTATCACATTCCAACCTGTACTGTTCAGCCATCCCAGCTCATCAATCTTCACCCACTCCAAGTCGTTCTTTTTTGCTTCTGCACAGCTGCCCTCGCATTGTGCTAGATATGTCATCACAGGCCCGACGTGCGAAGTTGGCCATTCGTTCCATTGTAGCTTTAGTTCCTCGCCGGCTGTTACAGGAATTTGGAGAGCGCCGGGTACGGCGTTGTAGTGGCAGGAAATATTTGAGGTGTTGAACTGAGAGGGTGGGATGTATATGTTGCCTAGACAGCGTCAGATATGTTGAAACGTTACGATGACGCATATATCTTGCCTAAGTTCGATGCTGACCATGCAGCAAGAGGCTGTGGCGGTATCAGATCATCCGAAGATGCGGGATCCCAACCATCATAGGGGTCACCGGTAGTAGTTGTTATACGCGTTACTCGACCATGTGCATACGCGATAGTAATCAAGAAAGACGATAGAATCTTCTTCGAAAGTCGCATTTTCAGTTAAGCCTAGGGTAGCTGAGTCGGACTGAAGAAGGCGATGCGAACGGGTACGACTCAAACTTCTATCTAGCTTGCTTTCTCGCCTGTTGTTGAAGTCGTCTAGTGCTTGGTAGGACGAATGTCACGGCTCAAGTGAATCGCGCCGAACTCTCAAAAAGGGCACCGAGCAGGATACAAGCATCTCTTGATGACCATGAACCAGGGCATCGGGCCCGGCAAAGGTCTTCGTAATGATTGTTTACCCATACACATTCTGTAATTACCCCAGATTTGGCGATGTTGTACCTCATATCAGGATCGACCGCTGATTGGCTGACCTCTTCCGTTACTTAACAGGACTTACTTTAGACCTTACCCGTCTAGTCAGGAGACGATGGCAGTGAGGTTCCACTTGGAAACAGGAAGACTCTCTATATTACGCCATTGGTTCAGCGCTACTTGAACAGCCTCGGTTGCTGTATCCCAGACCATGACGAGATTGCAAGAGCGAGCCACGAGTAGCAACCAAACAAGTACTTGATTTCTCTCGCCGTCTTCTGGCCTATGATGAACCACTAGCAAGGGACTTGCAGCCCGTTGTAGCCATGTTTGACAAAATGGCACTGGAGCTGGCAAGGTCCATCGGAGGTGCGTCGGGAATGTTGTGGTGCTTCTAACGACAACGTAATACTGATTTAGGTACTGTCGTTCAGAAGGTTGTGATATTTGCAGGAACAACTGGACATTGAATGCGCTGCTCATGCAGGGTTGTTGTCTGTTCCTGTGGAAGCTGTAAAAGACGCAGGTGTCCCATGAAGTTCGCGGGTCATGACGCACGATGCGGCGATGTGGACCCGGGGTAGATCTCGACCCGATCCGTCTAAGCGCTCGGCAAGTTAGATCACCGGGTCAAAGACTAACGAACCAACCCTTTTCTACCCCACAAACAAGACACCGGAGTAGCCATCGTGATCATGAAGTCTCTCCACAAGGCAGCTAGGGCGAGCTTCACATCTCAGACGACTTGGACTACTAACGGCCCGCGCGATGACGTCCAAGTCTTTTGTGTCGTGTGACAGCATTTCACGTGTGGGTCATGAACAGGGCGGTATGGGGTCGAAAAGTATATAAGTGAAGCATGGACCAGGAAAGAAGAAAAGTATTGACTCTATTGTTTGTGCGCACGGCCCGGAGTATGTGAAGTAGCGGTAATAGAAGACCCTGCTTGGTATTCTAATCACCGAGATTGTGTTTGTGAAGCACTTGACGTTCGCCGTACCTATCACCACTTACCACAACCTGGAATTACTGGAGGATCTTTTAACAACGAAAGTAAGTTCCTGACCCTCAGCATGCGGTACCCAACAGTTAATGTATCAATCAGAATTGCCATGGTCGCATTGACGGTACTGGGTTCAGCCGCCCTGATAGCTGGCGTCCTAGCCTATCCTCAAGGGTCACCAAACTCTCCTCCGCCTGCCACTGACCTATCCGCACCATGCGCGGAAGCAGCTACGAGGCTGTCTCTTCAAGACGGTCCCCAGGACAACCACTTCTATTCTGACTGTCATACTAGCGCCCACGTTATCGTCACCAGTCCTCAGCCCAACAGCGATCTCAACGTTGTCAAGCCTCGCCTGCTTGTTGCATGGCCCGCTGGCAACAGTGGCGCTATGGCGCTCTTTGCCCCTGAGAGCGGCCAGGGCAGTTTGACCATGAGGCTAGAAGATTCCGAGAACGGACAGTCCGTGGAGCCATTGACCGCGTCGGACCGCGTGGGTGTTTCAGGGTCCATCAACTTCGATACGTCTGCTAGACTGACCGTACCTATCCTGGGCAGTATACGAAGCATCCGCGACTTCACTGAGGGAGGTGGGGTCAGTCAAGACTTCCAGAACAGCTTCGGATTCGCGATCAACGGAGATGGCAGCGCATCGATTAACCGCACTTGGTTTGACGGCGTAACAACTACCACGCTGAAATTCTCACCCTTGAACGGTGGCCAAGCTATCACGCTCAACCGCGAAGCTACATGGACATTGACTTTCGGCGCGGGGAGCTATAGCTTCGAAGCTTCTTACAACTACCCACAGCTGGAGCAGCTTAGTCCACAAGAAGTCCTAAATGATGCGTCTTCGGGATTGATCGCGCAAAACCCGGATCAAACCACCTCATTGTCATTTCTGTCATACACGAATAAACTTCTAGCTGGCACCTGGCGCTTCCTCACCTACTTTGGCCGCGACAGTATGCTGTCACTGCTCTTGATGCAATCTATTCTCAGCGAAGCCGCTATTGAAGCTGTCATCGGAGCTGTCCTCGAGCGAATCAACCGCAACGATGGCACAGTGTGTCACGAAGAGGTTATTGGTGACTACTCGACTTGGCTGAACAAGAAGAAGGGAGTTGATTCTAGTGCGCCCAGCTGTGACTACAAGATGATCGACACCGATTTCATGCTCCCCGTCGCTATGAAGAGCTATTTTGTCGATACGGACGCTGGCAAGCAACGTTCCGATGCTTTCTTCCGCAAGACTGCAACGTTTCTCGCCGAGAACGACGGGCTGCCTTACTCTCAGCTGGCCCAAATTACCGCAGAAAAGATCATGCGGATCGCTGAACCGTTTGCGCAAAGTCCCGTAAAAGATAATCTCATCAAACTTAACGAGGGTGAATCTGTTGGCGAATGGCGCGATTCTAATAACGGCCTTGGAGGGGGCCGCATACCGTACGACGTTAACACGGCGCTTGTACCAGCAGGTCTTCGGGCTATCGCTAGCCTGAGTGGTGCAGGTTTCTTCCCAGACCACCCAGACTGGTCTCAAAAGGCTAATCAGTATGCCCAGATCTGGGAGGACGAGACGCTACAATTCTTCCAGGTCACCGTACCGCAAGCCACTGCCAAATCACTTGTGCAAAATTATGTCTCCGCCGCAAACCTTGGTGTACCAAGCAACGCCGATAGTATTACTGGCGATGTCACTTACTATGGTCTCGCCCTAGATGGCAATGTTGGTTCACCAGTCGTGCCTGTCATGAACACCGACGATTGCTTCCGTCACTTCTTCCTGGACACTACAAATCAAACCCAGCTGACGTCATATATCGACCAGACTGCTTCTCACATTCTTCAACCATTCCCGGTAGGCTTATCGAGTGACGTTGGCTTGTTCGTTGCCAACCCAGCCTACGCCGGAGACGCAGGCTTTGCTGCAGGCTTCTCAAAGACAGATTACCACGGTACTGTAGTTTGGAGCTGGCAACTCGCAATGATGGGTGCTGGACTGGCACGACAACTGGGTCGATGCGCGAGGGACAACGCTCCTGGTAAGCTACTAATGTTCTCTTGCATCATAAACTCTGCTGACGCCCTCTTTCAGAATTCTGCACAAACCCCGAGGTTCGTGATAAGGTTGTTCGTGCTTACAACAGCCTGTGGGATACCATTGATGCCAACCGCGATCAGCTCAGCCATGAAGTCTGGAGCTGGCAGTACAATAACGGATTCCAGGTGGCGCAGCTTGGCTCATTGACTTCGACCGAGAGCAACATTCGACAGCTTTGGAGTCTGACCTTCCTTGCGGTCAAGAGGGAGAGTTTCTAGGCCTCTTCAAGATGGCCTGTTTGTGAGCGGGCTAAGGATCGGCTTGGATACGAAAAGGTGAGGCTACATATCATGTGATGGGATGGTGTAGGCTACGACTTGATGATTTACGATTGATGAATACAGAATTACATAACACATATTCTTGATCCTGGACGAAAAGCTTGCAAAGGTCGCACTAATCTCGGCATTCGGCATTACCAACGTCCGACATTCACTGTCTTGAACATCAAGGGATTCTAAACAGATTTGCGCCATGCCCAAAGCCTCGTTCTCCTACAGCCAATCGTGAGAGCTCGACTTCGTATTCAATCGGTGTCTCGGTACTTGTAAAGGGCGCCTGGAAGAGGAAAGCGTAGCCGCTTTTATGCTAATTTATTTCCATATCTGATATGTCTATGAAGGTATAAAACGGACCAGCGTACCGCACATGCATGAATAACGCCTTTGATCTCTATACGTGCGAAGAGAAAAACTGGCACAAATGACCACTTTAACTCTCTCCAACTCTTTCGAGGACGAGCGTTCTTTCCGCGAACTTTCCTTCAGATGGTCGGTCGCGTGGGACAAAAAGGTCTTTACACTAACTTGAGATGCGCAAGAACCGCGTTGTAGCAATGTACTGATATTCATACTAGGATCTACCGACTTTCCTCACAATAACAGCACCGGAGATAGTTGCAGACTACTCCGACTTCCCTGCTGTAGGGACAGTTCGAAAGTGCCCTCCCAAGCAATTCTTCGAGAGCGCTTTCAGGACAGAAGGCTTAGGGCATCCGGACCGTACGTTTCACCCACCATCACGACCCTCCTTATTTCTTTCTTTCTCTTCATCTGCAATATCTTCTGCATATTCTCAATAACACCATTCCAAGTCAAAACCCAGCACCTCCTTGGTGGTAGCATGTTCACTCGCACGAGCGCCTCAGAAGCCAAAGGAATCTGGCAAGTTCGCGCATGGCACGTGAGGGAGTTTTCCGATGGACATGTTGGCGAGTGGGATAATAGCTCGTTTCTGGAGTTCACGTACGTCAAGATAGAGAGTGGAGAGTGGAAGGTCAAAGGATGGAGACCGCATGGAGGGCTCGCCATGATCGGCAATCACGACGATGTATTCGGGAAGTAGGTTAACATTGATGGGAAGGGGAAGTATGATGACAGGATGTGATATTAAGAGATGGTGTACATACATACTCAGCCTGAACCAGAGCGGTGAACAGCCTTGCCAAGTATGACCCTCGAGCCACAGATCACTGATAACTACCATATGAACATCAACGCCGTCGATGACAAGGTCGCCTCATATGAACAGGAAGGGTGATCGCAGACGCGATTCCTACGAGATCACGATCCACAAAAGGCCTACTGTAGATTTTCCCGAAAGAACTTCGTGAGCGTCGCAAACGCGATGAGCTCTACGCGATCGTAAAGATCAACATGCCCAGCACTCGGTACCCAGACCATCTCCTTCGGCTCACCCGCCCTCGCAAAAGCAATCTCACTAAACTCTTTCGAATGCGCCTGATCACCCGCAACGAACATGATTGGACGAGGCGAGATGGACTCGATATCCTCAAACGGGTAAAAGTTGATGAACTTGACATTGCTCGACGTCGTTGGATCGGTAGTGATGTTCCGTGAGATACCCTTCGGTGTGTACTCCCCGCGAGGAGTGCGGTAAAAGTCATAGAATTCAAGCCCAACCGGAGTTGAGTTTGTCGTGTGTGGTGCGCCGTCGGTGTGGGCGATAGGACTGCCATCTACTTCGGCCCAGCGCTGTGCGTTTGATGCGGCGATGAAGTCCTGGCGTTGTGTCAGGTTTCGAGAGTTCCCTAAGCCAGTGCGATGGAGCATGCCATGGTTTCTCAACGTGGGTGTATGTAATTAGTGCATGTCTCAAACGCAGCTTGGATAGAGATGTCTTACTACATGCTGACCGTTGCAACAGCTTTGATCCGGGAATCGATCTTGGCAGCACTGATGACGAATGCGCCGCTGCCACAAACACCAACAATGCCAATGTTCTCTCGATCGACAAATTGTTGCGTGCCGAGGAAATCTACCGCGGAGCTGTATGCCTCTGCATAGAGGTCGGGCAGAACGGAATTACGCGGTGTGCCTGCACTAATGCCCAAGAACGGAAGATCGAGGGACACTGTGACGAAGCCCTGCTCTGCTAGCTTTTGAGCGTAGAGGTTTGCGCTCTGCTCCTTCGTTGCACCGAAAGGGTGGCCAACAATGATGGCTGGTGCATTGGTACGATTGAGATCGTGTGGAACGACGATGTTGCCAGCGACGTCGGAGTGGTAAAGTGTTGGGAAACTGATGGGGGTTAAGGTGACATTGTTGCTGCGATAGAAGTTGTCTGCTCCGAACGAGAGATTCTGTGCCATAGTCGACATCGTCATCATGCTTGTTGTGGTAATAGAAGAGAATGTAACCCTCATTTTGCGGTAGCGCTGCTGGGATAGTAATGCAATGGTAGAAAAGGCAGATGGAATTTGTGATCTTCTACTGCGTAGACGTCGGTCGGCTTTATATCCTTCGATGGGTAACTAGTGCGATTTGGCAGGTCCACATACCACCTTACAGGTTACATACATATCTCGGTCATTCCGAAGGACTCGATACCTGGAAGGCATGTAATCTTCCAACATATCGCACCGTCCCTGTCATGATGGGTTAAAACGTTGACACAACCTCACCGAATAGCGCCAGACAACTCGCAAGGTCGTACTATTCATGCTGTTAATCAAGCATATACATGTGAGGCTGAAAAGCATTACGGATGCCTTGAGCAAAGATTGTAGAACTGCTTGACGTCGTTGATGCCAAGATAGTGCAGACTGCTGACAGAGCCTAAGACTGATTAGGAAAGCACTTACATGAAGGTATTGTCTCAACACTGACTCTTGATAATTACTCATCCAAAGCATATTCCCGGCTCCTGGTCGATATGCCCCTGCACACCGTCTGTTGATGATCACCATGCGGAAGGACGTCGATTGATGTTCACTCCAGCAGTAGAAGTAATGCAAGACCGCTACATCATCGACGGCTCTCAGTTGGTTTTGACGAGAACAAGATGGGTCTCTCATTTCTCCTTCTTCGCCAGTTGTTTGTAGACTCCAACAACGTCGTACATCCGTCCAGTAGATGATTCCATTTCCTCAGAAACTCAATATTGACTTCCCACTTCCAAATATCCCAAGGTTCGCCCCATACCAGAAGTGACGGACTCTGAGCACGACCAGGAGCGCACTTTATCTCCAGAAGATCGAACCACAATTCATCTTCATCAAAGTGCGGGTCTTGCAAAGCTGTCCGGAGGATTTTATCTCGGAATTGAGGTAAAGGGAACAAATCCACTCATGGATGGTGCGAAGTGGTCAGTTGTAGCACCGTGAGAAACAGGACACGAGGGCACGCGAGCTTGAGCGGTCTATGCTGGGTCAAAGGAGATACAGAGTCGCAAAGCAGCCATGACTTTGAAAGACCAAGCACTGAAGCATTGCCGGCTAGAGTATTTAGAATGTTCAGGTGGATGATGGTGGGTAGATGAGATAAGAGGGGCGCATTTTGCAGATATCGGATATACGCTGCATCTGCGAATTGACGGATGACTTGTTCCAGTTCTGGAGTGATCAATGTGTCGGTCATTCCTGACGCTTTCAATTCCAAGTATGAGGCAAGTAGTTCCTTTGGAGGCGCGCAGCTTTTCTGGGATATCAAGGCAAGAGTCGAGTTGGACGCCTCGAATTTTCTTCTACCTTGCAGTCGTCACTCTCAGCGTTCAGATGCATGTATATGAGGCACTCACGACGAGCTCTTTGATTGAGTCGATTCTGAAGCTTGCGTCTTTCTGAGCTTGGTTTTCCACTCCAGTCTTCCTCTTTGCCGATCGCATCAGGTATACGCGATGTCGGTATGATCGTCATGTTGGATGCATCTGAATGAGTCTTCTGCAGCGCCGTATTGAACCTAGTGCGTATCGCACTCCATTGACCTTGGACATGAAGCCTCTTTATGCGACATGCTGACTACAAGGTAGGCGAGTTTGAGCTTAGCTCCATATCTTTGGTCAAAACGGTTCTAGCGTGTTTTCGGTCCTTAGTGAACAGCTTGTTCACTTAAAACCGCCGTTCGGCAAAACCATGATTTCGACAATCATCGCGCTGCAACAGAAGCGCTGCACGAACGCTATAGCAAAGAGTAGACGCAGGCGTCCACGCAAAATCGCTCTACCATGCGGATCCCCCGTCCCTTATGCAGAGATGCGTACATGGTGCCTTACATCAGGCTTTGTAAGGAGGATAGATCCAAGTCTGGAAGAGAGGGGTGCCAAGACATACAAGCCGCTAATGCACAGAGCTGACAGCTACAGTAAAGATCTACATTTGTAATCTTGCCGCGTAGCTCGTCGAAATTACATCTCCAGGGCTATCTCCCCTAGATACCATCACGTGTGCCAACCTGGATGTACCGGGATGATGACGCAGTTGGATGTTTACTTACCCGTCCGCTTTTCCGCAAATCGGAAGGCGTAATGACGGATTGTAGGAGAATCAGGAAGGCAGTCTACATGAGACTACAGGTATAAAGGCATATCCATCTCGGACGTCCGTCGCCACTTTGCTTGTATCAGTCCCAAACTTCTCCGGTCCATATCTCTCCATATCAACATGACGATGAAGCTCGCCCGCGCTTGTGCATTTGCGCTTGCGACATCGACCCTTGCGTTCGCCTGGAAGGAGCCAGTATCTCTATTTCCATCTGTGATCAGCGAAGGCCAACCAAAGGGCGAAATCAAGAATATCAGCGGAGGTAAGTCCGTCTCGGGACCAATTGATCGTTTGTGAGCAGCTCTGAAATATCAAAGTTGAAATGTACCACGCGTACCCGGACCATCGCAGCAAGACGAATAGCAGCAACGCGATCCTCTTCATATCCGACATCTTTGGAGTTCCGCTCCTCCAAAACAAGTTGTAAGTTTGCGCGCAGCAAAAGCTTTGCAAACTATGGAAAGCTAATTCGTGTTCTAGGCTTGCAGACTCATATGCTCGCGCAGGATACCTTACCGTGATACCAGATCTGTTCGCCGGCGACGCAATTCCCAGCGACATTCCCGAAGGCCAGCTCAACTTGACCGCGTGGTTTCCCAACCATCAGCCCGCCAACGTCGAGCCCATCATCGAGAAGACGATCGCATACCTACGCGAAGACCTCGGTATTCAAACTATTGGGGCTGTCGGATATTGCTTTGGAGGCAGATATGTAGCCCGCTTCTTGGCCGAAGGCAAGGGTGTTGATTTGGGCTTCACTGCGCATCCGAGCGTGCTTTCCAACGCCGAAATCGCCCAGATTGTGAACCCAATTAGTATCGCGGCTGGTGGTGAGTGTGCTCTTGCAGTGGCGTGTGTCGTGAGCAGACTGACGCGGTGAATTAGAACTTGATGCGACTTTTAATATCACGCAACGTTATGACGCCGACCGTCTTCTCACAGGTAACAATGTCACGTACGAACAGACACTGTACTCGGGCGCCCCGCACGGATTTGGTGTCAGAGTCAATGCCAATGTCCCCAGGCAGAAGTATGCAAAGCAGTCGGCGTATATTCAGGCGTTGAAGTGGTTCGACTTCTGGCTCTAGAAGCTTCGCGAGCGGTTGGTGTTAGGTCTTGCTTTGGCACCTGCCGTTGGATGTGTCACGGTGTGACGGTGCTGTGTCGTACTGGCGAACACGGAGCTTCCTTACTTCCTTGTACTGATTTGAAGTGGAGAGATTGAGAATTAGACAAGATGTAAGCTGCGCCCGATGGATGAGTCTTCTGGATACGATAGCGCATACATTTGTACATAGCAAGCACTACACGGGTAGACCTTTTATAGTCCTCACATTCGCTTGTTGGTTCCTTCCATTCGTACGTGACGATCGACGATGTGCGATAGTTGGTGATGTTGGTGATGTCGGTGTTGGTGATGTTCAGTGAGAACGCCGTTCAGTGCACCAGATAAACGCAGGACTGTGTGCAAGCGCCGGATGAGAAATGCACGTGCAACACGACGAGCGGGGTCGAACAGTATGACAATAGAATATCGCTTGAGATATGCGCAGTCACCTCTAATTTCTCCGTACAGCGCAGACCCATCAGTGCAGAATCCGTCTGTCCAATGGCCCATTGTACCGACCTTCCACGACTTCTTCTTGCGATTGTCATATGGTGTTAGTGCCGAAAGTCTGGGCTGTTTGATGGTATCGCATCATGCTTTGACGTCCACACAACGCTGGAGTGTCGAAGCAAGTCTGAGGCTCTTTCCCCGCCTTTATGCCGCCTCTTGCAGGGTGTATGTCCCGCGTAAATTAACGGTCGTCCGGCAGCTGCATTTAGCCTTGCACATAGTGCCCCGGAAACAAGTAGCGGCATGCAAATGTCGGTCGCGTCACGGAAATCTCCTTCTCTCCGAGGCTACGACGTACGTTTAGGTGCGTATAGATGCGTCAAGAGTGATGGAGATGTCATCTTCATATGCTGCAAACGATGTTAGAGTGCGCGATAGATGGTTTGTTGCGAGGTGTCCTTGTCAACAACATGGAAGAAGAGAAGATAAGAAGGCGGTCCGACCAACTTACCAGACATGATTCAGAAGCAATAGCGGTACACAGATACGAACATCTTTCCATACTCCCGCAGCCGTCACAATGGTATCCCTCAAGTGCCTCTCCGCCGTTGCCCTCCTCGCAATCGCTTCAGCTCAGTCGACAAACAACACAACCCCAATTCGCTACATGCCCTTTGGCGACAGCATAACGGAAATAGTCTGCTGGCGATCAAAACTGTGGCAGCGGTTCCGGACCACTGAGTGGGCAAACGTCAACTTCGTTGGCAGTGGCAAGACGGAGAACAACTGCCGCGACACGACCTATGACCGCGACAATGAAGGACACTCTGGTCACTATGCCCATATACGAGATGCGTTGGAGAAACAAACTGACTCGGTAAATCGAACTTTAGGCTTCCTCGCCATCGATATCGCGAATAAGAATCAGCTTGACGGATGGCTGAAGACGAACCCCGCAGATGTTATCACCATGCACCTGGGCACAAACGATATCGTGCAGCAGAATAAAGCGGTGACGGACATCATCGCTGCGTTTACCAAACTCGTTGGCACTATGCGGACGTCGAATCCCAAGATGAAGATCATCGTACGTCTCTCTTACCCAGCATGTGCCTATACACAGTTTCAGACATGCACCTACTTACCTTGGCATCTCAGGTTGCCCAAATCATCCCCCTAGGCATCGGGAACTACAACGGCAAGGTCCAGGAACTGAACCGCGCGATCGTGCCCTGGGCGCAAGGTCTCAATACGACGCAGAGCCCCATCTGGGTTGTAGACCAGTATACAGGGTTCAGTGGGAGCGCGGATCTGAGGGACGGAGTACATCCAAATGATAGCGGCGATGTCAAAATGGCGAACGTGTGGTATCCTGCGGTTGTGAGGGCTTTTGAGGCTGCGAGAACCGACAGGGTTGTCATTGGGAGGGAGTTTGCAGCATAGATGGAAGCAAGATTGGGGAAGGGCAGTAGCGGTGTAAATAAGTCCATGATGTCCCATGACGGATCAGCTCATTAGAAATTCTCATGTCAGTAGAGTGTGCAGCACGTGACGTGGAACGCTATGGCATCGGCGCTAAGAACTTGGTGGGGCAACGGCGCCCAAATTGTCGACTCCCCGACGGGGCAGGCGCATCAACAAATAACAGCAATCGTCTTCGCCCACCGCCTCCAGCGCCACCTCTGTACACAGACACTCTAGTCTATGCTTTTATCTCATTGCTGATCATTCAAAACAAAGTTTTAGACGTCAGCACAAAGGCATATCCGCCATGGGAGAATCAAGGTACGGTCTTCGAGGGGTTAGGCTGCGATGGAGAGATATGTGCAGAGCATAGGCTGACAAGACGTGCACAGACAAGAACTCGTGGCCTGGTTGAACAACCTCCTCCAGCTTAACATCACCAAAGTCGAACAATGCGGTACCGGGTACGTCAGACGCGCCGAGCCAAGGCACAGAGGGGCATCAGGGTCCAGGGCCTGAGGACGTGTACTGACATGGCGGAACAGAGCAGCACTGTGCCAGGTCTTCGACAGCATATTCTGTAAGCCTCTCACCTGTTGTGTGTGTGCGCGAGGCGAGATTAAGACTAACAGCGTGGAACAACAGACGATGTGCCCATGTCGCGAGTCAAGTTCAATGCCAACACTGAGTATGCATACCTGCAGAACTTCAAGGTATTACAGAGTATGTCTCTCTCACAGTGAACACGCTGTACTGCAAGTCCTCTAACACGCACGCTAGACACGTTCGCCAAGCACCAGATCGACAAGCCCATCCGCGTCGAGTCGCTCGTAAAGTGCAAGATGCAGGACAACCTCGAGTTCCTCCAATTCGTCAAGCAGTACTGGGACCAGCACTTCCCAGGCCACGAATACGACCCCGTTGCCCGCCGCAAGGGCCAGGGCGGCGTCGCCACGGGAGCCGCACCCCGCGCCGCTGCCTCGACTGCCCGACGAGCACCCGCTGCCTCCAACACGGCCGCACCGCGTACCCGCACACCCCTGGCGTCTGGCGGAGGAGCCGCGAGCGCCGCACTGCGCGAGGAAAACACGGCGCTCAAGGAGACGGTGACGGGCCTGGAGCGCGAGCGCGACTTTTACTTTAGCAAGCTGCGTGACATTGAGCTGCTGATTCAGCAGGCCATGGAAGCGGATCCAGAGCTTGAAAAGGACGAGGGCTTGCTCAAGCAGATCCAAAACATACTCTACTCTACCGAGGAGGGCTTCGAGATCCCGCCCGAGGCCGAGGGCGCCGAGGAGGAGACGTTTTAGAGCGAGGTCGCTACTCCGACGACGACGATGACGATGACGAACAGGGACGTACAAGAGGAACTGAGGAACGTTATCCAGGCGGCACAGGACTTGATGGACGAGACGGATGCAGTTGAGGCGGCTAGGGAGGCTGGCAATGTGGTGGTGTTTAGCGCTGGCATGATGAGGCCCGACGACGCTGTTGCGATAGGGGTGGACCGAGACATCTTTCCTGGTGATGAGCCTTAGTCCTTGGCATCTTTTTTTGGGTGCTCTTATTCTCCCTCATCTTGAGAAAGCTTGTCATGTCTTCGTTCATCTTTCTCGTTTTCGTCATCATCGTCATCAGTGTCTTGTCTAGCTGAGCCAGTTCGTCGTATTAGTTCCTCAAGTGGGTGAGAGAGGAGAGGAGGGTTATGATTGCATTTGGAAGCGAGGATACCACTTTCCACTGGGGAAGACTCGACGTCTTTCTCTATTTCAATACACGAGTTTCATGGTTCGGTCTTTTTTTTTGTACGTATATTTCTCGTTAACTTTGCATGATATCCTTGTTCCGCTTCTGCCATGTTCTTGCTACAAGAATACATGCGGTCTGAGAGGGACTGTGGCCGCTACAGAACTTGCTCTGGTGTCGACGTTCGTGGAGGTGCGGAACGAAATACATGTGCAAGATACTGCTGGGCAGTAGTGAATGCTTCTGGCGCTGACGACGACTGCAGCGAGCCCACGTATCATCTTCACGATGGCAATGTCGCGTCCATGTCGGGATACGAGCTCAGCGTGAGGAGGAATTTGGAGGGTATACAATGCACGCATTCCTGCACCGCACAAAGTCGTAGCGTCTACGTTACTTTTCAGCATTCTATACAGCCAGGTATAGCTCACTGTATCGGCTTCGCTGTAACTTCACCTTGTGTTTCACTGTGCGAGTACTGACTGGTTCATGCCTTCACAGCGAGCGGAGAAATCGTACCCATACATTGCCAGTATCCTGGTACCTCTGCTCAAACTGCCGTACATCACCACTACCTCTATTACAGGAAGCAACACATATTTCGCTCGGACCATGCAGTATGTATGTACTATATCCTTGTCTAAGAGACCTACCATAACCTTCAGGTGTAAAGCCCCATCCCAGCCAGATTCACAGACAAGTCGGCCTTTATTACAACATGACACCGAGATACCTGACACGTCGGTAGTAGAGCCAGAAGCTGATGAGCAGAGTGATTGGGACACAGGTGAGGTCGAAGACAAGGAATGGACCGACGAAGAGCTAATGGACGATGCGCGACCGGGGAGACGAGCAAGACGGCGTGTTCAAAAATCATGACTTTTGGTAGTAGGCAGGGTGAAGAAGGGTTGATGTCGCGTCTGAGTCTCTCTAGGAATTTGCACGGATCATGGACGGGAATGGGAGGTCAATTGAGAACGAGACGGGAATGGGAGTTCAATTGAGAACAAGAGAGTAGTGCAAGAGCTGAGATTCAGTGCAAGGATACAAGCGCTGAAGAAGCAAATCTGTCGCAAAAGCAATGGACCTTGAGCATGCTGAATTGACAAAGAGACGTAGAAAATATGCGCGATGACTTGCGAATGTGGATAGCGTCAAAGGAACAGATATTAGTATATCACCTCGTGATCGAGACAGACGCAAAGAAACAGTAATGAGAAGCTTGGAGGGCGACAGGAAGGTGCTGATCGGTCTCTGGAGCCAATCATTACGAAAGGGCGATACTATTGATTATCGTGGACATGCTGTGAATGGGTACGCTGTTGAGTGGTGTTACCAGACAGTCAAACTTCGTCAAACCTGCAGCGCAGTCAGTAAGCTCTTCCGATGCCAACATCCTAGTCACATAAAGAAAGATTTCCTTAAGAACCTCGATTTTGACGATAGTTCTAGCCGATGGCACTATTGATCTGGAACCTTGGAAGCGTTGCACAAAGGGTCTTCTGGGACGCTAACCCATTTTGCGTTCGCAGGGCTCAAAAGCTGCCTTAGTAAGGAGCCAGCGGCGTTTGACGAGCGTTAGCCGCTATTTTCCAGCCATCCGCGCATAAACTCAGTAGATCTACTCAGTAGATCTTCAATAAGTTCGTCTTGTCGCCGACATCAACGAACTGCGAGAGACATCTTCTCTATATCACAATTGTGCAGCACGGCAAAAAGCTGGGCCACCCAGGCGAACACGACTCTTGTTGACGTTTGTAGATCTCGTCAAATCTCAGCAATCGAGTCAGCATGGGCGCAATAGAATAGTCTCCACGGTCACGGACACCAAACGAGCAAACGATCTGGAGATGCACCCCTTCGTGACATCATGCCCACTAGCTCGTCTCGCTAACCCGCAAGCAGCGCGGTGTCGTCACTAGCCGGCGATCTGAACGCATCCCGTACGGCACATCCTCTCCATCACGAACTTCTGACCACTCACGCCAAAGCGGCCGCTGCATCATGCACCGCTATCCACGTCCGCGGGCTTGCCATGATCGGGGATGAAGGGTTTCAACGCAGGGATTGAGACCGTGTGGCTGGACTTGAGGATCGTGGCTCGCGGCCAACATCACGCAAAGGACCGCCAAATGTGAGACGTGCGGCTGCCTATTGGACTTTGAATAACGCCATGACGGGTGAACCGCTGGTCTCATGTAGTCCTCGTCAGAACCCCGCCGACCATTATGGCGTTCAGGCTTGTGGAAGACGTCAGGTTTGCTAGCGGAAAGGTAGATCTGTTCTTGTGGTGGTTTTGCATTAACTTCAGCCGTGAGCTATAGAAGTTGTCTTCTTTAGTTCTCTTTCTACTGTTTTCCAGCCTGGTGGCATTCGTGTCTTTTGGCCAAGCATAGCAACTCTTACTTTGCACCATTACTATCGACAATTAACGACTGCGGCTAGCCTTCAGTCTTAGCCGTCGTGATGGCGCTCAAAAACATCCTTCCGCTACACAAGAAAGACGCGTCTTCGTCGTCTCACAAGCCCAAAACCTTGCCGAAAGATGGCACTCCTCCAGGTCACCCCACGAAATCCGGCTTCATACCTAATCGGTGGCGCAATGAACTTGTTGCCGCAGCAGCAGAGTTCGCAGGCACGTTCATGTTCCTATTCTTTGCGTTTGGAGGAACAAGTGTAGCCAACACGGCAGCAACGTACAGCAATCAAACAACCTCTGGACAAGCCAACAACAGCATCACGCAGGCGCCGGACACCAGCGTGCTGCTGTACATTAGTCTGATCTTTGGCTTCAGTCTGATGGTCAATGTGTGGGTATTCTTCAGAGTGAGCGGAGGACTATTCAATCCTGCTGTAAGTTGACCTGATGGCATCAAAGCGTTTGGAAGATGGACTGACCATGACCACAGGTGACACTCGGTCTCTACCTCATCGGAGCCATCCCAGCCATTCGCGCATGCCTCTGTTTCCTCTCCCAGATGCTCGCCGGCATGGCCGCTGCCGGCGTAATCCAAGCCATCATCCCCGGCCCCCTCAACGTCTCCACAACCCTCGGTGCAGGCGTCTCAGCCGCCCGCGGTGTCTTTCTCGAAATGTTCCTCACCTCCCTCCTCGTCTTTACGATATTCATGCTCGCAGCCGAGAAGCACAAGGCCACATACCTGGCACCAATTGGTATCGGTCTAGCTCTCTTCGTGGCAGAAATGGTCGGTGTCTTCTTCACCGGCGGCAGTCTGAACCCAGCGAGAAGCTTCGGGCCATGCGTTGCCACACACAACTTCCCTGAATACCATTATATCTACTGGTTCGGTCCACTAATGGGTACTTTACTCGCGTTCGCCATGTACCGCATTGTCAAGCTAGTCGAGTACCAGACTGTCAATCCAGGTCAAGACTTTGACGACCACGAAGCCGCACTGTTCAAGCCGCCCGAGGACCCGGAGACGGCTTCCCAAGTTGAGCGTCCCAATGTCGCCGCACATGCCATGGCAGATGCCATGCAACTCGCCAGCAGAACAAACTCTGGTTTCAGCGAGAGCGAGCAGAATTTCAGCGGCATAGACGGGAGGCTAGATAGCAGGGATTCAGAGAAGGAAAAGTCCATGAGCTCGAGGCGGTCGCCGCGGCAGGAGCAGGAGTTGTTGGAGAGGACGGGTCATGCACCTGCTGCTAACGGTGAAGATCACGACTGTTAAAGTATATCTGATTTCATTACATTGATGGCTTCATTGTCCGTCTTCAAAATGGTAATTTGTCCTTTGATTTATTTAGCGTTCATAGCGGGTGTTGGCAATAGGATGAATAGGGCGTCTTTCTTCTTCATCACGCTGCACATAAGCATAATCTCATTTCCCCACCTTGCATGATGCCGCGCCGTGCTTCACCTAATCTGGCCTCGGTTTTGTATACGAGGAACCATGCCAGACAGTGAGCGATTAGCATCGCGAAGATGAAGATTGAGACCAAGACTGCGAAGACGCCGACGCATATCCAGATGGCTGACATGACGCTTGATTTTCTCTTGCTCCTCTTCTTCGCGGACGCCAATACGGCGGTGTCGACGGACGCGCAATCTTTCGTCGCCGGTGCGGGTGGAGGCGTAGATGTAAGTCGAGGCAAATCTCTACGCTGCAATTCAAGTAGCCCGTCGTGTGGCTCATGGTCGTACGAATACTCGCCCTTGTCATCAACAGGAAACAATCTTCTCGCAACACCCTTGGCCTCCATATCCCTCCCCGTCTTCTTCAGCGGCGCAGGCGAGCTCCCAAACCACCTATCCCCTCCCATCTGTCTCTCCTCCATTTCCTTCTGCCACCTCTCTTCCCTGCGCCTTCCAAAAGGCGGATCCCAAGGCTTCCTCGCATCCGCTCTACCCTTGCTTTTATCTTTCTCTTCCGTCTTGCCCTTGTTCAGATCCCCTGCTTCTAATGATCCTGTCGTTGCAGTCGGGTAGGACGGCTGTCGATGGACTTCCTCGCTCCCCGTCCACTCGCCCGACTCCTCTCCAGTCGACGGGACGCCGCTGTCCGCACCGTCCGTTGCGAACGCCTTCCTTTCCCCGTACTGTGCGCTACTTCGCGGCGTTGGGGCTGGCCCTCGTGGTCGTAGGCGCCGTCGTAGGGGTGGTGGCCGTTTGTGTAGCGCGGATCGGTCTTCTAGAGTTGGGCTCAGTGAATACTCGTGGCTTAGTTTTTTGAATTCCAAATGCTGGTATTGGATTGTGTATGGAGGGGTGGGGTTGTGGTTTGGTTTTTGACATACGGAGATGGTGCATTAGGTGGGGGAGGAATCGAGGAATCTGTACACTGAGGATTGGGAGGCAGATTGCTAGGAGACAGGCTAGGAAGAGAATGCTCATTGCCACATATGGGTATGTGAGTGCACTGAGGTGAGAGTGAACGCCTGGGGGTAGCGGTAGTGGTGTGTAGGAATGGTGTGTGCAATTCCGATAAGGATGGTCGTAGGTGGTAGTGATCCTAGGTGTAGTAAACGTTTACAGAGCGTTGTAAGAAGAGGGGTGTATGGAAACGTGAAATTTAGGTGAAAACAAGACGGTCCACACGTGAGGTTCGCAAGGCAATTGCCTTTTGAGGTTGGTGTTGCGCCTTATGATAGATCGCGACTGTCATACTTCTCCATCCAAGACCGTGGCGTTCCTTCCCCTCCCGGACTGAAACACATCTCACTGGTCCTTAAGGTCTTTCTCCCATTCAACTTCACTCGCGTCATCCAAGGCTAAACTGTATCTAAGGAATGGTTGGTATAGTCATACCAGCATGTTCCACTACTGCAATACCTTTGCATCATGGGTACTCACTGTTTGCTACAATTGTCTTTTCCGCCGCATCATCTTATTTCACGTCTTTGCACTTGAGCAACGTAGCGTATGAGCGTTCGTAGTAGCAGGGTTCATTTTGATCCGCGAGAGTACAAAAGACTAGTACCGTGTACGGTATATGCTGGCTCGAAGTCTTCAGGGTTGACCGAGTCTGCTCTTTGTCGTCTGGACCTGGGATTTCTCATCATGCTTATTGGCTAGGTCTTGGTCTGCTCGCATGACGGAGAGACCAACTCTCTTGGTGCAATGTACTTGGTGATCCGCTGTTGCTCGAAATGCATTCTTGCTGCTTTTTTTATAGGGGTAGCTATTACACCGTTTGCTTTTGCGCAAATCGCCATGTTGTTGCAATAACCCGTTTGGCCTTTGCTTTGCTTGATTCATTCTTGATTCGCCACTGTTGTTTCGTGTTGCTGTGTGCGTAAAGGGGCGAACAAAGCACGACTTGATAATGGTATTACGTAGGGCGGATAACGTGTAGAGAACGTTTGCAGGTATGAGTTATGTGCTGCTTGTAGCGTGGGATCGTTTTTGAGTACCGTGAATTGTATCCTGCAGTCTAATCATTGACCTCAATACTGGGACAGACCGTGGAACGCATACGCTGGCAACTACAAATGATAGTGAATCAATCTCAGCAGGTTGTTCGGGAAGGAAGCGCACAACAAAAGCAGTTGGTACGCTCCAGCCGACCTTGCAGGTGACGCATTCATGATCCATGTTCCATGTCCCTAACTACTGCTGACTGGCTGTTGTACCAGACGCACTGTACCGAGATATAATCTCCGATCAGCCCTGCAGCCAGCTTGCATGATGGGGCTAGACCGTGGAAGTGCACACGCAGAACCTGAGCTGGACCGCAGCAAAGTCAGCATAGGCGCGTCGGGATCATCACGCAGAACTTGCAGCAGTGGGATAGCCGTTGTTGATTGAACTTCGACTTCTAATCGCTTCGGAGGGAATCACAGCACTACCAATCAAATTTGCTGATCCCACTCTGTCGTTAAATTCTCAAGACGTGGACTGTAACGTAATAGACAGGTATCTGACTTCCGTCACCGTATGTGCCTCGCTAGAATAGAGATCTTCGGATGTAAATTTGACGGACTGGAAGACGGGTTTTCGGAAGATATATGGATAGTGGTGGCATTCTTCTGCTCGTGGTAGTAGTGGTGGTGGTGGTGCGGAAGGCCTCGGAAGCTGAGACGGAAAGTGGGGCTGTGATCAAAAGTGGATTGTTTAGGCCAAACGAGCTCCAGTGGATTATGACGTATCACGGAAACGAGGTTCAGAAGACGGAGACAGCAGCCAACCTTGAGAGCCAACCGCTCGAGTAGTATCCCCACAGCGTACAATCACAATCGCCATCACGATGAGAGGCTCGTAAAGGTTCCAAGCCGTTCCCGACGGTACATGTGCGCTCTTTGCATGGCTCTGCACATGCAGCATCCAGACTCCTTCGGATGAACTTCAAGAGCGAATATCGCACGATCGATCCACCAGCCTACAATGACCAAGTCCATATAAAGTGGACCTGAACACGAGAAATAAAGATCGACTGTCCGACATGAGCCCACTGTGGTACTTCTGCACGGCTTCGTCAGCACATGGCTGAACACAGCCCACATCTGACGACGCTCGCACAATGGGAAGCCTACAGCAGTGCACATTCGGTCGCTAGACGACCCGGACAGGTATCCGTTCACCCCGCCTCTTCAGCGAAACTTGTACAGTACCCGAACTTGGACCAGTGATGGTGGCGGCATGGTCAAGTCTCCCATAGATGCGTCTCCATCAACCTTTCAGAGATGAGTTTCGCCAAAGTTGGAGCGCATGAATCATTGTTGCTATCTTCGTAATGCCAGGATGATGCAACTATCTTGCATCGCATTGTTAATACACCCTGTACAACGAATGCTGGTGAGACCGTTCGCTGGACCGTCACGACAACCAACACTGACATCGCTACCCTGGCGATTGAAGCTAAGCAGTAAAGGCGTGGAGAAAAGCCCGGTATGCTGAACCCGATTCGCTACCCTCTCGGCACTGGAGCACATCGATCGTTACTAACGCGTCGTACCAGTACTCCAAATTACTCGCTACTTGCTACTCGCTCCTCCAGCGTCTTCCACCACCTCCCAGGCTAGTAAGTGTATCAGTCGGATATAATTCATGCCGTACTTATTTGAGATGGATCGCTGCAGGGCTACGTCTGACTGTCCACGTACCCCATGTTTCCCAGGTCTACCAAGTCTGGGGTAAACTGCCCAAGAATTGCTTGTTTGGTCATCTTGCATATATTATGATCGTAGCGGAACACTCGGCAACGGTTTGTTACTATATTGGGAAATGCCAATAGTTCCGATGTGTTAAGCGGCATCGACCTTACCATCGGAACGTACTCCGCGACAAAACTACAAGCTTCTCGAGGAACTTCACACCTGCAAGGCAAACACACGGCGTCCACAAACAGCAATGCACTGCATCGCGTGTGTGGCATCTGGTAATGATTTCGACTACCCGATGCATATCGCAATCTCTCATCGCCAAATCTTTGCTCACACCAGGTACATCTCCCTGGAAGCATCCAAGCAACACGTTCCTGTCAATCTACCCCACAATATCGGGTCTGGCGATCATCGCGAACCACAGTTCCTGGATCTTTCCTCTCCTCCTGACCAATGACTGAGGTTGCTGTTACTTGAGACAGCGACATTTTTTATGTCAAGGTGGGTCGCAAGGCTACGGCTAAACAACCATAAGCTCAAGCCACCACCCACTGATATACTAGTCTCCGCAAATGCTTATACGAGCTTACGTCTGTTGATATCATCGTTATGGATATGACGATGAATTGTATGCTCGAAGCGTGCTAACATCCCAACGACGCACCAAGATGCCGTGGCGCCGGGAGCAACTAAGGAAGTTGAGTGGTATTCTTTGTTGTCATCTCCGGGGGGGCCCGAAGAGGTATAAAGACCACCCAAAGCATATCCTTTTGGAGGCATCCTCCAGTTTCATCCCATCTTACAGTCGCTTAATCTTCGAATATGAGATACGCTTTCGTTCCCCTCGCGTTCGGTCTCGGAGCCAACGCCTACGTCGCTCGTGCAAACACACAATGCTTCAAGCTCTCAGCATCTGGCGGCGCATCAGGTGTACTCGGTCAGCTCGACGATGGTCAGAACCGTATTGGCGGCAACCACCCAACCGGCTGCTACTGCTTGGATGGAAACGGCGGCTTCACTGATTCCAATGGACGTGGCTGCATCTTGACTCCCCCTACTACCCAGTTCCAGTGCGATGTTGGCGCTACCCCCACCAACGGCTTCGCTGTCAGCTCCAGTGGCAGTGTCACATACAATGGCTCAGGCAAATTCTATGCCTGCCCTGTAAATGACAACGGCGAATACAACGTCTACACAACCCCTGCTCCCGGTCAGACTAAGTGCGTTGAGATTTCTCTCGGGTCTGCTGGTTCATGCGGAGCTAGTGCGTCCCAACCTGCTGCATCTAAGCCTGCTGGTTCCTATCCTGCTGCTACTCCTCCCGCAGCTACCAAGACGAAGCCTTCCGAGACTCCTAAGCCTACACCTGAGGCCCCCAAGCCTACACCTGAAGCTCCCAAGCCTAGCATGCCCGCGCCCCAAGAGTCCGAGTGTGTACCCAAGGTCGTTACCGTCACTGTCACCCAGCCTATGGCCCCTCCTGCTTCCATGCCTGCTCCCTCCCAACCCGCTCAGAGCAAGCCTGCTCCTCCACCAGAGTCGATGCCTGCCCCTCCTGCTTCCATGCCAGCTCCCTCCAAGCCAGCTCCTTCTGCGCCAGCGCCTTCTAAGCCAGCTGCCTCTGGTGCCTGTCCCCAGGACCTCAACGGCAATTATCAGTATCCTCATCTGATTGTACCCGTTGACTCTGAGCACCCCGACAAGGCCTATGGCACCTCGTACAACGGCACGATCAGCGCCCACATCTGCACTATCTTCAACTTCGATATCCCTGCCTCTTACGCCGGTAAAACTTGCTCTGCCATGTTCATGCTACCCAAGAGGGAGGACCTTGAGACCTCTGACTACACCATCTCTGGTCAAGGAGAATGTACTGTCAGTAAGCTCAAGGGCAATGCCAACGCACAGACTACTTGGAGCAACGCTCCTGCTAAGGCTGGGGATCTTGCTTCCGTGGAGCTCAGCCCCGGCAACACCTACACCGTCGAGTCTGGCGATTGCGAACCTGGTAAGACTGTGAGCTACGAGATTTGCGGCAGCGGTGACTTCTCCATCAACTACTTCCAGGATTACAACCCAAGCCCCATTGGCATGTACATCCGCCAGTGCTAGATTATTCATCACTGTGCTGGATGAGACCTTGCTTTGATTAAGAGTCATCAGCAAGTGAGTCTGAAAGGTGTCTGGGATGTACATACCTGATAATTCTTTTCACCGTTGCCTGGACGAGTCTTTCCTTAATAATATGATACGACATGATGACATGGCACTCCTTATGAAAGCGTTTGTAGATTAGACGAGATTTAATGTATGGTTTTTGCTCCGACATATTTTGGTCTCGCAGCTGCTGTTTTGAGTGAATCATGTGTTGCGAGAAACTCGGCTAGACAATCTCTCACTTGTCGGGCACACGTGGTGACCTTCCACATTCTCGTCCTTTCGACTGCCACCTACTTTGTCTCACGCCAGCCCGCCGAGCTGACCAAGCTCAATTACCCTGTATGATACTCTTGTTGAGGTTTCCGTTTCGCAACAGTGCACCCCAAGAATTTTCCTTGTAATCTGACCCAGGAATCTGACATTGGCTGCCAACTTGACTCTCAATCGATGGGCGCTTCCTCGAACCATCGTCCTCTGCCGCGTATTGACGGAGAAAATATGACAATTTAGATTGCTGCAAACATCTTCAGGTCGATATACAATGGGAACTAAGTCATCTGGAATCTAGGCCATGAAGTCGAAGAATCCACAGTCTGTCGCTGGCTGTACCGAGAAAAGCACGCCGTAGTCTGTAGATGTATTGCGCTAGATACCATCGAATAAATCAATGCCACACAGACTGCCAGTCAAGGTAGCGAGTCGGTGGAACTCTGGTATGCGCAGCACGAGATGCCCTCGAGCACTGCCAAGCCGCTAGTGGTGCTTCATCTCCTCATGTGCGGGGAATCGACGCATCCCCATTGCGTTCGCGCCTAAACATCACGTGTTGAACTGAACGATACCTCATGCCGGCCAATATGCGTGTCCCTGTACATTTTCGAGGTCTTTGCTAGTTGATAGTCGCTTTGTTCGACTTGGAACGTCCTGTACGACATGATTGTCGCACAGCACCATCATTCTCGTGCTTTCTTTCGCTACCTCCGTACAGCGCGTATTCAGTCAGTATTCGAGATGTTCCAGTGAGTATACATAGACAGTGAATAGGTGGCAGCGTGCAACGTTCATCGCGATGCGTCGCATCTGGGGAATGCGTTCATTGTCGAGAAGAGATCAGTCCAGAGCCAACATGCGCACGCAACGATCGCTCAGATTGCGCAATGAGCTGTGCCTCCATGCGCATCATTGCCCTTTCCCCTTGGACAGTTGTCGGATGTGGAGTACCTGCATCGCGGGCTGCAGCATCTAGATCCAACTCAGCCTCAGGGTAGAGCCGCTCACAGTCACGCTAGAAGATGCAACGAATATTCTTTACAATGTATACAAATGGCAAGCTGCAGCGCGAAATGATACAAGATCCTCGTTGTACTTTAAACGCAATATACACGGCAGTAGCTTCACCACGTCGACCAATCTGCGAGGAGCTTGCTGTAGTCGTAATATCATTATCCACACTGTGGGGTCGGTCTTCAAGCGAAGCAGGGGTAGAAGCCGGGTAAAGTGCGCAGATATATTGACTTCCCGTTCCATCCCCGGTAGACTGTGCCTTGGCTAATCTACTGTTAACAGGACTACATACCATTGTAGGGGCAAACGACCGTTCCTTACATTCGCCAAAGAGAATGCACGGTACGCTATCGACGAAGTACTACAGCAACGCCGCCACGGCGCGTTGCATGTGAGATGTCAATGCTTCTAACCAAGGACTTGGACCTTCTTGAGTGCAATCAGAACATAGGGCGGGCCGACGGTACCGTTGATCACGTCTCAAGTCAGCCACGCAAGTGTGAGGGCAAGCCTGTACCAAGCCTGTTGAAGGGAGGACATATTATTGGATGCACACTGTCCGCGGCGCTCGTCTTCACGACGCTCTATATAAGACCAGATAAGTCTCACGTACTGTCGTTCATCATCTCGAGTCACTCAAGTCTTTCTTTCAATCATGGTGCAACTCACACAACTCGTTTTGGCATCCGCCGCCTTCGCTGGTGCTGTATCTGCAGCTCCCAAGCCACCTACACCTCCATCCGTCAACCCTTGGACTGGTAAAGATCGCTATGTCGTCCAGAGCTACGGCAAGAAACTCGACCAGACCATCGCCTCCTTCACGGCCCAGAACGACACCCTCAATGCGGCGCGCACCCGCACAGTTGCTCAGAAGATCTCAACCTTCACGTGGGTTACTACACGTGATGGCCTTAGCCTCATTCCTACTGCCATCAAGGAAGCTCGTCAACAAAGGAAGCCCGGAAAGAAGATGATCGTTGGTCTGGTCTTGTACAATTTGCCCGACCGTGATTGCTCCGCAGGAGAATCCGCTGGCGAGCTCAGTCTAGCGAACAACGGCCTCGAGATCTACAAGAAGGAGTTTGTCGACAAGTATGCCAAGCTTGTTTCCCAGGCCAAAGATCTCGACTTCGCCATCGTTCTCGAACCGGACTCCCTTGGTAATGCCATTACGAACCAGGGCGTCCCTTTCTGTGCCACCGCTACTCCCGCCTACGAAGAGGGTATCGCGTACGCCATTGCCAAGCTGCAGTTCCCCAACGTACATCTGTACATGGATGCTGCGCACGGAGGCTGGCTCGGCTGGGCGGACAACCTGAAGCCCACCGCTCAGATCTTTGCCAGGGTCGTCGCTATGGCAAAGAAACTCAACCCCGCCGCCAAGATCCGGGGTTACTCCACCAACGTTTCCAACTACAACCCCTTCGAAGCTAAAGTACGCGAGAACTACACCGAGTACTCGCCATCTTGGGACGAGAGCCACTACGCCACCTCGCTCGCTACTTACCTCGAGGCTGAGGGTCTACCATCCAACTTCATCATTGACCAGGGTCGCGTCGCCCTTCCTGGAGCTCGTGCGGAGTGGGGTGAGTGGTGCAATGTTGAGCCTGCTGGATTTGGCGCTCTACCCGGTTCGAAGCAGAACAACACCAACGTCGACTCTCTAGTCTGGATCAAGCCTGGTGGCGAGAGTGATGGAGCATGTGGTCTTGCTGGTGCGCCCGCTGCTGGTGCTTGGTTCGATGAATATGTGCAGATGTTGGTGAAGAATGCTGATCCACCACTCGAGCCGACCTACCTGAAGAAGCCTAAGATCTAGATGGGTCAAGTGAAATGGATTTGGACAGCTGTATAAGTACTCTTTTCATAACAATTTAGCTGTACATACTAGATCAAGAATGTGAACATCTTAGAAAATATCCATCTCTCCAAAATCTTGCTGGCTTTGACAAGGCATCAAGTATAGTTTTGAAGCTAGTCATGGGAATCGAGCTATCAAAATAGTTCTAGAGGTTTTGATGCATTCTCCAGCGCAGCGGAAGCAAGCGTTTATGAGACATTTCGTTGAGCAGCGGTCAGCCACGGGGTGAAGGTACTCTGGGCTAACACGTGATAATTCGCCAACTTGGCAGCTGCCTGGTCTATGGACTCGCTGTCACTATGATAATTCACGTATACTAAATCTATGTCACCACATCGACTTTCCTGTTGCAGTCCTCTCAGTACCGATTTCTGCAAGTCCGCAAGATGGCTTCCGCCGCGTCCGACCGTAACAAAGCATCTACCGACTGCGAGAAATTATGCACGACCAACCGCGAAGAACAAAACAAGATGTAAGTCGAAGAATAAAGTCCAGTCGAGCGGTTCATCCTTCAAGAAACGACTGGCTGACTCGAATAGCGCCATCTCGAACCAGCTCAGCTCGCCGCTCCTGCGTCTTCCCGGCGAGATTCGTACTACGACCTACACACACCTCTGTACTTCTACTACAGTCAACCACGGTCATCCTGCAAATGGTTCCAAAGAGGGTTGTGCCTTTACCCAGACTTTTCTACTTACCTGCAGCCAAGTCTACGCCGAGGCCGTCAGACTTATGTATAGTCTTGCGACATTCGACCTGTCTAGTAGACAGTTCGAAGTGTCTAAGTTGCTGTGTCTCAAGGGTCTCAACCCGGAGTATCGCCATCTCATCACTTCGATACAGGTCAATGACCAGTTCGCGGTGGATGCGATGGATCTGGTTTACGAGGGCAAGGTCGAGGAAGTACTTGGAGATCATAGCCCTGCGAAGTGTCTACTTGGTCTAGAGAAACTCCACGTACGCGATCTAGCTTAGGCAAATGCACGTCAGAGGGATGAGCTGCGGTATCTTTTCGACATGGAGGGTTTGATCATCACTGACCACGCTAGCAGAAATGGTTCCCCACCTAGATCGCCACCATTCGCATGGTGTCTAGAGAGGGTTTGAAGAGCACTGAACACTACAGAAGTCGTGTCCCACTTAGATGGCCAGCTCAAGGTCCAAACCATTACTATTGGTAACACTGCTAGTTGGATAAGACTAAGAGTTTGGATTGCTGAAATCTTAGCCTTTCCCTGTATTGGTCAGCGATTTGTAGTAATCCTCTGATCACCGAGTCGACATAGCAGTCTTGGCGAGGTATTGGTAGTCACTTCTTGTACGCTAGTCAAACAGTCTCTCAAACTCACCGTCACCTCGTCTCTCACCTTCCTATTGGCCTCAACTGCTGATATTTCCGCACACTGAAATTTCCCTCATCCAAAATCCACTCGCATCCATCCTCACGACTACGAATCAATTCGTCAACATCATAGCTGAAAATCGACTAGCGTTCATCCTCTGGCGTACAGTTCCTTCCAACGAAACTATGGCTGGGAAGAACAAGAATCCCGCTCCCCGAAACGTCGAAGCGATGTAAGTAAGCGGCGCTCACGTATTCTTCCATGCTAATAATGATAGCGCACGCGACAACCAGCTTAACTCGCCTCTACTGCACCTCCCAGCCGAGCTTCGCAACAGGATCTACCATTTCACCTTCGACACGAATGAAGTAGTCCTTATACTGCCTGGCTATAAGGACCCGCCAGGCTTTTACTCTCCACCTCCAACGTCTAATCCGCTAGGCCTAGCACAAACCTGCACGCAGTGTCGTTACGAAGCACTCCCATACTTCTGGAAAACAACTGTGTTTCAGCTGGGATATGATGTATACTTATCAGGGAGCTTTGAGTTCGCAAGTCAGGCTGTAATCGACCAGATTCAGATCATTCGTTATGGAGACAGAAATGATTGGGAACCAGTACGGCGTTTGTCTCAAAACCTTTTTCTAGGAACATTCGCTGTGGTGCGAAAGGTCCTTATGCAGCAGGAGGATAAAGATACGAGTTCTATAGAGATGCTCCTGAGGAGGAACTTCGGGAAGGATATCGAGATCTGCTATTATAATGACTGAATGCGGAGTCTCAAAGAATGTTCGGGCGGGGAAACAGTTTCTAGAAATTCTCGTTGACGGAATGGCTAATGGCGTAGGAAGAAAATGAAAGAAAATAGGACATTTCTTCGTCACAGATTCTACTTTTGTTCTAAAAGTAAGAAGCATTAACTTAAAAGTTGCTTCTTCAACTTCAATGCAACAACTATCAGAATTTCTATTTTTGCACTGATGCGATGAATATGCTGGGACTATAGTATAGGCACAAGTTCATTAACTGACACTTCATAACTCGTATGGTCCTCAATCCCGGATGATTGTAAGAAGAATCAAACTCCGCCTACGCCCCGTTTTTCCAGAGATACCGTTCCTGAGACTCGCACCACTAAATTTGTTGTTAGCTCGGGACGAGCTATTGCCGCTTTTGACTTCCCAGATGATATTCCACTTCAAGTGCATATAGCATTACCAGTTTTCCCCTTATGTCGTCAGAAAGGCGGATAAGAATTTTTGAACTTCGATCTTGACCAGCTACGAGGGGCTAGGTGACGAATCTGAGACATAGATCATCCTGGTATCGTACTCTTGCTCATTAAGAGCGTGCGCCTGAATTGTTTGTCTAGGCAGACTGAGAGTTGGATCAAACTCACAACATGGGTAGTTGAGCAAGATTCGGCATGCAATAGCCTCGCAGTGCCACTCAACAGGCTGGACTTTTGTGAATAGAAATATAGCAGTGGGTATCCATAACGAATCGATAGGTAGGGTTCCAAGATAAGAACACTCATTCCTCACATTATCCCGCCAACTCACCTCACCAGAATACAGATGACGCCAAGACGTAGTCGCCGTTTGCACTCATGCGCACCGTAACCTAGCGTTGCGGCTGACATTGGCTGGCAACTCTCTTCAAACTCTGTTGTGTCTACTCCTCTTGTATCCAAACACCGAATCTTGGAGCAGCGACCGCACTTCACTGGTACCATGGTACTCCGCCTATCTGACCTTGGCTCCATGGAGCCTCGCGTCTTGCCGCCAGAGCAAAAGGATGACCGCGACGACGATTTGCGCTGCGTTGACGACGTGTTTCACATCAACTGCGAGCGACCAGCGCGCTGTCAGGATCCTCAACTCGAGGTGAAAGATACAAAGCAGATGTGACTTACCTGCAATGGCTACAAAACATGACACTGATATCTCGCAGCACCCAGAGGAACCAGGTCGACTCTCCGCTCTTGCGTCTACCTGCCGAGCTCCGCAACATGATCTACTGGAACGTCTTCGCCGGAGCCGTCATCGCTATCAACAAGCCTCACACAAAGAAAGACAACGTCCTCACCACGTACCCCAGCGTCCGCGCACTCATGTACGCCTGCTCCCAGCTCTACCGTGAGGCTGAAATCTACATGTTCGGCCTCACTCTCTTCGCTCCCAGCTACTTTGCACTCCGCTTCCTCTGGTTGTCCAACATGTGCGCCGGTATGCCTGGTGTGGGGACCGCGTCGATTATGGGTTGTAAGATCACAGCTGGTAACGCACGCGCCATCATTGAGGGAAAGATCAAGAAGGAGGACTTGGCATACTATCCGTGCTTGCGACAGATATTCGTTCAGCTCTGGGACCACCGTGTATCTGTCAAGCGGAGCGAGATGTACACACGGATGCTCCGTGAAGCATTCGGCATTCCGAATCTCGATGTCAAGTTCATAGAATGAGAGGGTGAGCTGGGCTGGGTAGTTGAATCACGACTTGGGAGTAAACTGTGAATCGGTGAAGCACCTTCTAGGTTGATGGCTGTATCACAGCTCAAAGCAAAATAGCTCAATGGTCACAAATGGCGAGAAATTCCAAACGGCGTTTAGCCCCAACGCTAACCCTAATCTCCGAACTCCACAACCTTGCTTACATAACGCACGAGCCCCATTCACGAATCCTCACCAAAGCTTTCCAGACCATCCCCATCCCACCCATCCGCATTCGCATTAGCGCTCCGATATCTGAGTGCTCCGATCTAGTCCCAACAAACCCAGTGCTATTTGGCAGCTCAAATCAGTAGGAAAGGCAATCGATACATTCCATAAAGAGCTAGGAAGACGCCACACATAACAAAATGGATATCCGCGTACTACGACCATCGGACATTCCCCATGTCCAGCTCGCCAATATCACCAATTTGCCCGAGAACTACTTTTGCAAGTACTACTTGTATCATGCCATGAGCTGGCCGCAGTTGAGCTATGTAGCTGTTGATGTAAGTTTTGTCATTCTGATTACATGGGGGGAAAATGGCCTGCCCCTCCATGGCCGGGAGACCAAACGCACCCAGAAAAAAAGGAGCAAAAGAGCTAGGGAACCGATTTTCGAAGAGAAAAAAAAAGACTAGGAAACAGCTCATGGGAGAAGAAGGATGGCAATAGGGATGGCCCGCGTGAGCTGTAATGTTCCGATTTGCGTGAAATGCCAAACTGACCCTCCCTTACCCTACCAACTCTGCTATTTAATTACACGTCTTTTCACAAAGAGCCGTTCCAAGACTAACATGCTCATCAACAGGTCTCGCGTCCCCCAAAGACGCCCTACGATCCCCCAAAGATTGTCGGCTACGTGCTTGCCAAGATGGAAGAAGAGCCCACCGACGGCGTTCAACACGGCCACATCACCTCTCTCTCCGTAATGCGCACGCACCGGCGTCTCGGTCTAGCCGAGAAGCTCATGCGTCAATCCCGTACGTGCTTTTTGATGTTCCCTACCCTAACGACACCATGTTTTCGAAACTAATATCATTTCCTCATCAACAGAGCGCGCCATGGCGGAGACTTTTAATGCACACTACGTTTCCTTGCACGTTCGCGTGTCTAATAATGCGGCGCTGCATCTCTACCGCGAGACGCTCGGCTTCACCGTCGATAAGATCGAGGCCAAGTACTATGCAGATGGCGAGGATGCGTATAGTATGAGGATCGAGCTGGCAGACCTCAAAGAGCAGTTGCGAGACGAGGAGGAAGAAATCTTCGGAGCCAGCGAGGGTGTGGATGAAGGGGATGCTGTGGGTGATGAGGTAAGTTTTCGATCTGCCCCTTGTTTTTATCGGCGGACGGTGGAATGGTTTTGGCTAATGAGGTTTGTGTGTTGTTGCAGGGCCAGGAGAAGAAGAAGGCGGAGAAGAAGACAAAGGTCAAGGTGGGAAGGAATAAGGGTGTTGTCGATCTTGTGGAGAGGGTGGAGGCGCCAAAGGGTGAGGCGACTGCTGCCTAAGAGGCAAGGGTTGCTGAAATACACGGGCAGGCTGTGAGAGAGGTGAGGAACTTGACTGTAAGCTAGGCGAGTAGGAACGTCTACCGTCCATCTTGGATGGACAACGTGCGAAAGATTCCTAGGTCTGATGCAAGATGTGTGTGGGTGAACAACGACGAGGGTTTTGGTTTTGAAAGACCGTCTTTGCGTTGGTATTAGTCCAGTTAAAGGGCCTTTTATGCTAGGCCAGCCCGTTCCTCTCGTCTTATTCTTGAATGCAACGTGTAGATGCGGGATGGAGGATGCTATATACAACGCCTCTGCAAGACAAGGCACATGTCAAGTATCAGAGACAAGAGACACATCCACCATCCTCCCCACCTCTCCAATCCCTCTCTGAAACGCCGGAGAGACGAAAAATAATAATAACAAAAAATAACCAACGCCCCATGTTTACCACCGTGGATATCGTAAATCAGATACACATACATCATCGTCACATCCTTCTCCTCACGAGGCTACATCAACCCCCCAAGCACAACCTTCCCCACGCCACCAACCTCACTCTTTAACCCCGCTCTACAACTATCCTCAAACTCCCTCACCACACCCGCAAGTATAATCTTGCGCACCCTCGCATCCGCTTTGTTAAAAAGATCGCCAACGAGACTAGGCTGACCCCCACCAGCACTAGCCACACTCTCAGGCGTACTCAGCATGCTCAGAATCTTTGTGTAGCAATCAATCAAAACATCGCACAGCGTGGCAAACGTGCTGAAGAAGTCTGGGTCAAACGGTAGGGAAGGGGTTTGCAAGTGCGTGTAAGATTCGTTGGGCAGGAGCGAGTCGTGATCTGCTGTGGGTGGGGAGGAAAAGGAATCGACGTTGCTGCCGCTGCCGCTCAAGCCGCCACCAACACCACCGGCACCACTCGTTTCGCTACCCGAGAAGCTATTACTCGGCGTGAGCAAGGGAAAATCGCCATTCGCAGAGCTCGATCTCCTCCCCTTTGACCCCATCGTCATGCTCATGCCCATATTTGCGCGCTTGAACATTTGCGGGAGGTTACGGGCGCGGGACAAGGTAGACGGGGCGGAGCCGTCGGCCGGGTGTATGGACTGGTACTGTTCGAATTCTAGGAGCAGGGCGTTGAGGGCTTTGAGGTAGTCGGAGGGCGAGTTTGCGTTTAGGTCGAGGATGGTGGGGAGGGAGAAGCCGAGGAGGAGGTAGTGGGTTGCGCGGCGGGCTTGGTTGCGCGTGGTGAAGGAGGGGAGGCGCGTGAGGTCTGTTTTGGAGAAGAGGAGCGTGTTGAACCAGTAGATTCTGCCTTCGTGGCTGTGGGGGGTTAGAGATATGTAGGGAAGTCGAAGGGGGATAACGTACGCTTTCCGCAGGTAGTCCAGGGTGGATATCCGTTTCGATGCGAGCTCGTGGATGTGCTGGAATATCAGGTTTGGGTTTGAGCCGTTGGGCACGGGGATGGGGGCTGCGGGCGCCAGGGTGCGGTTCGACTGCTGGTTTGCCTGGAGAATCTCCTTTTGTGAGGGGGGATGTCGTAGTGGGATGGGGACGGCCATGTTGGCAAAGGGCGTCTTGGGCTTGTCGACAGCACTCAGCGGGCTCTTGTCGTAGTAGACGGGGTCCGTCTTTACGTTGTCGCTGCTTTTTTGCTTGTTGCGCGAGAAGGTGGAGATGGAGAGGGCGGGCCGCGAGGCATTGGACGTGGTGTTTGGGATCGGAGCCTTCTCGGGGGAGTAGGTGAGCGCCAGGGTGGCCGAGGGGAGCCTCTTATGCGAGGACGATGTCTTGGCCGTGCCGTCGGACGTGTTGGTTCGAAGCGAGGCGGACCGTGAGCGCCGCAGTGAAGAGCCGAGATCCGTGACCGAGGATGCGATGCTGTGCCTGCTGCTGCTGGCCTGTCTGCGTCGCTGTGGCGTCGTAGGCACTCTAGGGGGGAATTGGTATTGGTCCGGGTCGAGAGGGGGGGTGTCTAGCTCGGGGCTTAGATTGAGCGTGGGCGGGGATAAAGTTGACGGTGCTTGCTTGTGTCCCTTGTTCTTTCCACCAAAAAACGAGGGGCGGCGGGAGAAGATGCCCTGAGCGTTCGACGATGGGGGTGCGTGGTCGGCCATGATTCTCAACTGTGGGGCTACCGAGCGATCAGGGGCTGTTTCACCCTGGCCCTAGACTTGCTGCTCCCTGATGGCTATGTCGCGACTACACATGTGCATACACGGCAAAAGAGAAGACGGCATTGTACATGGTAATGTACATGGCAAAGAGCATGGACAGATATCGACTCTGATCGTCTGGCGCACAGGCAAAACGTGTTTCGAGGAGCGGCTACAGCTGATGCCGTCCTCACCTATCCCGACGCAGGAACACGCCGCCCGAGGCGAATCCCTGCTCACCGCATCCACTCCCAAATGCCATAGCTTCGACTCAAGCCTCGCCCATCTCAGGCACCTCGGGACCTTGGAGCCACGTGCGACCATGACCACGTTAGGCTGAATCCAGCACTGGCAGGTGCTGCTTAATTGTGCTTCAGCTCACGGTCCACTCTTGACGCCGTTGGTCTCTCTCCCAGACACATCCCAGACACACAAGAGTTATTGTTTACTACTGTTTACACTGCCAACCCCGCTACCCCACTCACGATGCAGCGCCGACAGAGCGCACGAGTACGCGCCCTACACCCACGCCCGTGCCCGCGCAAACAACTGACCAAAACATAGGGAGAGTGGATTCCCACCGAGGGACAGTGGCCAGTTGACCCTCAAAAAGATGTTGAAGTTTCTGAGCAGCGCATATGGGTCGATGGCTGTTTCGACTTTGCCCACCACGGTATTGCGAGCTTCACAATCCCCGTCTAACATGCCAGCGCTTACCATGAAGAACAGGCCATGCGGGCGCCATGCTACAGGCGCGCCAGCTGGGCAACGAGCTATTCGTTGGCGTGCACTCGGATGAAGCAATTATGGAGAACAAGGGCCCGACAGTGATGCGCCTGGACGAGCGGTGCGCAAAACCACCCTTTGGACTACCCTCTATTCACAACTAACGGTAACAGCGTCGCCGCCGTCGAAGCCTGCCGATGGGCTACCAAAGCCGTCCCTCGCGCGCCCTACGTGACCTCGCTCCCCTGGATCACACACTACGGCTGCCAATATGTTGTCCACGGCGATGACATCACTTCCGACAGCGACGGTAAAGACTGCTACCGCTACGTCAAAGCAGCCGGTCGCTTCAAGGTAGTTAAGCGCACGCCAGGCATCTCGACCACGGACCTCGTAGGCCGCATGCTGCTCTGCACAAAATCGCACTTTATACCCTCGCTCGAGAAACGGCTCTCGGGCGACGAAGGCCCAGGCGACGAGAAGGAGCGATTAAAGACTGGCGAGGACATGCTACAGCGCATCAAGGACTACGCCACAGATGCTTCGGGGCGCGCGCCGGGCTGCGACGTATGGTACTGGCATGCTTCCCGCCCTGTCAAGCTACGCCGAACCACCACCAGCAACACCGTCGCCTCGCCCACCTCGCCCACCTCTCCCCACCGCCCTGGTGCCGTCCGCGCTGCCTCCACGGCCTCGGCTCTCGGTCCCGTCAAGGAAGAAAAGGGCAAGTTCCACCAGCTGGTGCAAGGCAAGGGCGTGAAACCGGGTCAAAGAGTCGTCTATGTCGACGGCGGCTGGGATCTCTTTTCCTCGGGCCACATTGAGTTTTTGCGGCTCGTTACATCGGCGGAAGAGGAGGGTGCTAAAGAGAGGGGGTGGTATACCGAGGAAGCGAAGAAGGAGCGCATAGAGAAGGCGGGTGAGGACTATGGGCCCGTGTTTCTGATTGCGGGTATTCACGACGACGAGGTGATTAATCATTGGAAGGGGATCAATTATCCCATTATGAACATTTTCGAGCGCGGACTCTGCGTGCTGCAGTGTAAAGTATGTACCCCCCCTCGCCTTGGCTCCCCACCTCTAGGAAGTACAAAGAGACTAATATGTTGAGCGCAGTACATCCACTCCGCCATCTTCGGCGCCCCCTTCTCCCTCAGCAAAGCCTTCTTACACACCCTCCCTTACAACCCCGAATCCCCCCTCGCAGCCGTATACCATGGCAAAACCACTTTTATGCCCTTGGCTTTTGACCCTTATGCCGTGGCCAAGACGCTGGGGCTGTACACGGAAATCGCCAACCATGAGTTTCAAAATGTGAATGCGGCGGAGATTGTGAGCAGGATTATGAAGGGGAGGGCGCTGTATGAGGAGAGGCAGAGGAAGAAGGGGGAGAAGGGTATGACTGAGGAGGTGGAGAAGATTCGTCAGGAGATGGAGAGGGAGCAGAGGAGGAGGGAGGTTGAGTCGCAGTTTGGGCTTTAGGGGGTGGTGGTTGGTGAGAAAGGGAGAGAGGGTTTAGACTACTCTTCAACAGACGTTCGTATTCTCTCTCGGTTGCATGGAGGAATAATTTTGGGTTATCGTCTCGGTTTACCATCGAGAGTAAGCGCATCCCCCTGTGCCAAACCATCTCACCACTCAGCTCATCTTCATCCAAACATGATCTTTACATCATTCTTCCCACACCAAGACCCCAACGCGCCTTCCTGGTATCATCTTGTTTCAACATGTCCTAGCCATCTTCTTCCGACCCAACTCCAACATCTTTCTGCTTGATGCGATTGCTCTCTGACCTCCGCGGCCAACTTGATGGGGGAAGAAAAGAAAAAAAAGAGAAGATTATCCTGCTCCTCAAAGACAACCTCCAGAGCCTTGTTCCTGGCCCATCTCCTCAGCGCCACCCTTATACCATCGCGCATCAACTTCATTCTACCTTTGAAAATGATCTTGTCCAAGCTGGGAAAGGACAAGGTAGTACAAGATCCGTAATATCGGAACCTCGATGCGTGGGCTCTCGCATCTCTTGCAACAGATGCAGCAAAGTCTCTCGGGATCCTCAAGCAAGTTGATGAGCTCGACAGAATCCGTGGTCGCAGTTCTGAATTGAAGCCAACCAAAAGCGCTAGTTAGCCAAGTCGGTTGTCGACAGTCATGAGCTTGCAAATGAGTGTCTTTTGCTTCGTTGTCGGATTTGCTTGCACGTCTTGAGTAAATCGGGAAGCTGGAATCTGACTTTGAGAGTTGGCTGATATGCATCGCTGTCTTGTGTCCAGACGTCAATACTAGCATAGGTGCACGTGCCGACGTAAGAGTAGATTGTGTTGCGGATCTCGGGTGGTAGGCGGGGAAAAGGTGATGCGAGATGATTCCTGTGAGTGCTGGAACGAGAGGTGTAAGTCATGATCGGTGGGAAGGTTGAAAGCTTGGGCAGCTTACATTTCTGACATGGCGCCGTCGTATGGCATGACTGTAGATGAAGATTCAATCTGCATTTCTTTACACCTGCTTCAGGTTGCGGGTTGTCGATGCTGTTGATATGTAGTGTGCTTGTTTGATGGCGCTAACTTGGAATAAGCTAAGATAGGCACTCGTTGGGAGCTTGAACAGGCATCTATCAGGATTAGTATTCAGCTCTCGGCGGTTACTGCAGCAGGAACTTGAAATCAGTTTTGTTTCTCGAGTTACTCTTTTTCCCAACTACGTGGAAGTGTTTTGCTGAATTGGCACAAGGCTTTTGGCAAAAGCTTTTGGCGCGTGCGAGTCTAGTCTTTGCTGGGAGTCTCTAATCTAGGATGAAATTTCCAAGGTCTTATGCTTGAGCTTTTTCCTTGCAGCTGCCTTGGTTTCCCTGGTGTTCCAACTCTTCTCGTTACACGTGCCTTCCTTGAGCGCGGCGAGTGTTTTGGAATCACTGCTCGCAAGCGGCTATGATTATCAAAATCATCGCGAAAACACTTCCCGGTTGAGGAAGCCGATTGACATAATACAGACCTCCAGTGTTATAACAAGAGCATAGATGATCGGATTGGAACCACTTTTCGATAGGACATAGCCGCTATGATCGCCAACGTTGGAAGAACGAAGCTGTAGTCGAGAGACTATATCCTCCCGACCATGAAGAACTAGATGGTTGTAACGAATATCAACTCATTGTTGATGTCGAACGGTAGTAAAATGTGGAAGCTGTATACAGCTCCATACAGGCAAGTGATGCGTTCCAAGATCTATCTGCATCGCAATGTCTTGGATGGGCGTCATCCAGCAACCAGCCAGGACACATGAATGGATCTTCTTGCGCAGTTCACTCTGAAGTCGGAGAAGCGGTGAAGCTTTCGCATTAGAGTCTGTAATGAGACCGTATCCAACAGTCGTGTTGTTCGACGCGGCAGACGGAGCAGCAACATGAACCATTGTGTCTCCGCCCATTTGAGGTACCGAGTTTAGTCCTCCATGTTGGAAACGGCAAGACATCTTTAAAAATTGCAGGAGCTGAGAGACAGTCGTTTTGAGTACCACGTTCGTGCATTTGAGCTTCCGAAGAGCGACGCCTGTTGAACAGTTGGTCATTCTGATCTATACTTGTGACTAGAATACGTAGTCCAAGGCAAGACTACCAGAAACACAATGTCATCCACGTTCTCGAAAGCTTGTCATCATTAGCGATTAGACTAAACCATTTAGCTAATACAATGCCTTCTCTTACTCAACAAGTGTCCAAGAATGCAAGCCATAAACTTCGTGTATGCTCAACCTAAATCCAGACCCTGATATATATACGTGAACAAATGTGTTACCAAGGCATCAATCGAAATCCTAGAATTTCCACAAGCAGATGCAAAGAACAGAAGATCGTAGAAAAAATACGCCCATGGATGCCCGTTGTTACTTACTCGCCATCAAAGAGAATGCGTGGTCTCACATTTCAGAAACGCCTTTCCTGGCTGAGAATCTCATCAACCATTGGCTTCACCATGGGCATGAATCCTTGCATCACTGGTACCCACAGCGCCTTCTTCAACCCCAGTTCTGTGGCGAAGTAATATAGTAAGCGATTGATCCACTCACGTCTGGCTGCAACGTCTATTCTCTTAGGTATTACCGTGTCAAATTCTGGCGGCGGAAGATCGAGGGGTCGGTCGTAAGGATGCGCGGGGTGCGGGTCGAAGATGTGATCTTTCTTTGCATTGGGATCAAATGTTGGGACGTTGGCCGGCGGGCTAGGACTGGAGCTCAGGCCACTTCTCGAACGGATGGTGTTAAGGTCAGAAAACTGAGGTGCTGTTGCATAAGACTCCAAGTTTTCCGAAGGTTCGCTTGACGACGACAAGTTGGATGTGGCCGAGACTAGGTGTGGTGGCGTGTTGGACTGGTGCGTGTAGGCTGACGGTGGTGTTGGCATCTGACTAGTGTCTTGTGGAGAGTTGCCTGCAGTGCTATCGGGCACAAGACCTGAACACAGTACAGCGTCCATGGTACCCAGTGGCCATATATCGACATATCCTCTCATACCAACCACATCGTCGATAGACTTCATGTGTATTGGCACGGTAAGACTACCAATCATGGCTGAGCAGTTTCTTTCAATCACTTCAACCAGACGTGCAGTAGCAACAGAGTGATGTATGCGGAGGGTCCTATCGCTCAAAGTCGTGGGTACAGTCTGTCCTTGCGCTGCGGCCGATCGACCGGGATCCCGAAATCTTAGCATCCAATTCAACATTTCAAGTAGATCTCGCAGAACAAGTACACGGCTTGTGCGGTAGAAGCCCCAAATCCAAGCGCGTTTGACGCTGGGGTAAGAGTGTATCTCTTCCGGGGCGCCGCGACACCCCAGGAAGAGCTTCTGCCATTTCGGATCATAGTTCGACCTGGCCTCTGGCGTGTTGGGTGTCGCATGGTAGTTCCAAGCAGGCGTGATCTGTGATTCCCAGGCTTGATAGTCGTCATCTAGTTCTAGCGCGGTCTGCAAAAGCTCTTGCAAGGCCAGACGATTAGTTGGTGGATTCGTACTTTGTTTCATTTCGTGCCATCTAGCATGCAACATCGCCTCTCTCCAGATCAGGCGAATTACAAAAGCATTAGAGTTCTTGTATAGACTTGGAAGTAGCTCATCCACCTTGACCACGTCTCTTGTAGGTATGGCAGGGCGCTTGGCTGTCTGTAAATTACCTAGTAACTGTAACAACGTTAGCCTTGGGCAGGCGGAAACCGTTCCTCTTCAGCTGTAATTACCAGATGTGCGTAGATGACTTCGTAAAGTCTGGCTGATATAGGATCGCTGTAGAACTGCTCAACAGTCCGCAACTGAAGCAGCGCATTTGCGCCATGGTTATGGGCAATGAATGTGCCCTTCCGTTGCACGCTGGTAAGATTCTAATCGTCACGTTAGCGCTTGTAAACATCGTAGATCCATCAGTAACATACTTCGTAAACTCCCATCAAATGCACTGCGGCCAAAGCGATATTCGTGGCTGACTGCTTTTTATCCGCGATTGTCTTTGTCAACATCGGAATGGCTCTTCCCACGCATTCTTCACCCAATGCCTGGGCCTGAGGGTCGTTACATCTATTAGCATAATTTACGTAAGAGACTGCGTCAACAGCTGTCGCAATTAACGAGTCCTCTGGCGCACCCTGATACAAGAGCGGTATAAACGTCCAAAGTGCTTCATCCGGCTGATCCGCTGGTCTGTTCGGCTGATCGGGCAGTACAAAGTCGTACACAAAGCGCTCAAAGGCCCTTCTACGAAAGTCCGGGTTAGCCACCGGGGTGATAGTCAGTCGGCTTAGATCGATTATTGGCGGGGTAACACCTGAGGCATCTTGAGCAGGGTCGTCCACGGATCCACCGGGAGAATGCACACTACCGCTGGACGAGCGTTGATCGTCCAAATGAGGTGGTGTCGATTCGTCGCTTGGCGGGGTTTTGATATAAGTATTGCTACTTTCGGCAACGACAGCGCGTTGATTTGACTTTGATCGCTTCCGCCATGATTCCTCGGCTCTCTGCGCAGCAGATGCTGTTTGGTTGCGGAAGAGGATGTCGGCTTGATCTCGATACTTGCATGTATGACCCGCCTTGCTGCATCGACTGCAAGCTGGTCTCGACTCATCACACTAATTTGATATCAGCCTCGTCCTCGTGACCAGAGTCTGCTGTATGCGGATGGCCCGGTCTGGTTACCGACACTGTTCGATGATATCAACTCAAGACAACACGCACCTTGACTTTACGGGCTCTGCAAGCCTCACATCCCTTACTCGGGCGTCCTCGATAGGACATGCTTAGGTTATGGCGGTTTATGAGGCGGTAAGATGGGCGGCCGGGCGGACGGCGGCAAGCTCCGCAATTGCTGTTCAGGCTCAGGTACAGTCTCTACGAAGCAGGTACTAGCGCAGACAGATGTATTCGTTTGATTGTACAGGACCAAAGAACACCAAGTATAATAACTATGCCTCCTTCTCCGGTCCTCGTATGTGCTGCGTGGTCATCCGAAGGGTCCTGGGCCGGAACTGGCGTAGCGCAATCTCGGCGATCAGGCTGAAACCTAGGCCACGCTTTCACGAGCTTGGAATGGAGCGCCCGATGACTGGCGGGAGGTGGTCCATAAAGGTTGTCTGGCAGAGATCGAAGGGCATGGGGTCAGGCCCGGTGCTCGGGAAAACGGTGCTGCATAGTGGGTTGATGTGCCGCAGTCTGCATAACTGCGTCACAAGCGACAGGCCTCCAATTGTTGCTGACTCAGAAAACTAGTCGTGTCTTGGCGCCCAACGCCCGTCTTCCGCCCTGACTGCGACGGTACTGCAACACCAAACGAGTCGTTTTACTCCATGCGTGTTTGGAGGCGCATCTAGGAGAGACGCCGACATGTTAGTGTAGACTCCTTCGCTCCTCCTGAAGCGCGACATTCCCTATCTGTCCTGGTCTCCAGTCTTAGTATGCAGTCTGCAGGGTCGATGCAGGCCGCCCACATCCGGAGCTTCTGAATGGCGCCGACAGACAACTCCCGATGCTCTCCCGGACTTCAAAAACACGCGATGCCAATGTTTCAACGGTCGCCTAGCAGGGAAAAATGCCATGTTGTTCACAACGGCTACAGAACTTGGGGTCTTGAAACAGTGACAGCAAATCGTCATTGGGTGTTCGTGACCTTGGCTAATCGGCCCTCTTTTCAACGGCCGACTAGTGAAATGACCTGGACCGCTTTGCGAATTTAGAGTTTGGGAAACAATATGTATTGCGGAGAATCCACGCAGACCTCCTTGACCGATCACACCTACTATGACGATCCAGCAAGCTTTGGACTTGAGGATGAGAATTTTTCCTTCACCGGTGCCGGCAGTGGAAAGGGGGTTTTCGCCTGCCATTAGTCAAGTTCGTTTCACGCTACCCCGAGTTCCACGTTCATCCACATTGACACTTGACAGGTTTCCGCTCGCGGACCAGACAGGTAGAGAGGACAATGCCGTGCGCATCCAACGGACCTGGAGCGCTTGATGTCGATGATAGTGACGACTCGGGCCGAGATGTGTATTTCGTCACATCGCCTAGCATACATTTATACTAAGCTTCGGGGTTTAGTTCTCCACATGGATGGCATAACTACATTCATACTAAAGCTTCGCCAAAACATGCCTACCTCCGTCCCCACTCCCCAATACAATCTCCTCGCTACGCCAGTCCGGATTGAACGTCACCTCGTTGAGCGGATTTCTCCGATGCGCCATATCGAATAACTCCTCATACACTTTGCCATCATACCTGCCCAACGCGCTATTAAGCAACCAATCTGGTATCGACCAAGCGTCAACGAGCTTCACAGCATGCGGTCTCAACTCAGCCATGAGATCTACAATCGTATCTTGCAGAGTGAACACGGACTCTTGCGGAACAGCGGCCGTCATCATAAACGAGGATGCGAATTGGTCGACGGTGTAGAGCGCGTAGAGCTGGAAGCATGTCCGCAGTGCTGATGACGTGGGCGGACTAACGGAGCTGAAGCTATTATAGAAATTCGTGACGAGAATCTGCTCCGAATATGCGCGGCTGAGGTTGTGGAGCTGGATCATGAGACGGGTCCAAGGTCGCTTTTCGACGACGCGTGCTTGGTAGGCGCGATAAGAGAGATCAGCTGCACGCCATTGGAACACCTCTACTATGTTTTGGTCGTCTACCACACCGTCTTTCGAGACGTTTTGGGGTATGTGATGGTCCTTGTTTAGAAGGTAGTATTGGAAGAGCTTGTCGGTCGGATCTTTGGGCGTGGAGCCAGGATCCTTGACCGCGTCCGCCATCTTCTTGATGAGATATGCGGCAACCTGCTGCGTAATCATCCAGTTATCACCCTCAACCGTTGGCTTGGAAAGATAGTCGGCGTTCAACCCTACTAGCCCGCTTCCACCGCCGAAGCCATGACCACCCATCGCGCGCCGACAAGTCTCGATACCGTCCGCAGCGAGCATCGTACACAGGCTCTTCAATCCTGAACTAGCGCTATGTAGCTCAGCTAATGGTCCAAAGTCGCCCTTCTCGATGTTCTCTCGCGACTTGTGGTACAACATGTACATGTACTCGCCAGTATAATGCAACGCGAAAGTAGTCGCGAGCAACGGCAAGACACGTATCTGCACTGAGGGGTAATCAAGGACCTTCATTTCGCTATCAGAAGCATTAGTGGAGTCGCGGTCCTTGAATTGCCTCCGTAAAGCACAGTATCGTACGGCGACAGCGACAGCACGTGCAAGGACCAGCCTTGCATGCATTATGATCTGGCCGCGTACGTATGTAAGACTCCCATATACAACAGCGGGATGGCCATTCCGAACGAACGCGCCGGTCTCGTCGGAGACCTCAGCATAGCGGCTCAGCATAGCCGACTTGGGTACGTGGAAATGGTCGAATAGCATGTACCCGTTATCCATGCTCGCATACCCGTATTTCGGACCGATGTCGCCTACAGCAATACCCGGCAGAGGTTGATGCGTCTTCGCGTCCCGAATTTGCACAACGAAAGTTTGTGGGCCGTGCGAAGTATATTCGACCTCTTGAGCATGCTGATCGGAGACTTTTGATCTGTCGGACGGGGATGGTGGTTTCGGCAAGAGCAATTGTGCGACTACAATCTATGTATGACATGCATTAGCGAACGCCCAAGGCAGAATCAAAGTTTTGGGCTGGCGGCACAGGGTGGAGCTAAAGACGTACTGCGTGCGTGGCGGTCCTCCCCATCGACCCATTCCACCATTTGCTTGCCGTCAAAGTTGGACTGTGAATTTCGAATTCCTTCTTGGTTGGGTCCCACTTCGCGACAGTCTCCAGGCCTCGTACGTTACTCCCATGGCCTAGTTCAGTTTGCGCATAGCAGCCAATGATATCGTGGCTGAGGATTCTCGGCATCCAATACTTTTGCTGTTCTTCAGAGGCTTGCTCGCGTACCGTTGTGACTGTGCGATACGGTGCTTGTCAGCTCTTCGCGCCCAAGTGGTACGATTATGCACGACGTCTAGAGCAGCTGCAGCCTTCCGTTGACTCACCGAACATGTTCATATGCAAATGATACGGGCTCATCTCATCCGTGAGGTATTCGGCCATCTTATAGTCTTCAAAGTCCCATCCTTCTCGTCGCATCAACCTCTGGATGGCCTTTGCTCTCGCCAGTCCTAGATGATACCGCTCTGGGCGCGAAAGATTCAGCTGCTGATCCTTGTTGAAAAGCTTCTCCTTGCTCAAAACCCGAAGTACCTTATCTTGTCGCTCCAGAAAGCCATCACGGCCTAGAAGGTGCTGTGCGAGTTGGCGAACGTTGATGCCCGAGCCGTCGCGCTCGGCCTCGAGTGTTGCTGTGCCATCGTAGGCGGGCTTGAGATGATCGGTGAAGTCTGCCATGATGCGATTGGTCGCTGGTCGTGATTCGAGTTGGCCAACAGAGTCGGTTGCAGGCCGTCCGAAGCGAGATGGGCGAGTGCTGCTCAGCGACAATGTTTTGCCGTTGAGCACGTTAGAAGAGCTCACATCGTGAGAGTCAGTCTATCGGCAATAACGCGGAAATGTAAGCTGCATCAATGCCTCGGTATGCGCGGGGGATGTGTGGTGGGCGGAGGCCGCAGGAGTTGGGGCGGAGACGTTTAATGCGCAACGCTGCGGGGCGTCGCCATGTGGACCCGAAATGCGGGGTCATGTCGGTGGTTTGGTGATGCTGCACATTGACTACAACATCCTTGATCAACAAACGAAGGTCTACATTGAAGCTATTCGGTACGAAGAGATGATGTGTAACATGATGATGATTGACGCACTCGTGGTAACACGCAAATCCACGGAGAAATGCAAGTAGAAAAAAACAATCGCCTACAAAATCCCATCTGACCAATACAAAACGCCTTTTGTGCCGCAAAACCATCCAATGCAAGCTAATTGTACAGGATATCAAATGTCCAACCCAAGTCATAAACCGAAAGACAAACACCAATAGCTATGCCCAACACCATCATATCGAAATGAAACACCGTCAGCGTCATCAATAAGTTGGTGTACCGGAGCACCAACTTAGCCCCTTCCAAGAGTAGGCATCAACACGCCAGTAGGAGAATAATGGCAAACATTCTTCACTCAATTATGGCATCAGCCCAACAGCTGAGCCCACTTTCTTCGTTCAACACACGCGTCATGTCTTCGTCGGCGAGTCGTACAAGGATCTCGAAAGGCGCTTCTTCTTCGTGCACAAGCTGTCTCCGTCGTGGGAGAAAGATCATGCCGCCATCACCCGGACCATACGATCGTCTGATGAACTCGGGTCGACCGGCAAGGGAGTCCTTGTTCAGATCTGTACCAGGTATCCCCCAGCTGAGATCAGCGCCGAAGTTTAGCCAGGACGAGATGTAAATGTCTGATCCAAAAGTCAAAGCCAGTGCAACCTCGGTGTCGGTAATCTCCTCAATCGACTTGAAGAATGTTAGGTGGCGGTTCACCCATTCGTCGTCGACTTCGAGAATCGTGCTCTTGATAGTGTTTATGACGTTGACTATTGTGGCCTTGGTTACACTGCCGGTATTTGTCAGCTGGCTTTCTCAAACTTAATTGCGTCGCTCGGCATTGGAACTACAAGGTTTGGAGCGCACCAAGGTGCGACCAGCAATGATACAGTAGTAAGGAATAGACTCACCGGTCCTCTGCTGTCAAGTCCGAGACCTTCATCGTGCCTCTCGAGAACAAAGCCATGTTCCCCATGTAGTCGGCGGGGACGGGAGGGTGCTGTCTTCTGCGCAAATCCGTCGCAATGCCGATGCTAGTCTCCGCCAGCCCGTACTTGGTCAAACGGCCTGCTCTGGCGCGAGTAACATGCGTCCAGACCAGGGCTGCGAGGACATTGCACATAGTAGGAGGGGTATCCTTAGGAAAGTGGGTGCGGAGTTTCTCCCTGTACTCGCGTACTCGTGATGCTGGAATGACGAACAGCCTTTGTGTGCATTCCGTCTCTTTAGGCAAGGTTTGGAGATACTGAGGCGGACCATCGCAATAGCAGTCGGCACCGCCGTTGCCTAGCGGTGGGACAACCTGCTCGTCAACGGCTTTTCTCATTAGAGACTGCTCGTCGGCGACGCTTCCCGTGTCTGCCATGTTTAGTGGTAGCTTGACAGCGTAGGGGGGCAGTGGTACCTATGATCTTGTGCTCTTCGAAGAGTTGCTGCTTTGAGATTTTGGAGACATTCTCCGAGAACGTCTGCCAGAAGAGAGTAACGCCGGAAAAGTCAAAAACACTGTGATGCATGTACATGGAAAGTACAAGACCGCCAGGTATGAAGAAGGCCTGAGTCCGCATGGCTGGTGCGTCGCTTTTGTCGAAGTCCACTTTTCCTTCGCCGTCTCGTGGAATGCCAGCATAGTTTGCGAGATCTTCCGGGACGAACATAGCACTTCGGAGTGCACTCGGTGGCATGCCATCTCTCTTGAGCTGTTCGTACGTGTGGGGAAAATCTGTCTCATGGTATGGGATTTGCTTTGATCGAAATACGCGATTCAACTGCTCGCTTGTGATATCAGTTGGATAGTTGAGGGCGAGTTTTCCAGCTTTCCGGTCCGCAAGTGTGAGTGTGCCAGCAAGAAAGGGGAACTTGTTGAGTGTAAGGCGCAATCCGGCACCGAGAGCTTGTATGGCCGTTTCGGCGTCATTCAGATCAGGAAACTGCGGATAACGTCAATCGATGTCAGCACGACATATGGTTCAGAACGACATACGGGAAAGATACACAGGGTCTGTATGTATACGCGCACAACATTCTGGTCTAGACATGATAGATGAAACGATTTTGTCTGTACAGGCGGGCTATGTGCTGTGTTGAGCATGTCGAGTAAGCGGGGGATGGTGCTAGCAATAGGTTCAAAAAGCCGGCCGTTGCGCAATACTAGTGGAAAATCTAGGGACATGGTCGTGGCTTTTCGTAGTCAGTATATATACGGAATGGATGAAGAGTCACACATACCGTGAATTGGGTGAGCAAACACCCAGCATGTGAAGCACGAGATGTCGTTTTACCCCCTTCACCGCAAGGCCCCATTGAGCTGCGCCTGGTGTGACGGGAGGGCGGCATTGGCCCACTCGACGGGCCGAGTGGGCTAAGAAGGACGATGACCGCATGCGGAAACATCTGTGCGCCCAAGCCACGCCTCATTCCCGCTTCCCCGGCTGTCTGCTTATTCGAGATTCACTTTCAACCCTTGACGTGCGCCAAACGTGTCTCGTGCCGGCTTCCCCGGCCGCTTTGCTCAACCGTGCCTGAGGAACCAAACCCCCGCGGCAGCGGATGAGGTGCAGCCGATGCGGCAACGTTCAAAGAGGGTTCCCGCCCATGAACGAAATGGGCACGACCAGGACCGTTCATGTGCTTTGCTTTTCCTTCAGCCCATTTTCGTCTTTCGCGGCAGAGGCCAGGCGACTATATGCAGCTCAAAAAAGATCAATTCGCTATTCCGCGACGTCCATGCCCTAGCAACAGGGGTGGGGCGCATGGGAATTGTCCTTGTTTGTGTCGACTGTCGCTTGAAATCAGGCTGGCACCCACGTCCTTCGATTGTGCTGTCGCTGCGGGCGGGACTTTCGCGGCACAGCATGACATCCCGATCGTATCTGAAATTGCGGGCTTGGCCGCTACCCAATATGAATGGTCAATGTGACCAGGCTACCACGAGGGATTGTTTGATCATCGATGCCATACTGACTGCAGACGAATCGATACACCGGTCATGTCGCCCTGCTATAGTCGGTGAGCGCCGCAAGCAAGGTGAGTACGCAGCCCTATGACCAGGCGCTTTGATGCTTGTGCGCCCGCAACGCGCAACAGAATGTACCCGCGTTTAGCAGCCTATTATAGGAGTCTGGAGGAATACGCAACATCAAGAATTTAGCGACTAACACAGCACAACTCACCTAGTTGTTTCCAACGTTCCAGTCAGAGTTGACACGATTGTCGTGACTCTTCGAATAACTGGTCCCGACTACCGAGAGCTCAGCCTGGCCAGCTACCATGGTAATGCTCCAAATAGCATCTGACGGATAGCGGTGTGATGCATCGCGTCTCGGAGGACTCTGAGAGCAGACAGCGATGCGTCATCTGATCGGTGGGGAAGGCTTCTAAGGAGACACGTTGCCTGCGGTCCTCCGGTTAGTGGGTCGTGGGGTCGTCACCGACGTGAAATGCCAGCAAACACCGTAAGCATCGGTAAGGAACAATCAAACAAAACCCTGGTCTAGAGGAGGATGACGAAGATAGTAGTTGATGCGGCTGCAGTCATTGTGGCTGACTGATGCAAATAAGCGCCCCACCTTGTGTGCGACGCTGCTGTCCAATGAGCGTGGAGCTTCATGCATGCGATGCGTTCAAAAAGGAAATCACACCTTCTTCTGAGCAATCGGGCTGATTCCAGCCTGTTGCATTGTCGGAAATATTTGTAACGCTATCGAAAAGTCTCGCATGCGCCTCGTAGCCTCTTCTCTTGATGGGCGATCTATATGACACCGTAGGATTAAGGTTTGTCGGTGGTCGTACAGCGAACGGCGGTATGTAAGGCCGGGTAGGCGACCCGGGAGAGCGTTGGGAATGAGAGCACAGTGACTCAATCATTGGATGTGCTAGGTGGTAGGCGCCCAGAGTATTGGAGGATGCCTAGCTAGAGGGGATCACGATGTGCCTGCTTTCCACGCAGGGGCAGTGCGAGAGACGTCGGAAGGATCGGTCGCATCCTTCGCGTAGGATGATGACAGTTTGATTTGAACGTGGTGATGACTTTAGGCCCGGCCCGCAATGACAGGTCTGATGTGATGACCTATTTGAAATCACAGTTCTGGGTCGTAAGATGCCACAGCTGGTGGCTGAAGACTACTGTGCTGGTTAGTGAAAGATGAAAACATTATCGCTCTTGTCACAGCCACTCGCTTGACTGTTCACCCTCTTGTGAGTAGCGCGCGAAGTACAGGTACTCAATCGCGACGGTCTGGACTTTTGTAGTATCCAGGTCGAGCGAGTATCTAAACTCGGTGGCGGCATCCTCTCCACTGCATGCTCCGTACATTGTAAGGGAAACCCACCAAGGGTACTCCACTAGATTGCGGCTGCAGACGTGTGGCGGCAGGCCTTGGGCGGCCCTTAGCGTCGGGAGTGAGAAGGTTGCGGGGTCGGTCTCGGGAGTCTTCCCCGCGATCTTGCGCCGTTCGGTTAAAGAGACATGATCGTGATGACATGTCGCACGCGACTCATCATTTATGCTTCAATAATTTCGTACCGAACTCTTCGCTCTAGTATTCGATAATGAGGAGAAGACATTATCAGCCACACCTTGGATGCTCAGGTGGGAAACGGATACCAACAGGATGGACGACCGATGCCGTGTGATACCTAAGCACTCTGGACGCAACGTGCTTCCGAATACTGTAAGACGTAGTCCCCAACAGAAGCGAAGACATGGTCGCGGAGTTGCGCTGAAGTCAACCTAGCCTCTTTTTTCCAGAATCCTGCGGTTCGCGAGTCGAACACCTGCGCGCATAGCTATTGATGACGTCCGCTTGAATCTTCAAAAGACACATCTGGAGTTGCTTTCGGATGTACTGGCCTTACGAGAAAGTGTTTACCGTTTACTGACTGACGCGGCGCTTGAAGCCCTGGAAAAAAGAGATGAGGTATACATAGCCGTCGTAGCGGCTGGAGGGTATGAATACACTGTGGCGGTACTAGCGATACTGGCGCTCGGTGCTGCCGTAGTCCCACTGACACCGGCTCTGCCGGTAGAAGAAGCAGTGTACTTTGTCGAGAAGTCAAGAGCCGCACTGGTTCTAGCTAGCTCATTGGACTGGATCAAATGTCTTGATCTGGAAAAGCGGATCGGGATAACAAGCGATAAGCATTTTCGAGCTGTGGCCATCAAGCCCTCCATCTCGTCCCCTATACTCGATGCTAGAGACATTATCATCTCTTCAGACCGTGCCTTGGATGAGAATGCGCCCGCTGTAGTCATCTTCACCAGTGGGACTACTGGAGCGCCCAAGGGGGCGGTAATGAGAAGGGCTTTCATCTTTGACTGCGCGCTAGAAGTAGCGGATCATTACCAGTTAGATCAAGACGACGTCGTCCTTCACGTCCTTCCAGTGCATCATGCGACTGGTGTGGGTATCAATTTCTTCCCCTCCCTCGTATCCGGTAGTCGTATCGAGTTCCGCAGTGGGGGCTTTGATGAAAAGCAAATGTGGGAACGGTGGAAGCAAGGTGCTACGGATCCTCGAAAACGGCTCACTATCTTCTCCGGCGTACCCACCATATACATGAGAATGAGACGATATTATCAAAACAAATTACGCAAACTACCTGCAGACGAGATCGCGAAGTATGTTGCAGGCGCAAGGCAGTTCCGGGCTTGCTTGTGCGGAACGTCAGCACTACCTCAACCACTTAACGACTTCTGGAAGAGCATAATGCAAAAACCGATCTTACAGCGGTACGGAGCGACGGAGTTTGGAGCCATCTTCAAGATGCGTCTTGGCGATAACGACGTTCCGGAAGGCTCTGTAGGCGAAATCGCCAGTGGTGTTGACGTGAGACTGTCCGAAGGGGACGAGGGGGAGGTGCTTGTGAAGAGTCCGGTATGCTTCCTCGTTAACGATCTTGGCAACATGCGCTAAGAATATTCAGCACATGTTTTCAAAGTACCTACGTGATCCCGAAGGAACTGCGAGGGCTCATGACCCAGATGGCTACTTCCGAAGCGGCGATATTGCACGACGAGACGGTAAATACTACTACATTATCGGGCGAGCCTCTCTAGATATCATCAAGTCGGGCGGATATAAGATATCTGCGCTGGATGTCGAGCGCGAGCTGCTAAGCCTGCCATATGTCGCAGAAGCCATGGTGGTCGGCGTGCCAGATGAGGAGTACGGGCAACGCGTCGCTGCATTGATCTCGCTACAGGAAGGGGAGATGCCTACCGGCCTACTGAGAATGAATAGTGGAGCGAAACGCGTCTTGACCATCGACGCTCTGCGTCGAGATCTACGCGAAAGATTAGCGGGATACAAGCTGCCTACACTTCTGAGAATTGCGGATGGCGAGCTGCCGAAGACAGCCACAGGCAAAGTGCAGAAGAAGATCCTCGGGCCTCGCTACTTCCCTGCTGATCATCACGAGCTTCCGAAAGTACAGAAATGGGTCGCGCGTTCGACCTTGGCGAAGCTGTGATGTGGTAGTCTGATCGTGCTGCGATGCTTTCAAAGAGATATCTCGATCGAGCTGAACGATCAACTCGCCATCGCGATCGCATAGGTGCAGGACATTTGCTGTCATATCGCATCGAAAAAGAAAGAAAGGTATTGACCGAACTCAGAAGCTGGTTGACATGTGCACTAGCGGGTCATCGAGCCGAGGTGGCTCGCACCTTTCTCCACGCGCAATGTTCGTTGTTGATTTTCTTTTCCAACTCACCTTGTGCGTCATTCCGGCTCCACGTCTTCTCGAAGCTATCTCAACAAATATACAAGGCTTTTAGTGGTATCCGCAGTCGAGAAGTGCTTGTCGAATCGATTGAGGCACGACTGGCAGAGTCATCGTTATGTCGCAGATATCGGTAGCCGACGCATCCCATCGTAAACGATTTACTTCCAGATGCTCTTGAGAGATCTGCACGTATCGCCCTCTCGTAACAATGTTCACCAGGTATGCGACAAGTCTCAGCAGATTACGAGGGCTACCGGTACTCTTCACACGCAGAAATTGTGAAAGTGACCCGTGATGCAGTACTAAACTCAACCTCCTTCACGCTGACACTGCTGAGCTGTCGATTGAAACACTCTAAAATTTCACCTGCTACACTCTGTCACACACAGCTGATTCTCGAGCTTATTCACAACTGATGTGTCTTGGGCTATGTACTTAAACAGCGAGAAGCATTGCAAATCGACTCATAACTGCACGCAACCACGCCTCGCTGAAGCTTCATTGTTGACCATGGCGAAATCTCCTTCTGTTGAGCCTTTTCTGTTTTGTCTTCTTGAAGATTTTAGATGGCATGTACGCGAGTATCACGGAGACCATCCAACGCAAAGGCTACCTTCCTTGACGAACCCCGTCCATCCAATATTCAAGCTTGAGCGCTGGGCAACGTATCCGGGTCAGCATTTTGTCGAGATATATCAGAGAATACTACCTGCTTTACAACTAGCCTCTCTTTCCCTATGTGAGGATGGTCCTCTCCTATGGTACAGTCGCCTGACGTTCAGCGAACGCCGCCTGAACTCTGCAGGTAAAGCCTACCTAGTTCCAACGCCATACTCCACCACTCCACAAGCGCTGGCGCTTGTCAAAACGAACCTCAAGAACCTCTCAAAGGTAATCACCTTCATGTTTGCTCCCCAAGATTTTCACAAGAAGCAGAATTGGGGAACCGCGTATCACCGGATGGAAAACATGCCATTCTTCCAAGAGTTTCGTGCCGAAAACCTTCCATTTGTTCCACCCAGTTCAGGTATAGCTAATCCAAGCATCGTCCTATCACGAAGGTTCGATATCTTTTTCCGCAAGACATCCGCAACGCCTTATCAGAATCTCGATGAGTAATACAGAGCTCTGCTCATGCTCGCTTCCGTCATTGGACATGAAGTGGCTCATAGCTACAACTTCTTCGTACATGGAGCATATGGGCCCCTGGAACCATTTTGGGATATCACCGAGAAAAGCGGAGAGTTAGGGTACTCTTGGCAGTGTAATGTCCTTGGGTGTGTACCGTTGCCGATGGGTAGCAAGACGGGCGATGGTGATAATTGAAGATTTTTCCCGCTGGCTACTGTTAGAGTTGAGGAATATTATTCCAAAGCTGATCAAGAGAAGATCATGAATACCATTAAAGCATGCACGAATACTGAGTTCACCCAACGAGATTCCAGCGGAAATCGTCGGACCTGGCCAGCGGTAGACGTTACTAAGTTCCGCGGTTCCACCTGGTGCCCTGATGAAACTGCGATGGGTTTAGTGGCTTCTATCCTGAGCATCCGTCCGCGCTGGATCGCGGGGTGGTTTCAGCAGACTTTGTGGAAAAATACCAAGACCAATTGGATGCGGAAACAATACTACTTGCCACCTTCTCTTGGTGAGTGTTTCATAATAATGTACGACAGAAGCGCTTCCGCTACCTATATCCAGCGACCGCTTCATCCGGAAAATGAAGTTGATGCAAAGATAATTCGCCACCGGCGGGTTCGGGGGAGTGGCCATAATCCAGTTGAGAAATAGGTCTAGCTTCGTCGAGAGCAGTGTCTCAAAGGCCCGCTATCTCCACAACTTGATATATGTGTGATACTGGGCATTCGAGAACCTCTTTCGTATGAAGCATACGGATTTTGGGAATTGTAAGTGGCTCGTCAGTCGTGGGTCATCGTTATACCGTGGTTGCATCGATGATAACCATGGTACTGCTTCACAATTGTGCGCACACAGCCACTGTGTGCTGTTTCCACAGTCTCCAGTATTTGTGATATCACTGATTTTCATACCAATACGTTATTGATTTCGAACGTTATAAGTGGCTGTTCTGCTGTGCTACCTGTGATAGGAGTGGATGGCGCACTGATGTGTGAGCCTATTGTGGAGAGCGACGACCAAGGGTTACACATCGTGAATTCATAGGTTTGCACCATGGCCGCGACGAGAAGGAGCCACTTCATGTATTGTTCCTAGTGCCTTCTGCACCCACTAGCGCAATTCCTATATATTCGCCTCCTCCTAATCCAACATCCACTTCTTTGTCCTATCTATCTGTACTCTCTTCAAGCCTCCTTTTCTTTTCCCTACTCAGTTCCCTTCAAACTGTCTATTCGACACTCGATCCAGTTAACTTTCGTTACCGACACCTTCTCGACACTCCCAAACAATCATGTCGATCATCGTATCTATCGGCCCACTTCCGTCCCACACAGAGCTGTTCGTTGTACTTGCCGAGATACATGGTTTACACAAGCATGAGATGGTCGACATCTACACACCGCCTGGAGAGTGCTTAGTCGCCCGGGTAGTTTTTAAAACACACGAGGTCGCAAAGAAGTTCGCCGACGATTTCGACAACTATCGCTTGGTTGTTGGCAAGTTTGAAGGCCAGAAGATTGGCGTTCATCTACGTGACGAGCCCGAGGCTGAACTCCTCGAAGGCTTTACGAATCGCCTATCCGATCTCCTTCACGCCCGCGACAACCAGATCCCGTCGCGAACCGTCGAGATCACGGGATTTCCTAGAAACCACACTTTAAGCAATCTACGCCAGCTTCTGGAACCCATATGGGAAGACAACGATCTAATTGAGGCAGAAAACGTTTCAATCCTTCTACAAGGTGGTGAACTCGACCCTAATGACTATCACTATAACGAGCCACTTGGAATCACTCACGTCAGATCTCCACGACCAGGAGTTGGACTCGTACAGCTCAAGGATCTCAGTACGGCACTCCATATTGTGCGTCTGTTCGCTGGTACATACTGGAAGAGGGCTACGTTAAACGCTCGGTTGGTCCCAGATGAAGAGATTGAAGACTTGCTCATCAAAAGGTCAAGCCAGGAAGATGGGGCGCTCTTCGGGAAGGATGTGATGCTCTTCGTTACGGGTATAGAGGCCGGCACTTCACCGAAAGAAGTTCAAGAGATCTTTAAGGAATTTCCCATCCGTGATATCAATATGCCACCAGGCGGCAAAACCTTCTGCTTCGTCTTCTTTAAGCAACCAGAGGCAAACGCAGTTCTTGCGCGATTTGGGAATGGTGTTCAGTGGAAGGGTCGCACTATTCGAGTGAGCATATCGGATAAAGAAAAGAAGAACAAGAACAAGAACAAGTCCGCCCTTAGTGCGGTAAGCGCGACGCCTGCTGCACTCCCGCAAGACATGACAGATCTAAAGCTGAACAACCTGCCACATGGTGTTGCGGACTCGAGCGTCCACATCATCTTTGTAGGTTTTACGGTTTCAAAGGTCACCATCAAGCAGGGCTACGCCTTCGTTGGTATTGCGACAAGCGAGGTTGGTCGCGCGATCGACGAATTGAGCGGGAAGATGGTTGGTGGCCGGAAGATTTCTGTGAAGGTCTCCCAACGCAACAAGCAGCGAATGCTCACATCTCCGGTAGGATGTAATATCGGGTGTTTTGCAACCACAACACGTTATATGATGTGGTTCGACATGGTTAATGTAGATATTTGTTTTCGTCGAGTGCCAAATAGATGATGCCACAAAATCGTTCCTCGCCTGCTCTGTTTCTAGACTCGTCTGCCCAACTTTCACGTGACGAACTTCAAAACATCATTCACCCACTTTAAGTTCCAGACAACCCTCACAACATTTCACTAGACCTCAATTTTTGTTACAAGCAGTGCGCGAAGGAAATAAAAAAATCCTTCACTGTTTCTGCGCACTTATCGGTCTGCTCAAGCATCTTACGCGGGGCTTTTTCGGCGCGTCCTAACCCATACATAGTGATACAATTCGACTCATAATGCCAAGAATTGTCGAACACAATAAGAGCGCAGGCCCGCCGACCATAGATGCGCCCAGTATCTGACCAAGAGATAAGCGAAATGGAAGGTCAATTAGACATTTTTGGACAGCAACCATTCTTCACGATAAATACGCAGATATGCTTCGCCTTCACGACAAGCGACACCTCATCCCACGAAACGATAGTCGGGACGCTGAATAATGGGCTCGCAAGATTATCTGCGGCCTTCCCGTGGCTAGCATGCGATGTCGTTAACGAGGGCTCAGGGAACGGTAGCACAGGCGTATACAAGTTCAAGGCGTCAGCAGGCGCGCCCACTCTCATCGTGAAGGATTTCAGTCGCGATACCTCAGCACCAACAATGGACAGTTTCATGCGTGCTGGGTTTCCGATATCCATGCTAGATGAAGAGATGGTCGCACCTCGCAAGACCTTCACAGACCAGACACACTCGAAATCAGCACCGGCTTTCCTTATTCAAGCCACTTTCACTCCCGGGGGCCTCCTGCTGACGTTTCTCGCACAACACAATACCATGGATATGACCGGTCAAGCCCACATGATACGCCTCTTTTCCAAGGCTTGCTGCGGTGCCCAGTTCACAAGCGACGAACTTTTCCATGGCAATATCGAGCGACACAATATCGTCCCCTTGCTGGAAGATTCATATATCCTCGGTCCAGAGCTCGATCGCCATATTGTAAAGTCCAGTACAGAGAGTTCGGCTTCAGATCAAATGTCATCACCACGGTCGAACTACTTGTGGGCTTACTTCGGTTTCTCTTCCAGGTCACTTGCAGCCCTCAAATCGACTGCGACGGAGTCAGTGACCGCCCCCGCGTACATATCTACCGATGATGCCCTGACTGCCTTAATCTGGCAATCTGTTCAACGAGCTCGTCTACCACGTCTTCAGCCCGCTGCTAGATCGTCCATAGCCCGTGCCGTTGATGCACGATCGGTACTTAACATCTCGCCTTTGTACCCGGGGCCGATACAAGACAGCGCATACACTACGATCTCGCTTGAAACATTGGTATCAAGGCCCTTGGGAACTATCGCTCTGCACCTCCGATCAGCGCTGGATCCTACATCAGTTGAGTTTCATGCTCGCGCTGTTGCGACTTTCCTCACCCGTACATCAAATAAGGCCATCTTCTCTTCCACGGCCGACTTTGACATGTCGAAAGACTTGATACTCAGTTCATGGTCAAAGGTACAGACTTCCGATCTGGATTTCGGCCTTGGGCTAGGCAGACCCAAAGCCGTTCGGAGGCCGCGTTTCAAGGCATTAGAAGGGCTGGTTTTCCTTATGCCGAAGTCGCTGGAAGAGGATGTGGCGGCCGCGATATGCTTAAGAGAAGAAGATATGAACCGGCTAAAAACAGACGCTTACTTCGGTAAATATGCACAGTACATAGGATGACGGCGATAGCTAGTGTATCTCTGGAGGATTACGATATATATTCAGTCTATCAAGTCACTTGTTTAGAATCTACTTCAGTGATACTTGTTTGCTGGGAGAAAAGGCGCAACGACAAAGTCGCTGTGTTCTCATTCCCAACAGATATCCTCGGCCTGCCATCTTGGTAATCAGTCCTGCCTGTCCATGAATTCAGTCTTTTCATCCTAATCGCAGCCTCAACATTCTTCGGTCATGGCCTTCTCCTTTTGTAACCATGTCGCGTATCTCTCTCGCATTCTGAACAACTTCCAAATGCACACTTTTAATATGAGCACCGAAGTCGCGATTTCCGAATTGTTGACATAGGTCGTGTAGGGTGCGCCCTCGCCGTATGGATAGAAGAGTCGGAGCTGAAGTACGACGGCGGTGTTATCGAGGACATGGTAGAAGGCTAATCTAATCATGGCGTCACGCCAGGAGACAGGCTTGTATTGGTCAACTATACCGTAGTAGAAAACTCTGAGACTGAGCAAGTCAAGGAGATGGAACATGTCGAGGAGGAGGAGGTTTGGTTGGTCGAGCCAAGAGGGCGCATCATCGCCAATAAGGTTCGGGGGTGTTGTATTCTGGGAAGAGTCTACCGCAGAATCAACACTGTTTGCTATATACTATTTAGGCGCTGTGTCAGAGGGAGGCGTCGAAGTAGCCGCAGATCGGGAACGACTTCTAGATCGTGATCTCCAGCCTTGTCCAGATTGAGCAACTGCTTGGGACACAGATGTAGATTTGTATCAAGCCGATATATCAGGAGAGTTGGAATAAGCACCCAACCATAGCCCATCCCAAAGGCGGAGCTTCACAAAGCTAGCCAGTATAAAGCCTTTGAGAGGTGACCTGGTGTCCCATGGGAACCAAAACCATAACATCGATTCCTCGTGATGTGTAATTCCTGAGAAGGTGGATAAACATCGGATAAAGAGCATGTTCGCAATGATGGAGTTAAGCAATCCTTCTTTCGCTTGTTGGGGGAATTGGGAATAACTGAAGCATATGGTGACCACCGTGATGAGCACAATGAGCCATAAAATTCAGTGTGGTTTTTCGATTTCGAGTACATCTGATGATATGTAGGCGGGTTCGCCTTGATGATGAAGATGCCAATAGCGCTGGTCCGAAGATACCCAGTCTGCGATGGAGAGACCGTAGAAGCGTCGGAGTATGAATGTGAAGTTGAGATTGAATTTGAGGCCTGGTGCCCATATGAATATCATGGTCCACAGCGACAGCGTGCTGTGCAGAGTCGCAAGGGCAAGATTGGCGGAAATGAGATTGAAAAAGAGGCATGGTATTCATATGAGGCCTAGCAGCCACAGCAACAGCATCCTGTGCGAAGTCGTGGTCTTGCGATTTACGAGGTTGGAAAGGCGTTGTGAACGAGGCGTACGAAGTCAAGAGAAGAGGTAGGTATTATGAAATCGACGCCGTTGTGGGATGATATCTTTCCTTGGTTGCGTGCGTTAGCGCACCGTAGTCAACACCGTGGTTGAGTTTATATCACTGCTTCGACCGACGGCTGGGATGTGCCATAGTCCCTAATCCTTGCTTCACACCCCCATCGGTAGTATGTTGATCGAAACAAAGCTCTCCGGCAGCGGTCCCCCTGTGATATAGATCTTTCAATTGTCGATCTATGGAGCCAGTCAGACGACGGCTGAAGTGTGTCGTAAAGCCGTGGATTGTGCGACGTAGGTAGATGTCGCGACCGGAAGCGTGGAGTAATGGACGGTAAGCGCTCAGGTTTTTTACCTTTACAGTATATGTCATTGATGAGTACGGTTGCATAAGTGTAGGTATGTGGGACAGAAATCATGAATCGCTCGTTGCTTCTGCATCATTGCAACAATTTGGGACGATGTGGACAATGCGGATGGCAACAATGAGGTTGAACCAGTTCTTCGGTCGAACAAAAACGTGATGTAGCAGTCGGTTGTTGAGTTTTGAAGCTGTTGAGATCGAAGCTTCCTCTCCCTTTAGAACCGTCTAGGTGGGTAAGCCTCAGCACTGCGGCAAGTTGCGATTCCATTGCTAGGAATAGTATTCTTAAGAGGATTGCGCCTACAAGGAGACTTGACAGAAGCAGCTAGCGGTTTTGTTCTAAATGCATACCCCATATTCTTATAGTGAGTACCACACCAGGACTTTGAGGTTTTCGACGGGTGATATAGATGTTAGCGTTCTCATGCCATTTGTGTCTGCATAGGGAGAGTCAATGTGCTGTTTTGGGCGCGATGATCGAGGGTGTGGGTGTTTCGAATGCGGTGATGGCAGTTAGTTCGAGGAATGGTACAACTAGCAAGGAAGTCACCATTGCTGACTGCAGCAGGTGAAAAGAGGTACACATGCCTGATATACCCGAGTAAGCATTGCACTACTATGCTAGAACGTCCTGGCACCTGATCCGAGGTATCGAATTCCATTCACTATCGAGTCCATTCTACAGTCTGTGCTGCTCTAGGCAGGGAGATTCCTTCATAGTTCATATTTCGCTAGGTCTTACAGTGCATTATCACATCACACCACACCAGAGTCATACTCACTACCCAACTCCTGAGATCATCTAACAGCGATTCTAAGTATCGAACATGTCTAACTGGGACCCCTACTGTTTTGGTGCTTCCAGAAGCAGCCCCTACAAGGTACTCCTGACTGCGGCAGCTACTCTCCAAGTAATCCGCACGAAGCTGCCTTCCGCCGCCCACAAGATCTACCGCGGATACTACGACGATATCATATCGTCAGGAAGTGGCGCACAAGACTCTGCTGTTGCAATGGCAACGTTCGTCGAAACCTTCCCGGCTATCTTGTCATTTCATAACAGGCTGGCGGTCTTACAGAATCCGGAGATCGAGAGACAGAAGCCTGGCGAAGGACGCGTTAAATTCCCGTTAGTGGGGAATGGTATAGCAGCGGGTGATGATGACGAGGATGTGATAAAAGCAACCTTGGCTCAAGAGAAGCAGAGAAACAAACCGAAGTGGGAAGCAGAGAGAGCAAAGAAAGGCAAGAAACCGAAGAATCTGCTGGCATCAGAGGAAACATTGGCTATGACACCCGAAGCTGCTCTAGACACGGACACTGGACCTGGACATGAGATGCGCGAAGGATTTCCAACATCGGCTATGACACACGAGTTTGCTCTAAACACGAACACAGAGCCTGGGCATGAGATGAGCGAAGAGTCTTCATCATTGGCTTATTCCTCAACTGTCACCAATACCGAAGCTGACAGGCCAGTGGTAACCCAAAGTCCTATAATATCGCCAGCACTTCTGGCCAACCCTAGCTACGAACCATTTGGCATGGCTGAAGAGATTCTCGACACAGAAGGGCCAACGGGACCCCAGAGCTTGGTGACGTTACCAGCAATTCCAACCATCACCAACACTGCACACCCCGAAGGTGGCAACAACAACGAGATGGGACTCGAGTTCCCCGAAGACATATCGGACGATTTGACTTGGGAAGATGGTTTGGAAGTCATCGACACCTTCTCATGGGCGCGCCCACGATCATCTTAACGCGGGCGCACTGTATCGGCATTGGTAGTGGCCATACTAGCCCCATCGTCGGATCGCCCAGATATCACACTGCCTCGATTATCGCGTCTCCATTCGATCCCCTCTGTAATCTTCCAAAGGCAGTTCACCTGGATTTTGCCTCTACCCACACATTCCGATCGCCTGCAGAAGAAACGCGAACTTTTTGGTCGTTCTTTGTAGTCGATGTAGTGGAGGCAATACATGCAAGGCCATAGGAGGACGTTTTTGAAGTTGGCCCTGCAGTCGTCGGTGCACTTCCTATGTAAAGTTAGATACGGAATGGTTTACAGTAGGTGCATTAAATCGAGACCTACTTCCAAGCTCTAATTTGTTGTCTCGTGAGTTCTTGTGATACTGGAGTGTCATTTGCTAGTCGTGCTGAGCGGCCATGACGCTTAGTCGTCAAGGCGTTCCATTCGATGAGTGCGTCGACGTCACCCGTGGTAGGTAGTGGACCTCTATCTTCGTTGAGTAATGAACTTTCGCTGGCTCGCCGCGCGATCCACATGTCTCTTGCCCGTTGCGCCTCTGTCTCTGTCGACTTACGACCGCCTTTCCCCTTAGATAACGTCATTGCGGGGGCCTGAGTATGCGCGAAGAATGGAAGGAATAAAGATGGTGATGGGTGTTGATAGTGAATGAGTCCGCAGGTAACAACAAACCGGGGCCGTGCGGTTAATTTCCTTCGACGTGAATTTCACATCGAGCAACGTACATATTACTACGTGGAAGTATTCGGTCATTGCAATCCAGAAGCAGGCATGGTGACGTGAACGAGACAGGAACGATGATGTGGATTGCCGCGTGCGCTTCGCTTTGCGACTTCTCAATGAAGTCGAATCAGAGCGTTCAGATGTGCTTTCTGCGTCCTGCCATGCTTGAATTGCTACACACCTCACTTGCGGAGTCACTATCCTTTGCAACGTGATCTGTTCATGGCAGCCTTGCAGACGAATAGTTACAGCATTGCCTGGTATGGCTGACGTAATACCAGGGTCTGGAACATGCTCTTCGATGAGGTAGATTAACTTGACAATCTACTAGAAGCACCTCCTCGATGGAAATGAGGCCTTGTGAGTATGGTGTTGTTTAATGGTCGCTGTCAGCATCGCTTCGAACCAGCTGGCGGTTTAGGCGTTCCACCTCGGTGCGTCTAGCTGAATCAGTGAACTCTTCAGCTGGACTGAAGCCACAGTCGCCAGTTCGCACATATGCAGACTAGCTCGGTAATCATTGTGATGGTATGTATTGAGCCCTGCCGCACGACAATGAGAGGAAGTTGTCGCTACCACGCACAACCTTCTTCTTCCCCCGCCACTTCAAAAAGCCATGACCACCGCGTCCGCCGAACTTTCTCCGGCCTCCGGTACCAACGGTACCTTCGACCCGTCAGCCGTCAAACCTCCATTCTTCGACATCAATGGCAAGAAACCCATACATTATGGCGTGTTACTCTTCCCTGGATTCCAAGCGCTCGATGTCTTTGGTCCTCTTGATGTCTTTAATTCGCTGTCCATGCTATACCACTTCCCCACCAAGTTGACTATGCTCGCCGCAGACAGCTCTCCGGTAGAGACTTCGCATCAAAGAGCTGGCAACCAGATGTTCTCGCATCCCGAGACGAACGTTTCCCAGAGCTTGATGGTAGATCGCACGTTCCAAGAGCAGCTCGACATTCAACAGGCCGGTGCATATGCGGGCGCGCGGGGTGGCGCTATCGACGTTCTCATTGTACCCGGTGGTGTCGGTACGCGCAACGACATGGATGCCGAAATTGAGTTTGTAAGGGAAATATACCCTAATCTGAAAGCTCTATTATGCGTATGCACCGGAGCCACCATTTTGGCTCGCGCTGGTGTTCTGGATGGCCGACGTGCGACGACGAACAAGCGCGCTTACACATGGGCGACAAGTACAGGACCAAACGTGAAATGGGTTGCAGAGGCACGATGGGTTGTAGATGGAAATATTGTCACGGGATCTGGTATCAGCGCGGGTATAGATGCGACATACGCCTTCGTGGGACTGAATTATGGTGAGACGATTGCGCAAGAGCTGGCTGATAGTGCGGAGTATGTGCGTTGGACTGATCCAGATCATGATCCGTTTGCGAAGAGATGGAACGCCGGCAATGCGTGAGGGAGTTCTGTTATCTTTGTCGTCTACTACCTGATGATACTTTGGCTTGATGGGCTGTGATCAGGTTCATTTCACTTGCTTGTATCGTACTTACGGTGCTCGGGTACATCTCAGCTGCCTAAATCGGGCGTTGCATTTTACCTCGCTATTGTTGTGATATGGAGCAGTATTACGTATATGTTCCGACTATTCACTGAGACTACATACAGCTTCTGATTCTTCTCCTTTTCTCCAGGTTATTCTGACCCAGCCCTGTTATTCTCTGTCTCAACCTTTCTACAAATACATTCGATGCAGCGGCGCCAGCAGCGAAAACTCAAGTCGGACGGGATACTGAGTAATCTCGAACCGCTTCTTCTGGTCATACGAGAAGAGCTTGGCCTCGACTGGTGTTTCTACAAGGAATTTCTAAATTGCGTCCGAAAAGCGACGTTGAAGGGCGAGGACACTTCGATCTGGGTACATCACATCGAGCCACTGGTACAAAGATCAACTCTACAATTCGCGCATCAAGGCGTGCTCTTCCTATTCCGTGAGATGGGTGCGGCGCTACGAAGCAAATGTAAGTAATTCCAAGACATTGATTCACCTTCACTTTCTTACCACTGAAAAACAACAGCTCTTCCTTCCACCAACATGGTATCTCCATCGCCTCCTCCCAGCGGCCAACCTCCGCTGCTCGCGTCTCCCACATCCGATGTACAGCGCAGCTTCACAGGTGGCCACGCGCCTATAGCTTCCCCACCGTCTGCTGTCAACACGCGACCTCCACCATCATCATCACCCGCAAATCAGCTACAACGCTATCGTGCCCTCGGTCAAGCGCCCGTGGCGTCGCTGTGCTTCGATCGCCGCGGACCGCATGCATCCTCCCCTACCAACATCTCCAGTCTTCCTGCACCACCAATGGCGTCCTTCAGCTTTGACTGTTCCAAACCGCTCAAGCAACAGCCAGTCTCAGCCAACTTCTCACTTCCTTCCGCAGCCAGCGTTGCCTTCTCGGGTGAGACATGCCGCATCACAGTCGAGCCTCTCAAGTCCGCGTACTCTGGTGGGTTCGTTCTCCACCAGGATCCTGCATTCAGGCAGGACATCCAAGAGTTGTTCGGCCATAAATACCCTGCGGGTAAGTCAGAGACCAAGTACTACAGTCAGAAGGATGTGCCACCGGTTTACAAGGCTGCAGATGACGATCTCGCGGTCTGGAGGGCAGACGGAGGAGCTGAGAACGTGGGCAACGACAGTGGTGGAGAGGGTTGTTTGGAGGACAGGATGAACACTTTGGAGGATAGGAGCCGAGAAAACTTCTTGGAGAGGTTGCGTTACAAGCTTTTCAACGAATGATCTCAACATCATCGACTGACGGTATGGTCGCTTGCGCATCTTGGGCGTTTAAGACGGACGGAGTCAGTACTCGAATGGACGACATACGATTGGTGATAGCGAAGAACATCCGCCCATGACGACCCTTGGGTTTTCGCGGGTGAAGTTGATGACGTGGGTTTTTGATGGAACGATACTTAATGATAGAGGATAATACAAAATTGCGACTTTTCACAGCACTCTTCTAGCATCGGGAGAATAGGCTTTCGAGTAGGCTTGTAGGACATTGGTAACGATTCTCTATTGGTTCAAGTTTATCAAATGAATCAAGGTTATCGGTAATACTTCGTAGCATATACGTGAGGGTAGAACAGCACCTTTTCACCAACGTCACCATTCAATTTCAAGTAGCATCTCATGTACTAATTCACGCCTGACCACTATGTTCCTACAGCCTTCTTAAAGCTTCCCTAGCAATCCACCTTTCTCTGGCTCAAACGGCGTTATCATGTTCGTCTTCGCCCATTCCTTCTCCGCTTGCGTCCCCTCAAGCGGCGGAACTATACCATTGATCTTCCACTGACTCCTGTCGGCTTCTTCGACACTGTACTCCCAATCGTAACCCTGATCAGCAATAAAAGGCTTCAGCGTCGCATCGGCCCACCGCAAGAAACGTTTCTTGGATTTTTCCGAGGGGCTAGTCCAAGTCAGTACACATTTCGAAATGGATGACGATCGACATTGACACGAGAAACATGATGCCGTAAAGCGATCGGGCAAGAAGAGCAGCAGGGTAGAAGGGTCTTACTCGGGCCTAGCGAAATGCTCAATTTTGATCCTGATAAAGGGACGCGTACTATCGGGCCCAGGTTTGTTGGCAGGTACATCTGGCGACGGCCTGGCTACGCCGCCGATGTAGTAAGAGTCGGGTTCTATGGGTTGGAAGAGGACAACTACATAGCTTCTAGGGAGACCGACGGAGGCGTAGCCATCTGTGAGAACCTTTGCCAGGGCTTTCTTGGTGGCCGGGTCAGTGAAAGTGTTGGGTGGATGGTAGAAGACCCAGAGAGGCATTGCAGCAGATGGATACAGGAACAAGAAGTAGGAATTTGAAGTTGGTGGTAAGTGCAGTGGTGAAAGACGTCTTCTTATCTGACTGATATTATATTGAGGGATATATGACAGTGAAACATGTTTAGTGATGTTGACAGAAAGCGTGATGTTGTGAAATGTAGTGTACCTCTGCCTTGGGTGGATGGCACGTGTGCGGTGCATATGTTGGAATAGTAATCAACCATTTTGAGTAATCCAATTACCAGCGCCTAAACGCGTACTGAGCCGAGGCTAGAAACAACGTTGGGATTGGTCTATAGATCTTGGTACAAAATATGATTCGTCCTAGTGATTGGCCTTCATGTCGAACATACGTTACGGCAATTATCTCAAGAGTGCAGATTTATTTGCCGAGAATAGTGCGATGATGCCATCCTACGTCGTATGGTCTTACAGCACTCAGTAGTGTAATCAGGCATGAATGTAATCAAACTTGGCGCCAAGGTGCCAACCGGCTGACTACGAGCATATACGAAGATCTGAGCATGCCATAGCCAGATGCCAGGAGGCCGCATTGTAGCAAAAGATTAAATGAATCAGGCCTTCTTGAGCTTGATCAAGGTAGTATCAGTGATTGAACATATGGTGAAGTAATCGCCATGATATGACCATACTAGTGCCGAGTAGTGACGCTTGTTATAAGCGGAGATGGTTGGCTATCATCACTGCGAGCAGTTCAACACTCGCTCAAAGGTCCGACAGAACCCTGCGTACGACTTGATCGAGATCTTCCTCTTGCAGCCCAAGCGTTTTGTTCGCGAAACCTTCCTTCTCCTTCCAATCCGCAGCAACCACCCCCCATACTGCAACCACTTCTTCTCTCGCTTCTCCATCGCCATCTAGCATCTTCGGTCTAACAACGTCCAATTCTTCTTGGCTATTCTGATCAATCCTCTCAAACTTCTCGCCTGTCGCCTTCTCCAGCGCAGCAAGAACCTCGAGTTGCGTAACATGGTGGCTGTGAACGTAGAGAAGTCGATTCGCGGTCTCATCTGGCTTCTCCAAGATCTTGATGACAGCCTTGCCGATGAAGTCAAGGTTCGACGCAGAGAACTTGATGTTGCCGCCGTCGAGGATGAAAGCTTTACGGGCCTTAACGTCGAACTTCAATAGCCCGCAGGTCATTCCCCAGTCGAAGAAGTGGCCTGTGACAAGACTTGTCCATGTAAGTTTTCCCATGCCACCTTCGCGCTCCTTGCCTTCCAACGTGAGCAGGTAGTCCCGAACGTCCTTCTTCCCCTTCATCAACGGCAAAATCTCATTCGTCTTGTCGTCTGCAGAGTCGCAGCTTCCAAACTCTGCCGGCATCACGCGCTTCACGCCGCCCTTGAACGCGGCGTCGATGAGCTTCTTCTGCGATTCGACATGGCTTCCAGCGATAGTGATAACTAGCGCGTCAATGTTGTTATTTCGCAACGCATCGGCGACCTCCTCAACATTCAAATCATCGGGTACCGTGATGACTTTGGTCTTTGGGTAGACGGACTTAGATGTTTGGCGGTTGAGCACGAAGATGTCGAACTCGGAGGATTTTAGCGCGTTGAGGACGGGCGCGCCGAGCGTGCCAGTGCCGCCGATGAGAGCGACGTTGGTGATGGTCATTGTATGGCCTGTCGATGTATTCGAATGGAGATGGGTCGTGGGGTGAGATACAGTTCTGGGCATGTAGTCGAGGAGGTTCACGCTTCGTGGGGAAGGGACCGTCGGCTACGAACGCATAGTCACGGTTCTGGCCATGGTGGCACTTTCAACACGCCCTTTAACTCTTCAATATCGGCCATTTGACGACTCTTACCAAAATGTGCACTCGGGTTTCCTGAGGACTCCGCTATTTGCCATCATAACAGAAAGCAGACGCGTCTTCATGGTTTAAGCTCGGTGACGTCATGGCACATCCCCCACCTCCATTACCTGCTTGCATTCTGTTTTCATATCAACAGCAGCGACATCGCCCTGCGTGCATAACTTCTCAATGAATCGGTCCTATGCTACGATCGCATATAGGCCGATGGCTGATTGTTACATGCCACAGGCAAAGACATGCCGGCCGCGCCGCATCCTACTTTGAACGTGCGATTGCGGGGTGGTTGACTGCGAGCACAGCATGATACGGCACCTGGGTTCCTCTTCAAACTCCGCATCACGACTTATCATCCTCCACTTTGCCTGCTACCGGACTGGCGCAAAGAAGTGTATTGCTGATTTCCCATTACTCGCTGTGAACGTCTCTCATCCCCGAGATGCCCGCCTTTGAAGGACTCAGCCCGCTGTCATCCTCCACTTCAGCATGCGTAGTTCCCACGGTCGAAGAACATGAAACGACTTGCCAATACGAGCCGATTGTTGCAGATGAAGAGCTGCGGGTCCTTCTCCTAGAACCAGGCATATATGGACAACCACTAGTTGGCAGTCTCTTGGTGCGAAAGATAGGAGAGATGACTTATAGAGACTACGATTGGATTCCGCAAGGTGATGGCAATGAATGGGACTGCGTATCTTACTGCTGGGGATCAAAGAATGATTACACATACTTCAGCTGCGATGACCGTTCTCTTCGTATTACAGCTTCGGTAGAGGACATGTTGAGACATTTACGAAGGCCGTTCATGCCACGGTATGTTTGGATAGATGCTGATATGTAAGAGTCTACCTAGGTCAGAGGTTGACTGACTGTTATCCAGTATGCATCAATCCAGCTGATGATTCAGAAAAGAGCTTGCAAGTGCTTTCAATGGGAAGGATATACAGAGTCGCCAGCAATGTGGTAGTCTGGCTTGGTCCTGTGGCAGATCAAGATCGGATATACGATTTGCTGTCCATATTCGATGTTCTGGATGAATTTCGTCTCCATGGCGTACCAGATCCGCCTCTCGATTCGGTGTCTTTTGCGTTTCCGTCTCTCGATGCGTTCTTCTCGCGGGGGTGGTTTAGAAGAAGATGGGTATTACAAGAAGTGGTTCTAAGCCGTGAATTGACTATACGATGTGGACGTCATGAATTCACGTGACAATCGTTGAAACATAGCGCGCAAGTTCGTTTGGATCATGAAAACAACTTTCAATCGAGTGCTGGTACTCAAGAAGCCGCGAAGCAAGTCATCATGTTGTACGGGCATAGGAGTAGCCGGAAACCTACTTTGAATCATGCCCGCTTATCTGATAGCGAAAGTAGATTGATCTACTCACGCATACTTCTGCTGTTGTCATCTTTTCTTGCGGCCCAATGCGCAGACGAACGGGATCGACTATACTCGCTCTATGGCATGTCGCCTAGAGCTTACGAACAGTGTCCCGTGAACTATGGAGTTCACTTCTCCCGCACCTATACCGTTTTCGTTCACGCGGCCATCAAGGCCGGCCTAGGTCATGAAGTCCTTCATCATTCTATTACCTCCGGAAACCTCTCGCAGCAGGATGAAAGCTGGAATTTAACGCGAAAGATGCAACTTAGTATTTTTTTTTCTTCAATTATCTGCGTCCATCCCAACGTCTGCCCGAAACCTGGGGATACAATCCTCTACGGAAACTGAGCGAAGCAAATATATGGTTTGAGAGCAGTACACGTCTTGTGGATATGCACGGGTTGAAAGCACTTCAACTCCGCGGTGTTATCCACCGCGTCTGTCATGTTCGGTCCAGTACTGTTCACTCGGATGCAATACCATATCTCGAGGCCATCGCAAGGGCTCAGCATACCATGTCAAGTCTTGTGGTAGCATGGGTCGTAGCCTTGACCATGGACGTTGTGCCGAAAATGCTTTTCCGTCCCGCGTTTAATTATCATAGTGTCTGCAGTACGGGAGATCTTGATAGATGGGAAGATGATAAGCGGCAGAAACTCTTGTTCGCTGCTACGAAAAGATTCATGGGATTGCGCTTGGATGATGAAACAGAAGAGCAACCCGAAGTCGACAGGAACAAGTTCGCTTCCGAAGCTAAGCGACTACTAGAGGGTCTGGAATCATTCTGTTACGAAGTTGAGGGATCCTTAGCCTTCGGTATCGTCTACACACAAGTGAAGCCTGGCGATTTCGTGTTCCGCACGCCGAAGGCAGCCAGTGGAGTAGCCTATCATACCGACGAACTTTCACCTTCGACTTGTGGGCTAATCATACGGCCATATCACCCCGGGAGTGATGCAGGTCCTGCTGCCTTCCGTCTTGTGGGCATGTGTGTTGACTGGTACCCCGATGTGAAGGATCCGGAGTTTGTCGAAGTTGTTTTGGTGTAGGGGCTGTCAAAATGAAACGCCAGGTTACGAACAACGTCATCAGGCTGCGATGTAAAGAGACGGAAGCGCTGGAGCATGCGACATGTGTGGAAGGTAGCTATCTTGTGATGTGAAGGCGAGTGTCACGCCATCTTACGACCGAACACACCACCATCACGCACGAGCCACCTACCTAGGTCGGACGCCTCGTATATACCGGACGCGACAATGATATATGGCTCAGTCTATATCAAACAGTATACTCAATATCGCCGTTCAAACATCATCTCAAGATCTGCAACAAACATTGTACATAGAAAAAGCGCAACTACTCCCACCGTCTACAATTCAAGATGCCCAACATGACACCCCTCAACCGCCGACCAATGCAGCACATTGACCGCCGCGACCTCTACACAAGCCTGGAAGCACGGATACAATACCTACATTCATTTCTCGACTTCAGCTCACGTAAGTCTAACAAAAGTTCTCTTTTTAGAGCTTCAATTAACAGATGCAGGCGACATCGAAGCCCTAACAACAGGCGCCAAATACATCAAAGCGCTCATCCCCGCCGTCGTCAACATCGTCTACAAAAAGCTGCTGCAGTACGATATCACCGCACGAGCCTTCGAAACTAGATCGACGTCGTACGAAGGGCCGGTGGACCCTAATCTGAGCGAGAACTCACCCCAGATCTTGTACCGCAAAATGTTTCTGCGGGGCTACCTCACAAAGTTATGCAGTGACCCGTCTAAAATGGAGTTCTGGGAGTATCTTGACAAAGTCGGTATGATGCACGTGGGTCAGGGACGAGCGCATCCTTTACACGTCGAATATGTGCATATTGGTGTTACGCTCTCATTCGTCCAAGACATCATCACCGAAGCAGTACTTTCACATCCCAGACTCAAGATGGATAAGAAAATCGCATTAGTCAAAGCGCTGTCAAAGGTCATTTGGATTCAAAACGACCTCTTTGCAAAGTGGTATGTTCGCGATGGCGATGAGTTTGCAGACGAGCGATTAGTGCCTGAGGTTGAGCCTGAGGGTTTCTTGCATGGGAAGAGGGTCCTGCGTGACGGCAGCGAGAGCGAGAGTGAGATTGAAGATGCGGCGCTTGCAACGGGTACGTGTCCTTTCAAAAATCTGGCAATGACACCGGGTCGAGAAGGCGAAGCCGCGCTGAGGAGCGCGATAAAGCGGATGAGTCGAGGGGAAGAACAAGCCAGCGATGGCGATGTGGTGGGCGCCGTAGATGAGCCGACGTCGACATCACCAGGTGTGGGCGCTTTCGCTCACAGTGCGATACCACGGGCTGTGGGTAGCAGCGCGTGATTTGCAGAATCTTGAATTGCGATAGACGTATTTTTCTTACTTTTCGATCATGTATCCGGCGTTCTCGATGGTTGGAGGGTCCTGGTTAGGGAGAGACATCTGGATTCGGAGTGGGCATCGGAGCGGTTAGCCCACGTGCCGAAGCAACGCGCATCGAAAGCACGGGCGAAACCGGAGACGGAAGAGGGCCCGGGACCGCGATCAGCTTAGCCCTCAACGCAATCCATCACCATTTCTAATAAGAGTCATTCTGCCATAGAAGTTGCCTCCATCAAGTGCTTGTGACTCGGGACAATTTTTCACAGAACATTCTCGTCTTTTTGCATCGTATTAGAAATATGATTGCCAAGCGTTCACAGCAAGTCACATGACGTCTTCAATCGTGAGAGGATGATGCATGGAAGCCGATCGCCATCGTGGTGTTGAGAATGTTTCAGCTGGGGGGTGCACTCTCGCAGCGTATTAGTGGACCGGCTGCTAGTCGCCAGTGTGTGGAGGGCAGGACTAAGGCCAGGCTAGGCTGGGACACCGGCGGCACTTTGTGGCGTTGGCTTGGCTTGCATGCGCGTCCACACTTGGAAGCATAATTGACCTTGGGCATCCTTGGGGCTAGGACGAGTACCTTGTTCCACACAGCAGGAGTGAGGTGTATACTTCACCGGACGTTGATCGAGGCGTTGAAGGTGTGGTGGGAGCGACACGCGTAGACCATCGGAGAGTAAATAGTATCCCTGGGATCGTTCCTTGATCCGACGCTTCCGCTTTGTTATGAATTGTCAATTACGCGAAAAGAAAAAAAGTTGTCGTGGGCACATTTGACTGATAGATCATCTCATGGTGCCCTCCCAGTGCTTACCACGTTGCGAATCCCCCGCGGACAGCCCTAAGCCGGCAAGCCGAATGACATAACGACTGAGACAAGACTTGAGTCGTTAAACGTTTGCTGGCAGCAGGTTAGCGGACACGCCCCTTGGCTAACACTTAGCGAAGGGCCCCATAATGATGTAAATTGCGCGAAAAGCAAACCTTACGCGTTGAGTCGAGAGCGACATGCCCCAGTGAGATGCGCGAGAGACACTGGGCGGGGGGAGAGGTGCGATATGTTGGACGGCTGTTATTTTTCGCATGTGAATTGCTTTGTCGACGACTTTTGTCTGAGACGCAAGGGCACACATCGCCAATTCCGGCAAGGAGGTGGCTCGACAGGGATACCCCCGCTAGTGCCGCTTAGCTTAGCCCGTACGTGCGGAAATGCGCTGAATGACTGCTCCCCCCCGAACTTCGTCGTCGCTGCCCTTCATCACAACATCATCGCCATCTGGCACACCATCCCCAACCTCCTCCCCCACCACGCCTCTACACGGCCTTTTGTAGCCCTGCACAACTGTAATACACCCCTCTATCCTGTATTCACGAATTCTTTTCTAGGATTTCGTGCTGGTGCGGCTGTTTCTTCCTTATCAAGTGGCCGATCATCGCGCCTCTTGCCCTCCACGTCACCATCGCAACGGCTTAACTGCTTGTTGCTTCTCTTCCTGCACTCCTTCGCGCACACTTGATACCCCCTACCTGTTTTAATATTCTTCCCTCGCACGACTTCTGTTCGATTTTCTTGTCGAACTCCAGTCGCGCATTACTGTTGGCGTAACGTCATCCTGCAGCCTTACTAGCACCTGGACTTCGATGCGCACGACCCTCACAACTACAGATGAGCTCTGTTGGTTTTAGGCTTCCACTTCTTTCACAATGCAGTCCATGTTCCGCCTCCCATGGTGTAACGAGTCGCCTGGCGACAAGATCATGGAAAAATCTACCCTTCACAAGTCAAGACCGCTGCCGGTCGTCGACATGCCACACTTCATGAACAAGATCAAGCGGAAACGGACTGACAGTCCTGAACCAGTAATGAAGAAGTGGAAGGGCGCGCACGGTGAGATTAGAGCTGTCAACGGAAATGCAAACGCAAAAGCCGCTGCCGAAAATGAACGTCCTGCAGACGCACCCAAAGCACCTGCAGAGGTCCTAGACGTCAGACCAAAGGCGCAACCCTCGAGGAAAGAGGGCGTCAGCAAGAGCAAGGCATCGAAATCTTCGCAACCGACCACCAAATCTGACTCTATCAACACGCCATCTACTACCATGGACTCTGGACTGACTCCTGTGCAACAAGCCATCGAGGCGCAAATCAACTACGAGATTCTGCTGAAACACAACGAACTCCGTTTGATCGAACAGGAGCTCGCCAAATGCCAGGTTTCCCTCGAGCAGCTGAGGCGGTGTTCGCTCATTCCTTTCCCAGGTACCCAAGGTCTCAGTGAGGATGTTAGTCTCGGCGTTGGTGCTTCGTTGCAACCCACCTCTGGCTTCACGGAACCGCAGTATGCTGCTCCTTGGGGAGTGACTGACGGCCCGTACACTCGGCATTATGCAAAATGGTTGATCTCAGATGCCAAGTTCGACCCCGTTTCTGAACGCGCACTTGCTCAGCAAGCTCAAGGCTACTTTGGCGCTGGGGAGGGTAGGACGACGCGCGGCAGCTTTGCTGACTACGGGTCAGCTCACAGAGGCCGCACGTCGCGAACTTCGACTGGAATGTTGAAGCTCACTCCTCTTGGTGAAACTCCAGCACCAGCGCCCAAGGTTGACCCGCTGTTGCACAAGCGATCGACAGACGGCCAGTGGGTGCGCTTGTACTGCGCTCCCTGTGGTCATAGCAACTTTTCCAACACTCAAGGTTTCTTGAACCACTGCCGTATAAAGCATCAACAGGTCTTTAAGAGCCACGACGCTGCAGCTATTACCTGTGGTGTGCCTGTCGATGTCAACGAAGTTGGGACTCCTGTTGCCGCCACCGACCCAGCCAGCCCCCCAGCTGCCCCGCCAGCCGTATCTTTCCCCGTCCCTGCTACTCCTGGTATCGTTCACCCGCTAGCATCACAGGCTGCACCTGCTCCCCAAGCTCGGGAAGTACATCGTGATCCAAATGCCGCGCCACGTGACGACTCCAAGACTGCCACGCCAACTAGCTTCGTCAAGTCATCATCCATGCCGTATCTCGCTGCGCGTTTCCAGAACAGCGGCGCACAAGGCGACTTCAAGGAGCTTGTTGAGACTGCGCGTTCAAAGGTCGACCTGGATGCAATAGACGCTTCGGATGACGACAGTCCGGCACCAACTCCTGTCTCGGCCGTGCCACCCCATCTCGCCCGTCTCCCTGCCAGCGCTCCCGCAAGCAAAGCCCAATCGTCCCGACCTGGCAGCAAGAAGGGATCTCACTCCAGCCACGCACGCCTCCCATTGTCGTTTCCCTCACCCAACAACGACCACCACGAGCCTAGCTCACCGGTAGATCATCATCTCAGCCCCAACACCGTTGAGTCGAACCCTGGTCTGGTTAGCGACCACGATGACGACGATGACGAGGATGCGGATGATGCGCATAGCCAGCCTGATCTCCACCACGTTGACGTCATGGTCGAGGACGGTAGCGACGTCGAAGGTGCGCAAGAACGTAGGGGTTCGCGACCGGCGCTCCATGGGTGCTTCGAAAAGGGAGAGGGGAGTCGTGATCACTAATGGCGGTCAAGAGCGAGTTAGGTCCGGCTCTTGGCTGTACAGAGGTGACGAACGACTTACTGATTCCCTTTTTCTTTTTTTGACGATGGAGATGGGTTATGTTGCTCATGGTTCTATTTTTTTTCCTTGCCCCCAATTTACTCTTGAGAAACTTTGGTCTTGTGGTGGTGGCTTCTTCTCTCCCCACTTGTTCGCTTATACATGGGTTCTGCCAGCAATGGACGGGGAGTTGGGTCCATTTGACTGGGGATTTTTTGGTCCTTGTTTTTTTTCTCTCTTCCTCTCTCTCTCTCTCTGTCGTCCTTGTCCCTCAACTTGTTTGCTCTTTTATGGAAACGCTTAAAATGTCAGAAACTCTCATCTCACGAGATTAGTCCAGGCGCTGGAGACGTCGTGTATCATCAACTGCTATAGTACGAAATTGGGTGTGTGTGTGGTGTTCTACGGGGGTGGTTAGATGGATTCGGCGGGTTTTTTTTGTGCTGGTACACTGGCACAGCACGATAGCAGGTGTAAAAGCTTGCTTACATGTTTTGTGTATATATCCTTTTTAATTTGTATGGAAAGAACAAAAAAAATCTTTTGAGATGCTCACTGGCTTGCAATGTGTGTGTATGACTTGGTGAATGGGTTCGTTTCTCTTGATTCTATCGTGCTTGGGCATCCTTTTGAGCCTTATCGAATCATGACTTGCACAGCATTTGTCTTGTCTGGTGACTGAGGTGCTCATTGTCCGTTTTTTACTTTGTATCTATCTTGTAATCTTTGGAGGAGCCTTTATTGGACTCGATTACATTGTATGATGTGGTACATCATGTTGGAGTAACGAGCCGACCATGTCCGTGCCGTGGTTCTTCGACACGTAGGTAGCAGTCCATTCTCATGAACATCATGCCTCACATCTTATGACGATGCTCGTTATCAGCTGGATGGGTGAAAAGAGGTGGAGGAGATGGAAGTGGAGAGAGAAAACCGTGGAGGTCTCGCCTCCTGACCATCCTTTTGTCTCCGCCCGTGTCCCTGCCCGTGTCCCTGCCCGTGTCTCCTGTACAACGCCGCTCAACTCATAAATTGCAATACCTATATATCGTCAGCCCTCCATGCCGTGTAGACATCTAGTCCCCCTCGATACCATATCGTCTCCCGATCCATCCATCCATTCACCCACCCCATTCATCCATCGTCCCCATCGTCCCTGTTCCCCCCTCCCTTCGTAACCCCGCCATTTGTCACATCAAGAGAGACCTTGACTTACAGCCATGACTACGCACGCCAGACTGACATACGGACTCAGCCTCTCGCCGATCCTGGCAGCCTTCCACACGGGGCTGATGTAGTACGAGTCCTTTCTTGAGTCGAGGAAAGTGGGGAACGTGGCGTGCGCGTAGGTAGCGGTGCAGATTGTGAGGAGGATGACGAGGAGGAGGGATTGGAAGTTGAAGAGAGCGGTCTGTGGGAGGGCGTGGGTGTGTGGTTAGCTGGTTGTTTGGGGGGGGAGGGGGGAAAGGGAGTGGTGGATGATGGGGGTTTACGGACCATGATTGTGAAAGTACCTAGGTGGCTTCTGGGAGAACAGTGAGATAGATAGAGAGGGTATTGCGTGAATGTGCGACGGATGGCGTGGGAGGTGGCTCGTGTGTTGCTCTGTTGTCTATTTATTTAGAGGGAGAGAGCTGGTTCGGAACGGTGGGTCAAGGGTTGCTGCCTCTGGATGTGCGCGCGCTTCTGAACTAGATTGTCGTTGTTGTCGTCGCAAGCATATGCGCCGCGGCGGCCTTGTCGGGGACCGTGCGCGCCCGCATGCGACCTCCGGGAGGGATCGTCATTGCAGCACGTCGCACGTCGCGCGCTAGTCTTGCGGACAATCGCGACTCCAGATCCATCGCCAACTGCCACGTCCGGAGTCCTTTTAACGTGCTCAAACCTAGATCCAGATCCAAAACCTCCCCCGTATCGCGCTTCGGACCGGCAACGCGACAAAGACGATACAACCATTATTTCTGAGCTGAAGGAAGCGCGACAAAGAGACAGCAGCACGCCAGCATGACGGAGCCACGCATGAGGCTGCGGCAAAAAGGCCAGCAGTTCCCCACGCAAGACTGTAAGAATGTGGCCCTTTAGCCTTGCCATCATCGCCTCGTCTACTTGGTACCCATAGCACACTGACTAACACCTCCACGCGCCTTTGAACAGTAGAAGCCTTCCTCCTCGCCTTTGGCGACAACGACTACCCCCTCGCGGAAACAATGCGCGTCCTCGACGAAATCATCACAGACTACATCATCGAAACCTGCCACGAAGCTGCATCTGTCGCGCACCACGCGCGCCGCGCCAAGATCAAGCTCGACGATTTCAAATTCATGCTGCGCCGCGACACGGGCAAGCTGGGCCGCGTGAGCGAGATGCTGGAGACGGATAAAGAGCTCAAGAGGAAGAGGAAGGCGTTTGATACGGATGAAGGGGCGGTGCTGCAGGACAAGGATGGGGCTGGTGCTGGTGCTGGTGGTGCCGAGGACGCGGGGAGGGGGGAAAGGGAGAGTAAGTTGGGGAGGCCCAGGAAGAAGGTGGATGGGGAAGGAGGGGCGGCTGGGGATGGAGAGAGGAAAAAGAAGAAGAAGAAGAAGGATGGAGGGGGTGGTGGTGGGGATGATGCTAGTACGGTGAGGAGTGGATGAAGAGTGTGAGGGCTTTGTCTTGGTGCAACCAGGATATGCGACGACGTTTTCACAATCAGAGCACTTTGAGCTGTTGCTGAGTCACAGGAGTAACGGAGGCTCGTCAACTCGTTCACATTGAGCTACTGAGAATTGTAGCTTTAGGGGCAAGCATATGGCTGTCGAGATAAAGCCACGGATCATGCATTGCTAGGAGTATCGGGGTTCTTTGCAAGACATTCAATGGCGTTTATCATGGATACCCACTCAGGCCCAAAGAGCTTGTTAGAAAAGATTAAAAGCTTTCCCATTCAAACATGTCTTTTCTGTTGTCATAACATTCGCATCCAGCGTTGTTATCATGTTCGCGATCCTCGTCTATAGTCTAAATGAACAAAGTCTAGTTCACGAAACCCAAATGATGAGGCAACCCTCCAGTTTTGTTTCCTCTTCTCCGTCTACTTCTTTCCCTTCTTCAAAGACACGAACCGCTCCTGCTTGAACTTCTTTGGACTGTTGCTGACTTTCCTCGGCTTCGTTCCAATCTCCCTTGGCTCCTCATGGAATCTCCGCTCGTGATTTCTCAGACTGTTTGTCGTTTTGAAGACACGCTTTCCCTTATGCAGCAATACACATGACCAACATTCGAGTTCCCCCTCCATGTTCTTCACCTTTCGACTTCCTTGTGTCGCCCAGAACCCCGCAGGGTAGCGCCCTGACCTACTATCCTCAGCACGCTGACGTGCTTCGAGAAAGCTTATAGGCGTGTCGTTGCGCAAGCCATACCACGGCAATGGCATGCCGCTCTGATGCGGTCCGGTTGGATATGGCTTTGGCGCCGGACGTGGCGGAGGCGTGTTCGAAACCCTCGTAGTAGAAGATCCTGAAGAGTACATATGCATCAAAGATTGCTGACCCGAGAGCGTAGCAGGACTTGTTTGCTCTTCGAGTAGAGAAGAGCAGACGAAACAGATGTTTAAACCCCTATGAGAAGGTTGAGCAACAACTGCATCAGGAGTTTCATGCTGAGTATGGCTGCTTTCTGCAGCGATATTGGAGTGTTCGATCGAGGAACAGGCAGGCGTGCCTCCATCACAATCTCCCACGCCCAGCCCATGACAGCTGAACTCAATGTCATGTTGATCAGTACATCCACTAGAGATATTAGAGATCAATCATCGGGGGAAGACGGGATAATGAATAGGTCTGACAGACTTGCTAAGTCTGGTGCAGGGGGCATCATTGCCAACACCCAAGCAATATGGGTGCCAGCGGACAGGCGGAGATTCTGCAATTTCATGCAAGGCCAATGCGCGCAAGGTCTGTATCCAAACAGCCTAGAAGAACGGTTTTGACTTCTGTCCATATCTTACCCTGATGCTTGCTTCCCTGACTTTATTTGCGCTGGCCCTTTGTCCCATGTTTTCGTGACAGGATCACTGGGTAGCGCGTCACCGCATGAGTCCCAGTCTGATTCCGCCCGAATATCCGCTGTGAGGTTTCAAATAGGGCGTAAAGCCAAATTCATTCACGTTTTCGTGACGACGTGATGCGATACGTTCTTCTAGGCAGGGACTTCACGGGACACTGCCCGCCTCCGTTGTCGGCTACGTTCCTAGGGAAGGGGAGGAAGTCATCATCCTCGTTGGTGTAGCTTTGGATACGTTCCCTAGGGCTAGCCGGTTAGCGGTGATGTTGGGTGGAGAGACTCACAAAGACAAGCCAGTGGAATCGATATGTACGAGATGGGTCTCGTTGGAGTCCGCCGCGAGGTCAAAGCCAAAGTTGTCGATGAGTGTGTAGGGGCTATGTCGGGACATTGTTCGCCGTGTTGTCGCGTTCGAGGCTTAAGACTTGTTTCCTCGTCGCTAGTCGTGATGTAAAGGTGAATGTTATTCGTGTGTGCCGAGGGCTAATGAGCGCAATGTGAAGGATTTTATAGCCTCCCCGAGAAGTATCTGAGTAGGCACCTGATGATTCGAGAAGAGTGTAAAACGCGGTGTGGGTGCGAAGCGTGAGATTCGAGTGTGAAGTTCATGGAGGGGCAAGACGCGTCGACGCGTTTACGCGCTTCCCTCCAATGAACACCCCAGTCAACTCCCCGCTGACGTAGCATGGTCACATGGAAAAACTTAGTGGAGGATAAGGCGGTATGCCAATAAACCACATCTGCTATCGTTAAGTCTACCCGGCTTTTGGTCCTCATTCAAGAAGCATCGAAACTGATATTTCGGACTCCATACGCTTTGCAGTGTCTATACGGCACAGATGTACTCTACAACCCCACATGAATGACGTGCTCCCGTACAAAGTTCTTACCACCCGTCTCTCTTCCTGCCACCCGTAGTGAGCTTTTCTCTGCCTGCGCCTCAGCCTCCGTCAAGCTAGCTTGTCCAGCCGCCGGTTCCTTTGCTACATAGAACAGAAGATACGGTAGACTCGCGCCCGGTGGCTTGAACAACCTAACCTTTTCGATATATCGGTTCCCTCCAAGTTGGTCCTTGTGCTGTAGTAAGAGGTAGCCAGCCCATCGTCCCACTGGTGAGCCTACGTTTAGTCAGTACCCACTTCTTCATGGATGTTTATCTGAAGTGTCGTTTCCCAGGCTGGGCGTGACATACCCAGAATCGCCTTTCCTCCCTTCGTTTCTATACTAAATTCTTCTCCCGGCCACAACTTGTACTCACTCTGCGGCGGGTTCAGAGTCTCTAGCGCGCTTCTAAACAGCTCTCTACTACCCGCGTTCATGACCTGCGTGACGAGCAGATACTTCAGGCCGGCGAGATTAGGTGCGTTGACGCGGTTCCACATGGCCCAGGCAATGTCCTGCGTCGTGCCGATATGCGGGAGCTCTTCGGGGAGGGGTGTGCGGAACCACGTGTATGTCTTCGCGGAATAGGTCATGCTCATTATGTTCATGAGGGCTATGAGGCCGTTAGGATTGACGGCGAATTCATAAGATGCACCTGTAGCCTGGCAGATGTTAGTACTGCCCGGTTGCAGTAGTACTTTTCAACAGGGGAAGAAGTCACCCTATACTCCTTGCCACAAACATCATAGTACTGCTTCGCCTCACTTGGTAAACTCCCGTCCTCATTTCTCTTGATAGCCACGCCATCCCGGTGATTCACCTTGAAGCAATGATTCGGTCCCCCATCCTTACTGCTTCTACTATCCAGACCAAGTTCGTCAAACGCCGCCTTGATCTTGTGATAACCATCGAAATCGCACTCTTTGGCCACCGTAGCGCTTAATGCGTCGCTGTCGTCGAAACCCCACTTCGCTAATTCGGCTTTTCCATCGCCGGTGAAAGGTGATTGACATGTTTCGGCGAACTGTGGGAAGTCTTTGAAAAACCAGCGGGCGACACTATCCTTGGAGCGCATGGCCGAGTCTAAAGTTTGACCGATCGAGATTGCTTTCTCAAATTTGGTGAGTGGGTTGGCGAGAGTGTGGAAAATAGAAGGATCATGGTCGTCGGAGATATTGCTGAGTTTCGCACCATCTGCATCGGTGTTTTTGTAGGCATCGCAAGTGAGATTGACGATTGAACTGTCGGTGGAGGTGGGTGGGAGGATATGTGCCGAAGCCAATGCTACGATGGCTAGGATGTGGAGGATGTGGAGCTTCATTCCGGTGTGAGCCTAATCGAGGTAAGAGTGTGAGATCGGTGTAGGCAATCGAAAGCAAGTGGTGGAGCAAACGACATCGAGTACGCTGCTATGAGCCATTCGTCGGTAACTGAGGTGAGAGAAGTGAGCGTGACTTGTAGAACGGGAAGGTGCTGCCCAATGACAGTGTGCTACTCAAGAATCAATCGACTATTAAATATCTCATATACTGCTTTAATGCAGATGGCACACCTAATGAGCGTTCGAGCGATGTTCATGGCTCACAGAAAGTGTATCATGTTGTGTCGACGACTTACGCAACCCACGCCTTCACGCTGTTTAATGAAAGTGTTACCAACTACGGTGCAGGAGCCTTTCCTAATCACCTTGTTTCATTGTAAGCAGCCCTAGGTATCTAGGTATTCTGTCCACATAAAAAGGCCCGCTTTCAATGTATTTTTCCCTTCCTAATATCATAACCACCAAACTAGCTGATACACTCACTTCAACTCCTTATCGCCCTGGCGTTGAAAATGTCGTCACTCGAGGCACCTTTCAACCGCTTACCAAATGAGTTAAAACTCCAGGTATTCGAAGAACTATACCAGAACTCGATGACAGGTCGACGAGACTACATCAACGCACTGAAAGTCTGTCGCCAATGGAATGTGCTGGGAACGCCACTACTATGGACTTATATTCCAATCAATGAACATAATATTGTGCCCTTCCTCCGTTCACTCGAAGCGGCGCGAAAAACGACAGGCGCTCTTGTGCGCAATCTCTCCGCGCGGCTAAGTCCACCACCCTACGATCCCAACGCGGCGAAGGACTTGTGTCTCATAGCTGCATCGAAGCAACTCTCCATACTTATCGCCAGCCAGCTGGAAGGACTGACATCATTCTCATTCGCCACCCCCCATTGTCCATTTGATCCGCTCCTTCAAGGGTCCACGTTTGACGCTTCCACAGATGATGATGACGATTACGGGTTGGCAGTTCCGGTTGAACTTTGCGCCTCACTGATCGATTCACTGCCACTGTCCTGCTCAAGTCTTGAGTTTTCCGTGGATGATCTCGAGCCTGACGAGAGCAGTGCCGAGGAGCGTATTCAGATGCCTGCCACCAATCCCTTTTGCGAAGCGTTGAGAAGACGAGTACCTCACCTCGAGTATCTGCGCATTCAGGCAGACGAAATATCGCCCTTTGTGTTCGATGTACTCATGACAGGTCCGCCTCTACCAAAGTTACAGACTTTGGTTCTGAGTCTGATGAGTTTGAATATTCCCAATCAGCTGCGCATGCAATATACCCACTTAGGTCCCGCATATGCACCCGTAGAAGACACGGACGAGCTGGATCCACAAGCTGACGCACTAGCCTCATTGCAATGGCAAAATATCATCACTCAGCAGCTGCATACATCCTGGCAAGCCGGTCGCTTCCCATCAGCCACACATCTCCTCGTTGTGGGCAATCAGGACCCCGAATCCATCGCAGATCACTTACCACCGTTTGGCCGTTATTTAAACGAGTTTTGCCTCTATACAGTCGACATCTTGCTTGGAGAGATGGAAATTACTCCATTTGTTCCTGTCTACCACGGGTTGCGCTTCAACCACGGTCCGACCGGCAACGAGGCAGCCCGTTATTTGAAAACAGTAATCTACCGTGCGAGGAACGGCAAGCTGAATATTCTAGACCGCAACGCAGCAGGAATACAGCTCTGTACCAGTCGACTTTGGAAGACAAGTACGACTGGTATCCGGATCGTGAAGGAGACCAAAGAGACGAGCAAGTACGATCTCAAGTGGATGGAGCCTATGCAACAGGGCATACCTCTCGACACTTTCTGTGAAAGAATCAAAGCTGAGAACGGCCGAGGTGGTTTGATGGTCGGAAACTATCTTGAATCTACTATGAGCACCCTCCGCGGCGGATGGATCAAAAGCGGTATTGTGGAGTGGTACAATACAATTAGTGACGCTACCTTGGAGCGTCTTAGACAGACAGAAGAGCAGGCATGATAGTTATGCCGTTTCAGTATGCCAGCTTGGAACAAGACAGCAGATTTTGTACGGGTTTGCGATGGTAGTGTAGTGGATATATAGATTGCAAGCTACTACAGTCCCAATATGTATGTTTTGTTAATGTCAATCAGAGTTAATTCTCCTTCTAAGTATATACATGAACCTCTTTTCAGCCTTTCTCAAGTACCACGGTGCGTATCAAATATTTCCGACCGGACTTAAGCGCCCTTGACCAGGCGAGCAAGCCTGGACCTAGTCTCCCAGCCCCAAGCGCCAACACTGCGCTTAGCCATGGCAGCAACACTCTCAGCGTAGTTGCTGGTGCCGTGGCTAGGGTCGGCATCAGCAGACTTGCAAGTAGAGCCAGCCTTGTAGCTTCCAAGAGGACCGTTGACGGGAGCAAAGTGCTGCTTCTCGCTGGTCGTGCCGACCATGTTCTCAGCAGCCTCAGGAACCCAACCGTTGATGAAGTCACCGTGCGAGCACCACGCAGGTCCGCATGCCAGCTTGAAAGGCGCAGTTCCAGACCAGCCATTAGGCAGGGCCTTGCGGAGATCGTAGCGAATAGAGAAGCGGAGTTGGGGCATGGACTTCATGCCAGCAGGGCACCAGTTGGGTGTGCCGTTCTCACGGCTCTTGTAACCGGTCTCGAGAGTCTGCTCGTTGACGCACTGGGGGAAGTAGAGGAGTTGCTGAACGTGGGTGCCGCAGGTCTTGGAAGGGAAACCGTTGGCGTCGAGGGCAACGCTCTCGCTTTCGCAGGCCCACTCGGCCTTTGCGTTGACGTCCATGGCGTCCTTGGTCATGGCGCCGGCCTTGCCAGCAACCATCATCAAGTCTTGTGGGATTGCGACCTCGGCAGGGGTCTCGCCCAAGTTGTAGTATGCGCTAAAGCGGAAAACTGGGACGGGCTCGTAGTTCTTGCCATCCTTGGTGTAGAGGAAAGTAGGAACCCAGTAGGTAGACAGGTCGTTGGGGTTCTCGGCGCTAGTGCAACCCTTTTGGAGTTCAGCACTGGTCTTTGTGCTGGCGACGACGGCATCGGAGCCGTAGAAAGAGTGGAGATGCGACTTGTCGAACTCGCCAGGGAAGACAATAGGATCAATGTTCTTCTCCATGAAAGGAGGAGGGATCTGGATGACGGTGTACGCGTTTGCGAACTGAGCGACAAGGGCCGCAGCGAAAAGAGTGTAAAGAGACATCCTGTGCCTTGGTAACGAATGTAATGAACGATAGACGAGATTGAAAAGAAGGATAGTAAGTAAAGTTGGTAAGAGAATGAAGCGCGATGAGGAAAATACACGAGGCGGCAATCGTTGTACTTATGCCTGAGGTTCGCAGGGCGGGTGGCTTCATGCTTACCGTGCCACAATCCAGGGCACCCTTCCCTCAGCGCTATCGAACCTCCACCAAAGTTTCACACCTCCTGGTGTTTTCGCCCAAGCGAGACATGTTCGCCGTTAGGCCTAGAGCTATAGTGGGCTCTAGGGGGTGTAGCATGAACGACAGCTGATGTTGCCGAGGCGCTAGTGGTGATCTGACGTTGCTCATTGGTGGAGTGTGGATGCCAAAACACTAGTGCCCGCTGTCCCGTGTTTAACAGTTTCGAAACTGCGAAACAATCTGCCTTTGCACTTGCTTTTCATCTCCTCCGAACGGTTATCGGCTGTACGAATACGAAAACACGATGTGGCGCACTGAGTCGGCGCAGTACGGTGTGGCGGAAGAGACGGGATTTACTGCCAACTCGGCTGGACAGCAAGCTAGTGCGATTGCAGCGATGCGTGCGAGCATTCACGATGTCAAAAAATCTAACAATGAGTCATCAGATGTGTATGCGAGATTGATGAGTTGGGTGCTGGTGTTGCGACAAGATTAGGGATGTGGCGCGAGTAAATGTTCTATGCGGCTCTGAGCCGTCCGACGATGCGTTCAGGCTGGGCAGCTGACACCCCGCACCTACATCTCGCAACCAGGCATCACCTTACAATGACATTACAACCACACCTACTGTCATCTATCACTGGTTAGCAGCTGCATAACTCTCGTGCTTTGTATTCATCATCTCGACCGGGGTATCTACTATATGCACGACTTATCTTTCTCGTATTCGGCTGACACGTATACGCCGTCGATCACTGTCACTGTGCTTAGCTTGCTTCGCTGAAAACCTATACGCGTATGGAGGAGAAAACGAAATACTTTATGAAGTATACTCGTATGCGCTCTCAAGTGGCAACAATCATGGCTATCACCATACTACCCTTGAGTCGTTCACCAAAGCATCAGCAGACGGTTGCTATATCTGTGCTCCTCTCATGAAACATGCAAAGAAAGAGATAGGCGATGTCGAAAATTGTTTCGACCTCGGCTACAAATACTCATATTTCTGCAACTATTTCAGTGCTCGGCTTATCCCTGGATCTTTCAATTTGGATATAAGCTGCAACCTAAAGGGCAGGCTAATATACCGTCGGAACTTCATTCTCGTGCCGCAGGCGATGTTGCCATTAACATCAAATATCTACGGGAGAAGGTCCACCATCGCTGTGAACGAGTGTCTTCCAGCTGCGCAGGGATGGATAAGATCCTGCCTAGACAAACATGAACAATGCCCGGAGCCTACTCAACCACATACGTATCCTACACGACTTCTTGCGCTTGGAGCCCACAACTGCAGCTTGGTTCTTTCACAGGACCATGAATCTCTAGGCCCATACGCTGCTTTGAGCTACTGTTGGGGGCCAAATCCCAGTTTTCTTCACCTGACAGCGGACAATGTACATGAATTTCGGGGCGGAGTACCTTACTCGAGTCTTCCTATCGCTTTTCAAGAGGCAATACTTGTCATTAAAGAGCTTGGAATTCGGTACCTCTGGATTGACGCCCTTTGTATCATACAGTCTGGACCTGGTAGTAGTGAGGACTGGTAATCAGAGTGTGGGCGGATGCATAGCGTTTATGCGAATTGCATCGTCAATCTCTCCTTAGCACAAGTTGCTCATCCAGGCCAAAGCTGCTTTGGAGGTTATACTTTCGATTCTACACCCCCATTCGAAGCCGAGGCCGTCGGTAGAGCGCATGGTCGTGGCTCTAGGGAGATCCACAACTACACTGTATTGTCGATAGATTACTTCCAAGAAGCACTATACAGACAGCCCGTTGGTAGACGCGCATGGGTCATGCAAGAACGCTTGCTGGCTACCCGTGTCCTGAGCATAGCTCATGGCGAGCTCTTCTGGGACTGTTATCAGGTTCCGCACGCGAGTGAATCTCTCCCAAATGGCTTCACACTCTGCTCTGAGCTCCAGAGGGGATTCTTCAAGAGGGTTCTTCATCTCTCGATACCATCCCTTCCACATGCTTGGAGCATCGAGGAGTTAGAGGAGATCTGGTCTGGTATTCTGGAGGAATACACGGCGCGTGAGCTCACATACCCCCAGGCTGATAAGCTGGTGGCGCTCTCAGCTATCTCAATAGATGTAGGCTATTTCTTGAATGACACGTACCTTTGCGGTCATCTCCGCAGAACGGTACCACGTAGCCTGAACTGGAAAACAATCGGTCATTTTTACAGGCAGAGCTTGCTTAACAAGCATGCGCCAAAACGACTGCCTAAGTCTTCAGGACAAATGATCGACGGGGACTGGCACATCACTCCAAGCTGGAGTTGGGCATCCATGGATGGTCCAATATCCACGTTGGGAACTCTTGCAAGGAGTATAACGTTCTTCGCAGTCATGGAAGCATATAAGCTCTTCCCAGTCGGCCGTACAGAGCCTGAAGCAAAATCAGGAAATAAGCTCTTATTGACCATTCGAACCTTGTGTCATATCATCGAATGGAGGAACGGTGGGCCAGAATACAATGATGTATACGCTAAGATCTTCAAGATGGACGATATGGATGATCTACTAGCAGATGGAAGTCAGTATCTACTCGCGGGGCTCGGCCACCACAACAATCTTGACGTGGTTCAAGGTCTGATACTGAGAGAAATTGACTTCGATGGCAACAAGGTATACGAAAGAATGGGTCATTTTAGCTGCTTCTTGAGAGAAACAGACGCAAACAGAAACGGAGGTTGGAAGACACACTTTACTCATGGGGAGCGTTCGATAACCCTTTGTTGAAATTGTCTCAGCTGCTCCTGCCATCTCGGGGTACTTTGTCTTGAATCAAAGTTTACAATCGCGGATATTGGTCTATTCTCCATTGTTCGGAAGTCCGCAACCGAGGGAGGATGGGCAAACAACCATATTTAGATAACCCAGTAGGAGTATCTAATGGTGAGTAACTCCTCACGAGGCTTTTGGACGTACGATCACGACATGGCCTCGGAACGGATGTCGCTTTGGTAGCGACCAGATGATCCTCCAATCTCTACCAGTACCTGAACTTCGCAGACAACTATTGTATTTCTTCAACAATCTCTACTTATCCGCCGCATCCAAAGGCTTATTCTGGCCATAGTTCAGCGTCTTCTCCCTCTTCTTCGCATCCGACTCCTTGGGGTCATGCTTCATGTTATCCTGGCTCTCCGTAGTCTCCTCCGTCGCACCTGCTCGATCGTGCTCTGGGTGGCTAACTGGGTTCTGTATCGACGCATGATCACCATCGTTCTTGTCTGTTCGGCCGACTGAGGCGCTCTTGTTGATGTCCTGGCTCTCGGCGCTGCTTGCTTGAGGGTTGGAGACGTTGGATGCTTGGCCTGGCGCTGCGCTGCTGGCGTATGTGCGGGTAAGGACGGGTGCGAGGACTGAGATGAAACATGTCAGTTGTTTTCTTGTTAACCAGGGCGACAATGGCTACCTTCGCTTCGCTGTTGCAATGAGCGGGCTGCGGTTGGCGCTGAACGCGAAAAGCTTTGGAGGAAACGTGATGCCATTTTGATTAAAGTGTGTTATCGGCTGTTCTTAGAAATCTCGCAAGTAAAATGGTTTGAATGTAGGAAGTTTGAGCGAAACTGCGAAGCATATTTGTTCATTTCTGTTGTTGACATGCCTCTGATGTTGCCGAAACGTCATTATGAAACCCCAGGGTCGATCAATGGAGAATCGGCATTCTCATACTACGCGATCAACCCTTCGCTATCCATGACGGTGACAAATATTAGCGAGGATTGTTGCGAGCTATGTTCTCGCCAGCTGTTTTGTATGTTTGCGCGTGCGGTCAAGCCTCAACGATGGCGATGATGACGTACACTAGACGTTGGATGATTGCAGCAGCAATTTGGAACCCAAGTTTTCATACAATCCGACGTATTTATGTATCAAAGGTGAAAAGTGTTTAACCTCGTTCTGTGCCGCCACTACGTCTCAGTTTCGCGTTGTCAGTAGTCTTACGGATAGAAGACGTCATCCCGCTGTCGCATGGTCCCCACCATCCCGCGGAAGTTTGCCGACGAACATTGTCGTTTACCACCCATCTAATCGCGCCGCGCTGGAAGCATTGAGCGACAGAAGTAGCCATAGCTTTTGTTTAATGATTATACTTATCCTACAGATTCTCCAACACGATATTCTCTTTGTCTATGTCCGTCTGGCTTGCAGCCATCCATCGTGACTTGTCAAACGTGATTCAACGTCGAAACAAGGATAAGCCAAGATGAACATCCTCGTCAGCAGAGCAATCGTGAGATTAGTAGATCGCTGTGCGAACAAAGGCGCTAAGTTCACCGGGCCTACGTTACGCGTAGATTCTTACCTGTCAGAAGCTTATGCATGAAGCGGCGGGCCGCGCACGGTCATATTGGTCAATAGGATTGATTGTAAGAATACTGAGCAGTACGGGTACCAGCTCTATCAAATTCATTATACAAGAATAATAGCTTTACCATCTCCCCCACATCTACAAATAGTCCGCGTCAACCCAGTTCTCCTTCTCAAAGCCCTTGCCAAACAGATCCGAAGCCTTGATCGGCGCAACAGCCTGCGACGAAAAGTTCGCCCTCGCCTCAATATTAGCACCAGGTCCGTAGTTCTTGTACTCCTGATAAACCACATTATCCGTGCTCTGCGTGTTATCCCATCGAGACCACCCCTCAGGCTTCACAACGTCGCTGAGGTAGCTGTTCTGGAAAATGACTCTGGAGTACGGTCTCCATGGGCGGCCCAGCACAGTCGTGTTGGTGCCATTGGTGCCGGAGACGTTGACCTCGTTGAATACGTAGATGCTAGTGTTGTTCTCGGCGTCGCGGCCGTTGGCGGTGATGTAGCCGGGGCCGATGGCCTGGATGTCGATCTTGTCGAACCAGGCGATGGCTCGCTGACCAAAGATGAAGTCGACGGCTCCGTTGACGAAGGATTTTGCGTAGATTTGACGACCGTTGTTGGCGAGAATGGTGTCCTGGTAGCCGGTGAACTGGCAGCCGTAGAAACCCTGGTTTGTCTTCTGTGCGCTGATTGCAAGCGCTTGTCCGTTCTGACGGAATTGGCCAGCCGTGTTGGCGATGTTCAGGTTGTAGAGTCGGACATTCGGTGAGTTCAAGCGGAGAGTAGCTGTTGCGTCGTTGTTGAGAATCTCAGGCATCTGACGAGAGAAGTTGTTTGTAAGAGTGACTTCATTGTCCTTGTAGCCACGGGCGTTCTTGGTGTAGCCTTGGATGGTGATAGGTCCGACATGAGGAGGGACGTAGACTTGTTCATTGTAGACGCCGGGTAGGATGAAGATCTTTTGCGCATCAGTCAAGTTGTGCAGAGCGTCCACAGCGACACTGATGTTGGGGTAGCTGCCGATGGTAGCGCCAGTTGCATCGACCACTAGCGCGCCTCGATCGGGCTTTGTCCTGGAGTATTTGTCGGCAAACGCTCCGGAGAAAACGGTTGCAACTGCAAGGATATATTTAAGTTGAAATGCCATGATGAACGACGGGTAATGAATGACTTGAGATCTGGTTACCTGGTAATCGGGACGGCCAGGTACTTATACCAAGCCTTAGAGACGAAGAGGTGCACCCCTTTACTGGATTACTAGAATCTATAATTGTTCCGTCGCACTTACACATTCCGGGCCGACTATCGTGTAAGCTTGTAGAATACCATATTCCCGTGGACATCGTGACTTTGCGGGGAAGTGTGGAGGCAAACACCGATGGCGCTGTATCATTTGATTGGTGGCACAAATCGTTCCGTCTACGACTTTACCCCAGACTGCCTAAAATGCCGTACGTGAATCTGGGGTAGGAAGACTACATTGATTCGTATTTTGGTGTTTTGCGAAGCGGATGAGCGGAGTGATGGGGAAATTTCGGTTTGTTTGGGGAAGAAGGTACATAAGGCCGATATTGATTAGTTGCCGCGCGGCGGTCCGGCAACGTCATCTTGGCTCTATCATCAAAGACATCGTGGCGTTCTTGTACCTTAAGATTGAAGCGTCGGGAATCTCAGCGCTTCCGTCCGACTGTGGCCGGAACCCGAGCGCGAGATGCGTCGCGAGAGGCGAGTATCAACGAACACATTGTACAGTGAACGCGACGACCACCGAAGTGCTGCCGTGGCTTCCCAAACATCCGAGATACAGCGAAGTGATATCCTTGGGTGATCTCACGACTGGAAGGCCTTCAGAGCACCTGTGCTCAGAGCAACCCAAAAGAGTCGGTCGTTCATTGTGACAATGTCCCATCAGCGCGCTCATGTATCGCTAGCCATGTTATCGCATTCACCGTCACTCCAGAACACCGTTTGCACGATGTCGCAATTTTTAGATGACGAACCCACGCGACGCGAATAGACCATAACGACAGAAACTCTTTCGTCTCTTGCTCCCGTCGCATATTACACCATCATCGCACCGCCGCTCTCGCACTTCATGCGCTACCAACTTAAACTTACCACACTGTATCTCGCTTTGTTCCATCCTTTTCAGAAACAGGATGATGCCAAGTAACTCAAGACATCTCCTCCCCATGAATTCAGTTCTTTTCCACAACAAGTCCTCCTCGCACTTCTCGCTCTCTGATCCGGCAGACCTGACGCTCGTGAACCTTCAAGATGCGCAAGACACCACAGTCACCGCACTACCGCAGCCGCCTACCAATACCGCCATCGCTGCCAAGCCAGCGAAAGACAGTCTTTGGACGAGATTTCTGGTAAAGTTGAGAATTCTGCTTTGTTTCAAGCACGGAAAGGACGAACAGGAGGACAAGAAAGAGGAAGAGGAGGAGATGTGCATTGGCGGGCCGACAGGATTCAAGCACGTCAGGACAGCAGGGCCTCGACCGATGATAGGGACCGTACCGGTCGTTGTTGAAGAGGAAGAGAGCGAGTGGGAGGATATGAGAGAAAGTGAGGCTGGAAGAGATTCAATGTGGTCCAAGAGATAAGACACGCTTGCCACAGTAGCAGTCGCAAGGACCACGACAGAGACCGATGCGAACAACGCTGAATCGATTTGGGTATTGAGGAATACAAACAAAAGTTATTAAGCCAAGACAGCTGAAGTTGAAATAAAATTCGACAGACAACGACCACAGCCCTAACCCAACATCTCACTTCCCACCACTCTCAACGCTAACATTCCAGTTATTAGGCGCCCGCCACCACCTCCCCAGCAGACTATTCTCGCTCTTCCCACTGCTTCCTGTAATCATCCGACTTCCCACCTCAGGCCTCTCAACCTTGACATCCTGCGTCTTGACAATCTGCAGCTTGACATCGTCGCCGCTGTTGGCAGTTCCAGCCTCGGGATCAAGCGTAGCGCGGTCGGAGGAGCTCCCCGTCCTATACGATTTGCCACTGCGCTTCCCAGAGCTTCCTTCGTCGGAGATGATGCGTTCGAACTTGGATTGCAGGGAGGGGTAGTAGCGGATGAGGACGGCTTTGATGGAGGGCGCGCATGCGACGATGACGGCGAGGTGGTTTTCGATGACGGCGCAGATCATGGATGCGGCGTAGCGGAATGGGAAGTCACCGTGTGTGGCGAGCTGGTCGACAAAGAAAATGCGTGCTGCAGATGCGCCTAGCACGAGACCGCCCATAGCGAAGAGGATGTTAACGGCGATGCGGTGGTGTCGTCTCAGCTTGATGTTCCAGGTGAAGATGACGGGCATGATGTACAGGACCAGGTCGCAAACTAACATGAAAACGCTGTTGAAGTAGGAGAAGTTGAAGAGGTTGATGCAGTAGCCCTCGATGGTCGGGTCCCACCACTTTGCTACAGGGATGCACATGAAGATGCTGGTAACGACGCAAGTGAGACCGAAAGAGAAGGCAATGACATGCATGGCGTAGATCCATCGACGGGCCCATGGTTCAAAGGTGAGCTCTGCGTAGAAGAACAGTAGCGAGTGCTTGACGGCCCAGTTTACAAGGAAGTAAAAGATAAGGGCTGTCATGACCAACTAGTGAGTGTGTGGTTAGTAGGTATATTGTGGTGAATGCTAAGCAGAGGGTAACGAACCTTCATCAGCATCTCCATGTTATTTGGGTCGATCTCTTTTTCATGCAGACCAGCTCCGAGGCGCGTCGAGTACATTTGGACGATGGACAGGACGATGGCACAAGAGGCCGCAAAGGTAGCAAGTGCTTCGAGTTGGTCAGTATGCTGAAACGGTGGCTGAACAAGACAGATTTGGATTGAGCTTACCATCATGCCAGCCAAAACTGCTCAGTATCCGCAGTTTCCTTCCGATGCGACAGCTGATAGCAAGGGAAGTCAACACGATCAGAGTCAAGTTGACACTGATAGTGGTGGCACGTAGGTCGTCGGACATGATCAAAAGATTGAATGCAGAACAAGATCGAGATCCGATGTCCAGTGATGGAGAAGGATTGTGTGCCTTGCATGCCCCTACATATAGGATGTTAATCTATAAGACGTGGCTTGTAGTTTGTTTGTCCGAGTATGCGCGGCACCAAAAATGATGAACGGTCTACGGGGTCTAACGTTAGCTGCCCCGCGTTGGCCGCGTAGAAACCCATGCCATTACAGTGATTCTGCAATACTCTTTTCGTCTACTTGCAGTAAAGACTGTCAAGGGACTGTCGCGGCAGTCGGCTTAGCGCCCAGTGCGTGTGGCACCTGTTAGACTAGAAAGAAACAACAGATGTGATGAAGAAACATGATTGGGTAGATAGTGCCTCCTTAGACTAAGCGAGCTGTAGTTATCAAGGCCGAGTATATGGGTTTGCTTTGTGATATTTGTTTTCGAGGTTAGGGTTCACGCTAGACGCAGCGGGGTCTTGTCGACATTGAAAAAGAAAGACGACGTCGGTATACACGTTTCTTCCACGCGAGTGGTAAGCGAGACTACCAGATTAGCGAAGGGTCTCGTAGGCTGAAGAACTGACCCCGCTTTGCCCTTGACTCAACAACATCGCATTCAGATACTGATGCTTTCGTTTTGTGATGCTGCTTTTTCTGTCAAGACCCTGTTGGCGACTTGGTTTTGCTGGAATACGAGGGGAAGTCCGCTGTAAACAGATATGTATGTCAGTGGCGTAGGAGTCTACGATTTCATTATCGCCAATGTCATGGGCTCCGCGGTGTTTGTTGTCTTGAAATCGCGCGTATCACATCAACTCTGTCCGAGCTGAAAGAGCCACCTGGAGATGTCGCCACCTCAACGCACATTGTGTTTGCTGTCGATCAGCGACGGTGCGAGATACTCCGAAGAGCAATGGCGACAACAATAGACAAAAGTAACATTTCAATGTAAAAGGGCCGATGAGCAGGTGGAGGTTGAGAAGGCAGGTGGGTAGACAGACGGCAAGAGGCGGGAAATTATGAACAGCCACATCGTCATAAAAAGGCGTAGGCCCCGCCCAGTTCTCGCAACTCGAAACATGGGCATCATGTTATCGTCGAGGAATCTGAGGATCGCATGCGCTCGATGCGCGACTGCTCTTCGGGTGGGTACGTTGGCGATGCATCATGTGATGAGCTCGATGAGCCTGAGGCGCAAAGCCCTCTAAGCCCGACTCTCGACCTCGGGGCTGACTAACACTATCCGACGCTAACCTCATCTGATTCTCAGTAATTCCGTGCTTCTCATTCGTCGCCGGAGATGGCTCGGCATCGATTTGCAGCTCGTATGCGCATAGTGTCGCCGCGTCTTGTGTATATTGCAGAGACTGTGAGAATTGGGCTTTTCAATTCTATCCTTCCACTCCGATCCTTTTGTCTTACACTCCGTGTCGCTGTTTACTCCGCTCTTCCCATACTCATAGTGCGCTGGCCATAGTCGGAGTGAAACTTTGACGCCTCGGCTGTCCGCATTTACTACGAACGCCACCTTTGCTCGATAGAGACCAAACCAACGTCAGCGACATCTCACTTTCTTCGCACAAACGAGGACTCAAATTCCTAGACACGTCGAGCTCACCCACGAATTAACACGACCTCACTCCCGAAATGTCGTTCTCCTCGCTCGTCTCAGACATTGCCTACCGGAACTCGGAACGGCCAGAGCGACCGGACCTGCGCTCTCAGATATCGGAAGCACGCTCGACCCGATCCTATGCCAGCACTGCCGCCACCAGCGTGAGCATATCGGGGGACATCAAGAGTCAATTGCACGGAGGATACAGCCATCCACTATCGCGGGCATGGCAGGCCGAGCGACAGCTCACAAAGGTGCGTGGGAAATGACGTCGTGTGCCTGGTCACAGACACTAACATTTGGCACACAGTCTATGCTCATCTACCCCCTCTTCGTGTCCGACCAGCCTGACGAAGAGACGCTCATTCCCTCGCTGCCAAACATCCACCGCCGCGGCCTGAACAAAGTCGTGCCATACCTCACCCCGCTCGTCGCAAAAGGCCTCAAATCGGTCATTCTCTTTGGAGTTCCGCTCGCACCCACGGCAAAAGATGCCCTAGGCTCCAACGCAGACGACCCCAAGGGCCCCGTCATCAAGGCCATCCGCCTGCTTCGACGAGCATTCCCCGATCTTTTCATTGTCGCCGACGTCTGCCTCTGCGAATACACTTCACACGGCCACTGCGGCATCCTTCGCGACGATGGCAGTCTGAACAACGCTTTGTCGGTAGAGCGCATCGCTGATGTAGCGCTCTCGTACGCCAATGCCGGCGCGCATTGCGTTGCACCTTCAGACATGAACGACGGTCGCATACGCGCTATCAAGCTGAGGCTCATCGAGGCTGGCATTGCACACCAGGTCGTGCTCATGTCCTACGCGGCCAAGTTCTCAGGCTGTCTGTATGGTCCTTTCCGCGACGCTGCGGGCTCAGTGCCCTCGTTTGGCGACCGGAGATGCTACCAGCTGCCACCCGGCGGTCGCGGTCTGGCACGACGAGCTATCACCAGAGACATAGGCGAGGGCGCAGACATCATCATGGTCAAGCCTGCGAGTCAGTATCTGGACATCATCAGCGACGCCAAGGAGATTGGCAAGGACATGCCCATCGCTGCGTACCAGGTGTCGGGCGAATATGCCATGATCCATGCTGCAGCTGCAGCTGGTGTGTTTGACTTGAGGCAGATGGCGGAAGAGGCTACACAGGGTATTCTGAGAGCGGGTGCAAGTATTATTGTGAGCTACTTCACGCCCGAGTTCCTCGACTGGTTAGGCAACTAGGGTGTGACGATTGTTACGGTACAAGAAAGAAAGGGCGTAGGGGCGTTTGATATCCAAAGGGCATGGACATGTCTGAAATGCAAATTTCACCACCACTTCTGCTTGAATTCTACTAATCGTGTCGTTTCGCAAGTTGAGAACGGAGCATGTAGCTTCCATTCTCGCTCGTAACATTGTATAGTGCCAAGATCGTGTAGGGGAATAAGCTAGCTGGAGTGCTGACGGCGGGATTCTGGTGCGCCACAGCCTTCGCCACGTCATCTAGGCATGGACGAACAGCATTTGCAGTGCTGCGGCTTCGCTGCCTCGCTAAACCACTATGCGCCAACGGTCTTCGATTCGCCGGCCAGTCCGCAATTCACTGCCGGCGTCACCGAGTTCACCTCCAATATTGGAGCTGTATTCGCAGCAGTACGTATCGCAGCCACTTTGCTGCATCGCGACCACTTGCCTGCGCCCTTTGAGCGAAAACTATGCGCAAAAGAATATAGACTATCTCCCTAGACTGCGCGCTGGTCCGCCTTGCTCGCAGCCGCACTGCTGGCGCGCTCGCTAACACCCTCATTCGACGCTCCTCCACTACAGCACTATAGTTTCATGCGAGTCTCCACCTTACTGGATGCACCATGCAGGTGACCACTTCGACTCATCCTTCCTAACAGAGTCTCCGAGAGGCTGATACCATGTAGGATGGTAGCTGATTGCCTTCTGCGCTTGCGCACATTGGATCGATTGCGACAATCATGCACAGCCACTTCTTAGCCTAGGCTGCCGTCCCACCGCCCTTTTCCTCAACACCACCTTATGACGAGGGTTGGTATTAGGTAAATCAACATATACCAGGCATTTTGGTAGGGGTGCCTTATTATCCTACATTGAAGATAAATAAGCATATTTCGCGTCTTGTGGCTGAACTATTATCACTTCACACCAAGTCAAGTCACCTGCCGGAGTTTCACGTTTGGTCGAGACACCGTCTTACGGCAACGGACGCTCCATATACTATTTGTCTCCTACTTGTATATCGTTGTGCCTCGATTCGGGAGACGGCTCCGATTCGGTATTAATCATGGAGAACCTAAAGGACTCGCTACCTCCAGGCATGGCAGATGCGGCTATCAACATTCCAGGCGTTGGCGCTATACTGCAGCTTCTCCTTAACAAACTCGGTTTCGATGTCGGAAGCACAATGTCTTTATACCTTTTACTTTTCGGTCTATTCCAAGGTGCGCTGTTCATGTACACTCAGGGACGTGGACTTATATTGTAAGTTGCCCACTCGTTCGATTCCCCAAACAATCACCAACTAATTCTCCATATAGAGGGCACGGTACTTCGGCAATAAGGATAGACGATGATGATGACTTATACCCCCAATTTATATCCTGGATATCAGAACACCGCATGACAGAGGTCAGCCGAGATCTAAAAGCTACATCCAAAAAGCCCAGAGCACGAGGCGACGAAATAGACAACGACGATGCCTCAGAGGCAGATTTTGAGGACGTCTTGGACGACTCTGGCATTTTCAACTACGAAAAGTACAAGGGTACTAGTCCGACGTACTACGAACCCAACATGGGTGACGACAGCTTCACCCACAACGGTCATTACTTCCAGTTCAGCAAGGACTGTCAGGAGAATAAGTACCAAGAGCGCATTGAGTACTTCCTCATCATTCGTTGTATGGGCCGTAGCACGAAGCCGGTCAAGGATCTGATAGACCATGTTAAGGAGTGGTCGGCGCACAAGCCTAACAAGACGACTGAGATCATGCGCGCTGAGATAAAACATGGTGGGTATTGGCACGTTCAGTCGAATCGCCCTTCACGACCGATTAGCACAGTGACGCTGGACGAAGCGCAGAAGAACAAGGTCGTTGCGGATATCAATGAGTACCTTCACCCAGCTACTGCTCGGTGGTATGCTGCACGCGGTATTCCGCACCGGAGAGGATACCTTTTTCATGGTCCTCCTGGTACCGGCAAGACGTCGTTGAGCTTTGCCGTGGCTGGCATCTTTGGACTGAGCGTATATTGCGCTTCGCTAAGTGAGCGAGATATGAGCGAGTCGGATCTTGCGTCGCTATTTGGGCAGCTACCAAATCGTTGCATCGTCTTGTTGGAGGATATTGACAGCGCGGGTATTCGGCGAGATAAATCCTCTGTGATTCCAGAACAAGAGCATGACTCTGCCGTCAACGAGGCCGACAAGTCGTCTGCTCCAGCACCAGCCGAGAAGGTGACAGAAGAGAAGGAAGACAACAACGACAACAAAGACGAAAGCAAATCCGAAGAGAAGCAACATGATGGCGTTGACATTGAGAAGAAAAAGTCCATCCGCAGACGCATAACGCACTCGCTCCGTCCCCGCAAATCTTCCAGCAAACCCAACAGCGAAACCACTACCCTTGCCACCACACCCTCGTCACCAACCTCCGCACCCCCATCCGTACTCACACCCGCACCCAGCATAAAAGAAGTCGCCACCAGCACCAAACCAACTCGTACATCAACCCCTCCTCCTCTTCCGCCACCCATCGATGAAGAAGGCAGCAAGAGCAAAATCTCACTAGCAGGCCTCCTCAACATCATTGACGGCGCCGCATCGAGCGAAGGCCGCGTCCTCATCATGACGACAAATTACCCCGAGAAACTCGATTCAGCACTCATACGCCCTGGGCGCGTAGATCTGCAAATCAAATTCACACTAGCGACGAGGACGCAAGTCGAGGAAATCTTCAGACGCATGTATAGTGATGAGGCGGATGGTAAGAAGTGTGATGGTAGTAGTGACGGAGGAGAAAAGAATTATGCACCAGAAAAGAAGGGTAGTAGTAGTAATGATAAGAGGAAGAAGGAGGCTAGGTGGGGGGCAGCCACGGGTAACAAGTCGCCAAACTTTGCGACGTTGCCGCCAGATCAACTTACGGACATGGCGAGGCAGTTTGCTGATGCGCTGCCTGAGGCTATCTTTTCGCCGGCTGAGATTCAGGGGTATTTGTTGCAGAAGAAGAGTGATCCGCAGGGTGCGTTGGATGGGGTGGGGGAGTGGAGGGATGCGGTGCTGGAGGCGAAGAAGAAGGGAAAGAAGGTTATTGAGTTGAATTGAGTGGGTATGTTGTATGATGTTGACCAGTGCATCAAGGATTGCTGTTACGGCGTTATCGTTTCCATGCATGTGCAAATAAGGTCGGCGGCAGGTCTAGTTCGACAGAAGGTTGACCACAAGATGTGGTCAAAAACACGCAACTGCTTTTATACGGCTGAGCAGATGGGGAGCGTAAGGCTCGGGTAGATCGCCGAGCAACAATCTAGTGCTCATACCACTGTAGTGCGCGAAGAAGGATTCTGCTCACAAAGAAATCGCTCATCGCACCTGGCGTAGTGTTGTAGAGTATTAACAGAGTGTCTGTGTAATCTTAACAAGCAAACGTAGTGATGACCCCTGATAAAAGGTTAACATGATGATCTCTCGGTTAGCCCCCTGCGCCGTAGGGTAAGCTGGATCTGGCTGCGCATCCACGTCATCACCAATGACCCCGCTAGTGAAGGCTTCTAGAATGCCTCGTTGGATCTGTTTCTTGAATCACGATGCTAGATGTATTGGGTACTTGCATATTTCCGAATCATTCCAGACCTCGCGTTTGTGATGTCGCAGCACTTAGCTGTGTCAGCCTTCTCACAGCCCGAGCGCAGCCTTGTTGCGCGATAGAGATCTGCAGCTAGCTTTTAGCTTTTAACCTATCTACTAACTACTATAAAGCGCATAAGCAGCAGCAGGCTAAAATAAGTCTCTAGATACTAGAAAGCACAAAGTCTATAGACTAGAAGAAAAGAGCAGCGTCGCAACTATAGCTGTACAAGATTCTAGGATGTAGAAAGACTATCCTAAGCTCTACTGTTGTTAAGAATTTGCTGTAATATTGCTATAATAACACTAACATAGTAACAGCGCACTTCTACTTTAACTTTAACAACACATAAAAACAAGATCTAGAGCTTATGCTCTGCTTATTACTCTAGCAGCTCGTGTAGCGTTTAGTTATAATACCTAAAAGCGTTAATGCGTTGTTTTTATCTTGCGAGAATAGGCTGTATGCTAGCTAGACACGTTAGTAAAGTGTCGCAACCTAGTGATGCTGCGCAATTCACTCGCTACTTTACCGCAAACGCTAGACTAGACATACGACCGCATCCTTACCGCCATAAGTAATGAGGACTGCGCGTACGCGATGCGCATCCTACAGTGGCTAACGTTCTCTTTCACACCTGCTGATCATGACCACACGCTAGACAAGACCATCACAACAGGATTTTTAGTAGCAAACTCGGGTCCATACACTACCATCCCACAAGATCCGTGTTGCACCCCTGGAGCTTCTTCCTGCGGTTCTGCAGCCGCTGTTGCCGAGCCCCATATTCCAGTGGCCCTGGGTGCAGATACGGGAGGCAACACTGATTTTGAATGTGCTCGCTTTTACCGGGGAGTATGGAATGCGTGTTGGGATGTCTCCCGTCGTGGGGAGATATTGAGGTCACCACCTGCTGACAATCGGCAATGTGATCAGTGCGGTTCTCGTGCCTGACTCTGCAACGGAGGGGAGGTTGCGAGCGAGTGATAATCAGAAGTGTCTCTATTGAGGTGTGCTCCAGATGGAAGGATGGATGCTACAGGATAGTTGCCAAGCTACACAGATATCATAATGCTACGAAAAGGGAAGATCTGGGCAGTAAGAACATTTCACCGAACGGTCATCTCGTCACCGTGCGCGTCGAAAATGCACGATTCACTCATCACCCTATCCCACGAACCTGTTGGAGACTATAACAACATAGAGAGAAGATGTTTCCAGTGGTACATGAATAAAATATGCCAGTGGTACATAGGAGAGAGATAGCTCCAGACGCATGTACATACATAGGAAAACGCTTAAGAGTCTAGTGCCTTGACGCTGTCAAGTCTGCATGCACTACGCTTCATACCTCCATGCATCGACCAGCCACTCAACCCAAACGCCTAACTCCTAATGCCATATTTCCCCTATGCCCTATTCCCCCAACGCCTTAACCATCTCCTCCCTCCACCTCCCCGAACGCCTGTTCATAACCACCAGCACCAACCCACCCGTCGACAAAGCCCACAACCCCAATATCGTAAACAACCAGCCATTCCCAATGGCATCAATCGCCGGATCCGCCGCAATCGTAGCCCCAAACACACACAAATTCCTACAGAAGTTATTAATAGCCATCCCCGCCGAGCCTTTACTCGGCATAAACTCGGTCAACATGGTGGTGCTGACAGACGTAATGAGCATGGATCCGATGCCGAAGAAGAAGTTGGCGACCATAGGCACTATCCATATGACGCCTTTCTCGGTGGTCCAGCCGTACCAGATGAGAGCCGCGGGCCAGAGAAAGGCTGCTATCCACGCGTTTTCACGCATCCGGTCTTCGGGGCGGAAGATTAGTTTGCCCTTGTCGTCGTAGCGGCCGGCTTTTCGCGCTTCTCGGTGCATGATGCGGTCAATCCAGACTCCACCCAAGAGAGATGCGAGCATATATCCGACGGAGCTGGGGATATAAAGGAGGCCGACGACAAGGGTGGAATAATTGTAGGGAGCGGATGAGAATGTCTTTTGGATGGAGATGTTGAGAAAGTAGAGGAAGGCGAAAGTGATGGAGGCGTAGTACACTGTGAGGGCGACAGGAAGGAAACGGAGGTAGAGTAGAATGGAGAAGGGATCGACGAAGATGCGGCGGAGGTGGGAGGCTACAGATTTGGACTTCTCGGCAACAGACTGTGTAGTTGAGACGCGTTTGAGATTTCCGGTTGGTCGCTTCTCGGGAGTAGAAGCAGGAAGGGAAGCAGCGGCGAGCGTCTTCGAACGCAGAGTTTCGGGGAGTACGAAGACTAGCACGAGGAGTGTCATGCTGCCGTATATTACGAGGAACCATTGTGTGCTCCGCCAGCCGAGTTCTTCTGCTAGTACTCCGCCAAGGATTGGTGCGAAGAGTGGACCACAAAGGGGGCCCAAGTAGAATATTCCCATTGCTCGGCCCCGCTCCTTGACCTCCCATATGTCGGCAATCGTTCCTGCTCCGACAGCTTGGACGGATGCTGCAGCTCCTCCCGAGAACGTTCGGAAGACGATCAGCATAGCCATATTCGTTGAAACAGCAGCCAAGACTCCGAAGAGCACAAAGAGGCCAAAGGAGACGATATATATTGTCCTCCTCCCGCTCGTCTCTGAGAAGCTGGACCAGAACAGCGGAAAGATTCCCATGGAGAGCATGTAGACAGCTGCATTCATGTTCGTAATGGTATGGGAAGCATCGAAGGCCTCTGCGATGTCCTTGAGCCCAGGGACTATGATAGTAGATCCCATGGGACCAGCCATTCCCATAAATGCCACGAGGATGGTCAGGAGCCATTTTGTCTTGCGGGCATAATGGTAGGGGTTGTCAACCTCTGGTATCAAGGAGAGATTGGCGAGGAGACCTCGTCGCTTTCGCCGTTCGACGATAACCGCTTCAGGTACGACGGAAGCTCTTCGCGAAAGTGTCGCTGGCCGGAGATCCTTAGGCATATCTCTGTCAGGCGCTGTTGTGGTGGACGGTGTGGACGGCGGAAGTGATTCTTCGTGCTCCTTTCCTTTTCCGGCATGGTCAATGGACTCAAAGGACTCCATATGCGACATCGGAGATGTGGGTTCGCAAGCAGGACTTGGATCTTGCGGTGGTTTCTCCAGGCCTGCCATAGTGAAAGAAAGAGAGGAGAAGTGAAGTGAGGGGAAGAGGGTCAAATGTGGGTTCACGGTTTTCGGGGGTATCAGTTTGCGAATGACCAAGCCCTGTACTCTACAACGATGATTGCATTAATAAGCTGGTGGCCTTAAGGCAACACACGTTAGCTAACGTAGCTAGAGACTCCTAGCTCTGTCGTAATAATTACATATATAATTAACACGCTAGTAGCCTAAAGGTAATATATGTAAGCTGCCCTACGTAGCTTAAGAAGTCCTAACCCTGCAGTAATACTGCGTCGTTGCATACATAGATGCCAAGAGATGCCTATACCCTTGCTGTGCTGCACGGACGCAGTCTTCCTTCTTTTAGGGAACCCGTCTTTAAGGCAACCTACTCGTACATACATTACCCCTGTAACGCACAAATGCCGGAGTCTCCGTCCTTACACCAACATATGTAAGCTGCAACACCCCGCTAAGGATTCTGAGCCCTGTACTCTACAATAATAATTACATTGACAAGCTAGTGGCCTTAAGGCAACACACGTTAGCTAACGTAGCTAAGAACTTCTAGCTCTGTCGTAATAATTATATACATAATTAATACGCTAGTGGCCTAAAGGCAACACATGTAAGCTGCCCCACGTAGCTTAAGGAGTCCTCACCCTGCAGTGATTAGTGGTCTGGCCGCCAGCCGCAGCCCACTAGAGTAGAGTCCGACCGTATGAATCATAGAGTTGCCTAATGCCATCTCTCTCGATTAAACGCTCAAGGACTTCATTATTGCCTGCATATGTAGCGGCATGAAGTGCGTTGCCGTAGTATCCCCTCTGTGCGTTACGTCGGCGCCCTTGTTAAGCAGCAGCTTCACTACCGCCTTGTGGCCTTCAAATGAGGCCGCCTAGAGTGCGTTGCCGAAGTATCCACCCTGTGCGTTAACGTTGGCGCCCTTGTCGAGCAGCAATTTAGCTATCGCACAGTGTCCACGTTTCACCGCGTACATTAATAAGCCTTCGCTATCACTATCTATCGCATTTACTGCGCATGTTTTGTCTTCTTTTCTGCGCAGAAATTCCTTCGCCGCACTACATAATCTAAATCTTGCTATCTAATGTAAACCTGTAATAGTAGGATTACTCGCACTGTAACCTCTGTACTTATAACTAGGTACGAATAGTACCTGTGCTGCACACGAAAATTTGCTACTCTAAGTAACTAATGCGCAAACTAAGTAAACAACCTTAGCATCAACAGATCTTGTATATTTACTACAATGTTTAGCTGCGTAGTCTAGGAGTTTATGCTGACTTAGCCTCTCTTCAGACTCTTTGTTAGTAGCACACCTGCCGCTTTTAAAGACGCTGAACGATAGGTAGGTTAGACACGTCTTAGTTATATCTAACTATCTATCTAGGTTTAGCCTAGAGCTAACACGCTTAAAGTATTCTTGCGTAGTGTAGTGCACAAAACAGATAATAGCACTCTCCTAATTAACAACAACAAGCCTAGCGTATATAGAGACTATGTTGTCTACATCGGGTTTATCTTCTAGATTAAGTTTAGATTCGCTAGGCTCGACTGCTAAGGCGCAGCACAGCTTAGTAGTAGTAAGCGATTATTTCGCAAATGTAATCTACGTTAGGACGCTCTTCGCTAGTTTAGAATAGCTAGTTTGTTTGTCACGGCGCTGACCCAGATAGCCTATTAGAGCGCGCCAAGCTGCTAAGCGAGCAGCTGCGCGATCGCTGAAATTCCTGCGCGAACGCGCCCTGTCGTACGCTCCTTGAGCTACGTCCTTGTCTTAGCCTGACCCCGTACTGTCAGCGATATCGTAGTGAATATACTGATCACGTGCACCTACCTTCCCTGCCTACCAACCCCGTGACATTGTTAGCCTTTAATCCTCTCTTGTGCTTTGCTGTACACATTATTAAGTGCAGCTGCACCTTTTAAGAGTGTAGTAAGAGTTAATTTTACTTCTTTTGCTGTTGTGTTGTCTAATAGAGACTTAATGTGCAGATAAGCAAGAAGAAATCTTAAGTACGTAAGTGTGTATCGCTGTAAAGACAAGAAGCAACTTACATACCGCTAACAGCCTTAACTACTCTTTCCTGCACTAATTTCTGCAGAGTTAAGCTTCGCTAGACACATATAGGCAGCTAGTGTATTTAGCTAAGTACGAACTGCTTAACGTTGTTATTACTAGCCTCTGCTTCTAGCATTAATGCTAGCTAAAAAGCGTCCTTAACATCTAGCACAAAACGCGAGGTAACTATTAATCGCATATCTGCTCTTTTCTGTAGATCGAGGAGCTTAGTGCATAGCTGCTAGCGTGTTTTGTTCTAACACTTGTTGAGCGCATTAATAGCTATATAAACGTACAGATACTGTGTAAGCACGTCTCGAAGAGCGCTGTATATATTATCGAGCGATAGCTTTGTTCTACAGCTAGCGTGTTTCTAATGTAATCTTTCTACAGGACCTAGTGCTAACAGTTAGCTCTAAACTAGCTGCTTGAGGATAGCTGCTAATATGCTAACGATGTCCTAATCTGCTTGAGATTTGTAGTTGCAATAAACATACGCTACTTTGTATGCGCTGTTTTGCGCTAAGTCTAGAAGCTAATTAATTGCAATAGCTGCTACTATAGTCTTGCTAGCACCTAGGATCCTTAGGCAGAAGAGGGTAGTCTTAGCGTCGCTAAGCTATTGTGCTACTTTAGGTGCGTCTAGGAACTACTAGCCTGTCTCTTCTTACCTTTGCTTTATAATATCTAACTGTTAAGCAGGATAGTTGCTTAACAATATCTATTCTAGAAGAATACGCTAGGTTGCAGTAACTTGTACCTGCTGCACTTTGTTAACAGCAGACTAGATAGCTAATACGTGCGTGCAAATAGAGCTAGTATCGTCTTTAATAACTTAGAAGAGTTTGCTTACACGTCTAAGCTTAGTTATTAGATAGTGCTAGTACAGAAACTTACAGGTGATCTATCTGTAACGCGATCTCTACTAGCGTCTTTAGTTGTTCTATGCGAGCTAAGATAGCGTTAACCTCTTCTTTCTTTAACTTCTATACTAACGCCTCCTTAACTTTCTCTAGCTAACTTCCGCCTGTTATCTTTGCCTGTAGAGTTTCTAGCGCTTGCTTAAACTAGTCGAGCGGCCCGTTCTTAACAGCAAGTGCTTGCATCGCGCTAAACTACAACTAATAGCTATATCCCTCTTCTAGTCAAAACCTTAGGTTCGTCAGAAGGTTGTGTAGATTGCTAGCTTCGATCGCGCACTGCGCACGGCCTTTAGAGGTGTCCTTAACGTTGTTTAGGTAGGAAAGGACTTTAGCTAAGAGCTAAAGGATAGCGATAACGCTAGCTGTAGCACTCAGCGGATCTATGTTAGGAGGGATTAAGTGTTAACCGCAGACATGTGCGAAAGACGTTTTGTGAACAAGGTAACATCGTTAACGTTCGACTAGGCTAAGGAGTGCGCCGCTTAAGTAAGGCTGAGCGACGGCCTGCTGTGCGAATCGCATGATAGCACATCTTATCAATAAGGTCACACTACATAAAGCATTAGTAGAGTTCAGCTGCAATGACAGAACAATAGAAAAGAGAGGGACAGTGACAGGCTTTCCCTCGCAACGTGCTACAGGGCAATTATCATATGTTAAGGCAGTAATTATTTTTCTCGCCAGACGGGCATCAGCATACTGTTGATGAAGGAAGTGCTTAGAATGCTTCTCACAGCACGCTGGAAGGCCGGTCCGCCTTTGTCAGCGCGGTGGCAAGCATGAAGGTTGAACAAGCGCCAAAGCAGAATTACCTTCCCATTATAGGTTTACCTTCATGTCTTGAACATGCTGACCGTCATGGATATGTCCCTCTGTCGTTACCACATCTGTGCCACAGGTGCTCTCCACGTTTCCAGCATCGGATCAATAAGCGCATCGCTTGCTCGTGCTGCTTTATCTGATGGTCCCGACACGCCTACTTTCTGCTCATCTGGAACAGCTTCTCCAGCCGCGACACTCTTACGCTTCCGACCACGTTTCTTCCCTGATTCACCTCCCTCTGCCTGCGTCGTTGCCTTTGACCGGCCGCGCTTTGCTTTACCTACAGCCTTTTTAGCAGCATCTTGCTTAGCCCGTTCTGTGCGGTCCGCCCGAATTGCTTCGAGATCTTCCTGTCTCATCACCCGTCCTTCGCCGTTCTTCCTAGGCTTCTTCAGGATACTTGACTTTGTATTTTAGCGAGTCTTAGCCTTGTTATTGGCAGCCTTGAGAAGTCCAATGTAATTCTGGTCAAGGGCTTGTTAGGCAATAGACCTTTCGGCAGCGTTGGCAAGCTTCTGAATCAGTCTATGACGACGAATTTCGTTTTGCTTATCACTATGAGAATCTTGCTTGAGGAGGCTCAGCAGTTGTGTCACTGCTTCTGATGACACGGGCGTCACTGGTGTCTGGTTTACTTCATTCTGTGTGCTTCCGACATCATGGGAGACCTGAATGGTCAGCGGAGCGCCTGGCTTTACGATATCACGAAAAACCCTTGAAGGGTTATAAGAAAAGAGGCCGGTCTTTGCACAGCCAGCAAGTATATTCTTCTTCGTTATCGCCCTTTCTCTCGCACGACTGTATATGGCAGTGAAGTGCTCTTTGTTGACATTCGTCAGGCCTCTGCGGTAGCGGCGCTCGACTTTATCTTAGTACGCTGTTTTTAATGGCCTAAAAACCGACACGTCACAGGGTTGTGTCTTGTAAGATGTGTAAGAGGGCAGTCTACATAAGATAATGTCATTCTCTAAGCAAAATTCAATAATCTTAAGAGTTTTATAGGTCCTAAAGCTATCGCAGATAAGTATCTGTGACTTCCTATTAGCACGAGCTTTAGTCTAAGGGTCAAGGACTTGTTTAATCTACTCTAGGCTAATAAAAGAGTTATTGTAACCTGTTTCAGAAAGAGCATAGAACCATCCAGGAATAGAGTACGTCGTCTAGTTGCTCCTGTAGGTAGATGCATGCTAGATGATCATCGGATTGAGATACTCACCGCTTGCTGACACGCATTCGATAGCAGTTACTATCGTCCGCTTTGTGCCAGTTCCTCTATAGTATCTGTAATCATCTCTGTCTCCTCATTACCCACCGTCCATCGCGATAGCTACTCCTGCAGCACCTCACAGGTCCTTGTATTGACTCACCGTCTCCTCGCCCCTGCCGCAAACCGTCGCATATGACTACTCCAGCACCACCATTCTCAGTCTTCCACTATTCCCCTCAAGACTAACACTGGTGCTCTTCGCAATCTCACTCATCTCTTCCTTTCCTTTCGGCCGATCTCGCTCTATGTCCACCTCGCAGAACAGCGTCGAAAGTACCGAGCTCTTCCACAGTCTATCACTCTCAACCTTCCAGTTGTCGATGATGACAAGCAGTAAGAATAGTCCTGTAGGGGCGATCATAGCGACGAGGAATGCGATCCACTCCCATCTCACGTACACACAAGTCGTGTTTGCCCACATGTCGCCTCTCGCCCATCTCTCTTCTCCTTCTGCGCCGTGGGTCTGTATGGAAGCCGTCATGGCGCGCGTCATGTTTCTGAAAGATTCGTCTAGAGATGCGATGGACGTCTGACCCTTTATTGGCGGACCCGTCATGTTCTCTCTCCCATCCGGGTCCTGTCGCCACAATGCGCGCAAGTACGCGTTTCCCTCAACTAGCGAAAGCCCATTAGACTTGAGAGTCTGCTCGTGGAACATAGTGTCAAAGTGCCTTCGCAATCCCTACGCCGCGGGTTGGCTCATGGTCCGCAGGTAGTCTTTGGGGTAATACCATCGTGTGCTTGTTCAGTGGATTTTTCCCTCTTCGTCCCACTCTTCTGTCTTGACCTTGTAGTGCTTGACCTGCTCGGGTGCGGGATCCGCGGAGCCTGCACACGACTTCTTGATGCCATCTCGCATGGTGTAGTCAGTTGCCAACGCAAACAAATTAGGTCGCCATTCCGGTCCCTCTTCTTCACCACCAGCTACATTCGTAGTTATATCAGGATAGTCAAAGTCAAGCGAAATACTTTCCAACAACGTCTCCTCCAGGCGTGTATTCGCAACTTTGACGTTGTACGTGTTAACCGTGGGGAAAAGGGTACAGTTGACAGCCCTGGAGTCGTTTGAGGCAAAACGTTCTCTGAATAGTAGGGTGATGGTGTGCAACGGGAAAAGGTCGTGGCCACGATATTTGATGTTGTCAGGACGGAGAAGTCCGCGTAATTACGATGGTCCGAGTAGTTAAGACGGGTTGGTGCTCCCTCAGGTGTTTTCAGCACCGTGATTGTATGTGAGTAGTTAGTGTGCTGCCGAATGAGCCCGCTGATATCTTTGCATACGTGGCTTATCGCTACCGTTGAGAACGATGCTCTGTCACTGGACGGAAATGTGCAGTTACCGCTGTCGCATCCACGGGCGAAGACGTTGGTAAAGTCTTCTACGGGCTGGATAAGACCAACAGTCGTAGCAGCCACCATTGGTGCATATCCTGCCCACAACATCCAATTTCCTCCGGTTCCCGGCCCTAGAACCCCCCCTGCGGCAGTGTAGTTGTTTGTCCTTGCCAGACGTACGATTGCCGTATCAGTGCGCTGCGCACAGTCTTTGAATAGCAAAAGCTGTTGTGAGAAGAAACCAGTTAGAGCCGTCATTACTGTTGCCAATGCACCTAAAGACGCTATGTAGCTTGGGAGAATAAGTATGAGCTGCGAGATGAAGAGAGAACGCTTACTATACTCTTCTCGGCCTCATGTGACATAGTAACAAGAACGACCCTCAAGGTCCACGGCTAGCCGCGTCGAGATGCTGCTAATGTCAGCACGAGGTCAAATTTGATCAGCAAGCTACTTTGGTGACAATACTACTGAAACACCACCCTGGATAGCTTCGGAGGTAACGTTACCTGCGTTGAGTCAATAAGAGAGCAAAGTCAAATTATGCAGATCCTTATGGACTAACCTCAACGTCACCCAATGTTCGCGTCTTGCGATACCATTGCCATCTCGATTGACTGATACCTTTCAACGCTTAGTAGAACGCATTCCGGAGCGGTTGATTGAGGGAATCATGACATACCTCCAGCCAAAACCACACTCACCCCCGTTCTCATAATCAATGAGAAGAGAGACAGAACAGAATTGATCGTGATGAGTTGAGGCCACTTCGGCAAAGGTTTGCCTTGATGGGCGGAGAGTGTTGTAACAAGTCCAGCGAGCGTAAGAACAGAGAATATGAAGCTGAAAGTTTCCACTGTCCAACTCTTCTTCCTTGATCTTCGGACTGCATGCGTGGACCTTCTGTAGCCCTCCTTTATCCTAGTCGCAAGCTTGATGAAGGCGTGGGCGAAGCGTGACCATCGTCGCCGCTATGGTTTCCGACCTTTGCAAGACCGCCTCTCTGGTTTGAGTGCCTCCGTTAGGCTTGCATTATATGCGTTCGCGTTGTGCGAGATAGATATCGCGGCTTCATGGTGTGATCTTGAGGTCAATAACGGCGCTGATGATTCGAGCTGCACCATCGTGAGTTTGAGAAGATGTAGAGGAGCGGAAAGGAAACACGTGCGGCGCCGGTGCAATAACATATACAGTACTTCAACTCCCAAAGGTCGTACTGGACCCCACGTACAAGATTTCGCCCCGAGATACTCGTGTAAGAAGCCACGAGTTTCTGCACGTTCATTCGTCTTTCGGAACGCTTGGGACAACCCAAGCGCTATTGACTGTCTCTCAACGGTGTAGCAAGGCTGAGCTTACTGCAAACCCACACGCTTCTTGTTGAACCTCTCGGCATAGGGGCGAAACATACACAAGTCTGGAAGCAGATCCGCGCGGATACTCAGCCTCATGGCGCATATCATGGAAGATCACTTTTCCTAGTAACGGCATGATGAAGAAGCCTAGAGTACCTCGCAATCAACTCTGCAGCTCATCTTGCCGTTTCTCTCGATAGATCTGCATGATGCGTTCGTAGTCCCTAAGTGAAGTGGGTGATGGTTGGTAGGGCGAGGTTGATCGACGTTCCGGTGAGGCAGATATAGACGAAGCTAACGTCGCGATCGGTATCTTCACATGCAACCATATATCCATGTTGCTTGTCAAATCCATGTTGGGGTACAGTGCTTAGCGAAACTTGCTTCTGTGAGCGCTGCTTCCTTCGCCGAACGGTATTTTGAGTCAATTTCAGATAAGCCAGCAATGGATCTGAACCGATTATCTCCATGTGAATCTTGTGTTATTATATATCCGTCTAGCTAGATTCAGAACATAATAATCATCATCCAATATTCGAGCTCCACCGACCTCTGGTCCGCAGCCATGCTCCATACTGGTAAAACACAAAGGGGATGGGAATCATCAAGACTGCAAACCCGGCGAAACAACTGCTTGCCGGTCCAGTGCCCAAATTTCCATACAGTGGAATGACAACAGCCGGGAAGCAGGACGCCAGAATACTCCGAAGAAAAGTATTGGCCGCGATGGCAGACGCTCCCCAGCGCTGGAATGTATCGACAAGATAGTTGAGCGCGGATTGAAATATCGTGTAGTAGCCAAAGCCAACAAAGAATGCGCCCGTACAAGGGATTATCCAATGGAAATTTGGGTGCGATGTCCAGCCGATTAAAAACAAGCCGCCTGCAAAGACAAACGACCCGACCATCATAGGTGGCAGACGTGCCTCTGGGATGGCCTTGTGATCACCTTGGGAAGCCAGACGTCGGTTGTAAAAGACAACCTGATTTAACACATTGAGTGCAGAACCTAACAGAATGCCGAGCAAGAGAGCAAGGAACGGCAAGGATCCGACTAGTGGGTTCCAGCCGCGATCTTGTTGAAAGATGATCGGAAATGATGCAAGGGAGGCATAGAAGACGCCATATATGAAGGAGGCGTATAATGCGATGAGACCGCAGATCGGCGTGAACAGCATCTGCCACGGACGAACACCAAACTTGTGCAAAAGTCCAGAGAAGGTAATATTCAGCTCCTCATACTCTGCATGGAGTCCCCATTCCCCAGTCTCGAAGCGCAGACGCCGGGCTTTTGATACGAGCAAGCGAGGGGCGTACGATTCATCGACGAATGCCACGTCGAGGACGACCGTGAGTAGCTGGATGATGCCGGTGATCTTGGGAACGTTAGTGATGATGCCATCCTCGGTAACAGAAACACCCACGTATTCGGTCCACCTCCACGACACGCCGCAAACCACAATGGCGCCCCCGACGATTGGCGCAAGTACCTAGCCAACCAGTCAGTCTGTTGTCATCAGATAAGAAAGTCATCGCTTACGGGGCCAGCGGCGACAGCCAATGCGTACCCCACGATGGCATTTCCTCGCTGCGAAGAGTCCCAAATATCTGCGAAGACGCCACCTGTGCAAGTGATTGGTGCAGCGCCGAAGAAGCCGCAAAAGAAGCGGGTGATAATAATGGATTGGATATCTTTGGAGGCGCCGGTCGCAAATGAAAAAAGAGCGGATATGAAGCAGGGTGCGACGGTCGGCCATTTCCTGCCGTAGACTTCAGAAAGGGGGGCCCATACCAGAGGCCCGAAGCCGAAACTACCACAATCGTGAGCACGGGACGACGTTCGGAACGTCAATTGACCTACCCAAGCAGCAGGACGCTAGTTCCTAGCACGGCAACCTCGTTGGAAACTTGAAATTCGTGCGCAACAATCTCGTTGGCCGGCGAGTATGCCGCACTCGCCCATGTCGAGCCGAGCGTCGTGAGTCCGTAGAGGAACGTGTTAAGTGACTTCTTTGCAAAAGACCAATTCTGCGGATTATATATATCGTCTGGACCGTCGAAGTCGACTCGGTCGCCGTTGGTACTGCCGGATGCTCGTTCCAGGTCCGGTTGGATTCGCATTTCCATCATGTAGCAGGCGGCAGGCGGTGTGCGGTTGACGTCAAAGGAAAGAGGCGGACCGCTGGAGGGTGTGGTCGAGTTCCGGGTTGCGCGTTTTGAAGGCTGGGCATTGCGCCACCGCAGCTCCATCGAAGATGGGTAAGAGCAACGTCATTGCGTAGCACGTGAAAAAAACGTGTTTCCCTATACTGCAGGCGCTCTCTGGTGAGTGACGCGATCAGCAAGCCAACAATGAAAGAGGCCGCTGACTGCGTCATACCGCCTTGATCGTCCAAACGTTTGGTGGGCGCGGGATGGCGTGCCGAGGACTGCGGCGCGGTACGGCCCGAGGTGGCCCAATGATCGTTCAGGAACTCCCATCCACACCTTCTCCTTGCCTGATTCGTACAACACAGCTGCCGTTCATCCTGCACTTTGACCGAGGTTCTGCTATTTAGATCGGAGTTAGTCCCCGTTTTGTACAATAGTGTTTCTACATCTAGGGGGGTAAGCGGAGCTAAAAGTACGGGTTACGCTATATTAAGCTAATGCTACTTTAAAGCCAGCAATACGGGTAAGTTCTCTTATGGGCCTAAGTAACAGTTAAACAAGACGTTTAGTTTCTCCAGTCAGATGCACGAAGTCGCGGCAGACCATATGCCATATCAAGGCAACTTACGTAAGGCATCCCTCGCTCGCGTCCAGTTGACCTGAAGCACGTCTACAGCTCGAAGCGAACCGTGATCTTCACCGCTGCGTCAAACATCACGACAACTCACACAGAATTTATGGACCAGCTACCGACTTCGCAACCAGAGATCGGTACGGAGCCCGCTACTGCCGCTGCCTTCCGTAAGGATCTTGTTCCGTATTGCAATGACCCGGCGTTATATCATTGGCACGCCTGATCAAAAGGCTGACGAGATCTGCTCTTGTTCGGCCATTATTGAGTCTGACAGATCTGTGGTGGTCTTACGTGCCACTGAATATGTCATATCTTGGACCCCACTTCTTACGAGAAAGGAAAGTGACTGACAAGAGTATGCCGACGGTTCCACGGCTGAGATCACGATGAGTGCGGAGACAGATATGAATTTCGGTCAGCATGCTGTCATAGAAACGTAACGGTCTTCAGGGGAATAGAAAGCAGAGAAGTCGTTGATCAGGTATAAATTAAGCCCCAGTCGCTCTCTAAAACCTCTCGCCAGACCAGCACTTCATCACTGCTTCAAATCACGGACTGCAGTTCTCCAACTGTTCAGACGCCTTTCAACCACACACACAATATATTCTGCTCACCATGTCTCAACCTATCGCTCAAGAGCAGAGCAATCTCAAGGTTGCTTACCTCGAAACAATCGACTTTGCCAAATTGCTCGCCCACGAGGAGCACGAAGTTGCCAAGTTGATGTCCGCTTGTACAACGGCCGGCTTCTTCTACGTCAACCTTCAGGGCCAGAGTAGCCGTGGCCTCCTCGAAGATGAGGATAGTATGTACAAGGCCATGGAAGAATTCTTCGATCAGCCGCTCGACACAAAAATGCAGGATGATCGTGGAACTCACAAGCATGGGTAAGTCAGTCTTGCAAAGCCCAGATCGTGTGCTAACCGAGTATCTAGTTACAAGCCTGCTGGTGTATTTGCCGGAGTAAAAGCCCACACAAGAGATAACTACGAGACTCTCAAGGTCGCGCGCGACGAGATCGGCGCAAAGTCCCCAGTCCTACCCTCCACCGTGAAGAAGCACCCGCGCCTTTTCGATGACTTCATCTCAAAGTCACACCTGGTCAACATGACCATAATGCACTCTTTATCGAATGCCCTCGGTGCCGACCCCGCCAAACGTCTTGAGCAACGCCACCGCGACGAAGCCGACTCAAACACGACTCTCGTCCTCCTCCGTTACCCCAAGAACCTGTCCTCTACCTGCGTTGGCCACAATCAACACACAGACATTGGCTCTCTCACCCTCCTGTTCAGCAAACAGTGGGGACTTCAGCTTGTGAGCCCCGAGACGGAAGAATGGGAGTGGGTAGCGCCGCGCCCGGGACACGCCATCATCAACGTGGGCGATTCGCTGCGCTTCTTGACCGATAAGAGGCTGGCGTCTTGCATGCATCGTGTCGTTCCGACTCCCGAGACAGCGACACAGAATCGCTACTCGATTGCGTACTTTCTGCGCCCGGAGAACGATATCGAATATAAAGATCCGGAGGGCAAGCCCATCTCAGCGAAGGAGTGGCACGATAACAAGTACAAAACGTTTGCAGACTCGCATGAGAAACAGGCTATGAACAGCATTCTTTTGGGTGGGATGGATCGTCTTGCGAGAACGGGTATTACCGTTTAGATGTGATGGAAGTATTCTATTTGGCGGCCGTAACAACATTGCCATACGGCATGATGGGACGTCATTTCCTACCGCCGCTCCATTCAATCATACAGAAGGTGAAGACGTTAGAACCAGTCTAATAAAAGACAATCAATTTCCAATCTACTTTCACTTCACGTTCCTACTTTAATGCTAACTGTGGCACTAAGCGGGTCCATGTTGGGAAGAAAACAGCATAGATGACAGATGCATCTAATGGGGTAGATGAGGGAGACCACGGTGGCACTGCGCAGGTAGAGAAGCTGAAGGGAGAGCGTCCAGGCTGAGGGGGCCTGACGTAAGTGAGGCTGCGGGAGCTGCGGGAACCCCAGAATTTTTCAAGCCGACGACACCTACAGAACTCTTGAAGAACTTTGGGAGCCTTTTTTCTGCCTTGCCGTTCACCACAGCTGACACTGCCGCTTAAATCACAGCCCTGTGCTGCTGCGTCTTGTACTGTGTCGGTGCTAACTACCAACCGATGTGACACATATCACCGGTGAGGCCTGCAGCGCCGGCGCCTAATGGCTGTCGACGAGTGCCATGAACGACGTGGCGCCCACACTTCATTTGCATCTTACCCATGTGACGAAACCAAGGATAAATCAACAGCATCGTCGACGAAACTATCAATTTGCGCTTTTCCTAGGCTTTCGTCGGTTCCTAACCTGGGCTCGTAAGATGCAAACTGGCAATGCTTCAGGCCCGTGGAGAGGAAGATACGAGTTTTCCAATCGCGGAACGCAACTGTCCTTGCCAAAGTCCTCGTCTCCCCTCAGCCGAGCTTATTCTTCTTACCAAGGAGTGTATAATGGATCCCTCCAGAACCATGAGGGTAGTTACTATCTGGCTTAGTCCCAGCCACGGCCAGCACCCCATAGCCTGTCGCCCTATGTACAATGTGTAGAGACTTTACCCGACCATCGAGACTTTGGAAGTTCTACGAGAATGCCGATGGCGCCTTCGTTGAATATGCCACAGAACAATCTCGGCACTTTTCACGACCCAAGTGAAGCCAGTGTGATTGCACTTGCGAAGGATGTCGGCACAGCAGAACCTTTGCATGTGACTCAGATATAGTGGGAAGAGAAAAAAGCGGAGATCAAACGAATCTATCTCGACAAGGACAGGTCCTCGAATGAGACCATGAAGCACATGGAAAGCTTGGGATTCGTGGCCTCGTAAGTGAAACGGTCAAAGAGCAATGATCATAACCTCCTAGCTAACATGGACGAAGGTCGAAGCTGTATAAAGAGAAACTGAAGGAATGGAATTTTCTGAAGGATCTCTCAGGCGAGATAGCATATCGGTTGCTGAACCATGCCCAAGAGCGAAAATTGGCAGGCAAAGGCACACACTATAAGTTTGATCAGCGATAATTTCCAATCGAACAAGTTCAGAAATCGGCAGCTAGATACATACAACGTCACAAGCTGCCTTCATCTGCCTCTGCTGCAGCATCGTAAAGTAAAAGTTCACCTGCCTTGTCACTCTAGCCGAAGTTTCTGACTGCTTAGCAGCTCCAGCCGAGATAACATATGCAACACCCTCAGCATGCGCTGCATCACCCTTCTACGCACCGTCCGCTGCTTCAGCTACACCGTCGCATTTGGACAAGGAAAACGACACGGAGGAAGAATTCTGGTATCCTAGGTTCACGTATGATGGAAAATCGAAAAGTTACTACGACGAGCTGGTATTGAAGGCTGAACAATTTTCAAGGTTAGAACAGCACACTGAAGCCCTCCGAAATTACCTGGACGCACTGGCTGGTTATCAGGTTTTATTATCGCCAACGCATGACCTGGTCATCTCATTGGTGTACAAAGTCGCTCAGCTGCACATGAAATTACACGACTCGAAGGCAGCAGATCGGATTCTGGAATCAGCGACTGAAGCTCATGTACGTGAGCACGGCCTTTGGGATGAAAGGACAGTACAGCAGATTAGCCACCTTATCAAGATGCTGCAAGGCTGGGCTCGCCAAAACGAAGCATTGCCCCTCGTTCTGCATCTGCTCCAAGGCCAGAAACATGAGTCTTACTCCACTTCGTCTTCGTCGAATGTCTCTGTCAGCTTCGACGCAGCAGGAATCCAGCGTCACTTAGCCATAGCAGACATGCTCGCCCCAGTCATGGACGAGAGTACCAAAGCAGGATTAGTCGCAATAGCACAACGTTGCGAAGCTCAACCTTTAGACTTTCCACAGCAAACACTGGATGTCTGGGTTGCACTAATTCGCACCTACAGGGACGCAGGAGACAACAACCATGTACAAGACGCCTTAAATCGTGCGACCGTCTCTGTCGGCACACTCACTGATCTGCAAGATGAAGCTTGGACGAATCCCTTGCTTTTGCCTCTACTGACACTCATGAAGATATTTGTCGGGTACGGCAAGCACGAATTCGTCGATGGTGTGCTCCTTGCAATGGAAGAGCGGGCCGAGTATACACTCTACAACAGTCCTGACAACATGATTGATCTTTTTCTCCATATGGGCATGCTTTACCAACGAGAAGACATGTGGGAAGAAGCAGATCATTATTTCCAGCATGCGCAAGCAGCCAGTGCAAAAGCTTTTGGGTGTACGAATACTCGGACAAGGACTATTGAGGAAGCTCGGCGACTGCAGCATTACGATCCAAAACTGTTATCAGGACGACGGGTATGAGTTCGAGCTTAATTCATAAGGCATCAGCTGGTCCCTCTAAAGGTGATTACAATTGTCGCTGGATTGAATAGACCGTTCTCATCTCACCGCATTAGCGTATGGTACGTACTCAACTTTCTATTGACCTCATGCTTATTACTTGAGACTTCCCGCAGTCCATTATGCGGTTTGCTATAGATGCTGACAACAGGGCAGATAGTCGCAGCGAAGAGAAAGGTTCATTCCAAGCTGCCGCTCGTTCTGTATTGCACACCTAGTTTGGATTGCATTGTGCACCATTAAGCTTCGCTCTGGGATCTCCTCTGCAACAGTTGGCGAACGAATTCGACGTCACATCCAGCGGGCTTCCCGCATCGACCACACAGTCCTTGTGCTTATTGAAGAATTGGCCCGTGAGTGTACCCTTATTGGGAATGCTAACACCGTTTGAACAGCAACTGTATGTTATTCCGGCGATATCCACATCGGAGCCTCCTGTGCATTTGCACCAGTATGACGCCGCCTAGATACAGGAAGAATTGACGTTAGACCATGCTTGCGAAGGGCGATTTTGAAGAACTTACCTGAGTTGTGGTCGCAATGGCGAGGCAGGATATGGCGAAGTGCAGTTTCATCGTGAGTAGTATGAAGTTGGTATATTTGTTCGAAGAAAGAGACAAGGGCAAAGTCAAGATGAAAAGCCGCTCTTATTGTGATGATGATCGTGGTGGATAAGATCGATGTTGTAAGAGCAGCGGTATTTATACTTGTATGTTTGCAAGGAAGAAAGACGGCGGAACTGCTATGGCATAACCCAGGACTCCGACTCCGACTCTAACTGATTCCGTGCCATGGGTATTTATTCCAGACGCCGAATGCGGTATTGAGAGACTTCCGTGAGAGGTGAACTAGAGATCTACAAAGCATAGGTAGATATCTTCATTGTGTACGTGCTCTCGGTGCGACGGGAAAGCCGGATGTTGACCCTAACGACCCACACCGCAACAATTGATGCACAGAGTTCATCCATCGTCCTGACATTCCTACTCTTGCTGCTTTATCTTATTTCCAGTTCTTCTATCTATACGAGTGATGTTCTTGTCATATCACAAGACGTGTGTTAATGCATGGTCTTGAGACGTTTGGCGGCCTTCTGCCGTGTTGTTGCATTGCGCGGTCAAGGGAGCGACGGCGCGCACGGGTACAGTAAGCTGCCCAGGTGTTAAGCACATGCTGACGGTCTAACGAGCTGACTGTCAGTGCTTATCGGACCATAATGGATATTGTGTAGCTTGAAAGAGCTTCGCACGGGACTAGTGCTCATGACGTGTCCCAAGTACGCGACTAATCAGCTCGTCGTCGTCGTCATCAGCGCCTGCAGCCTCAACCACAGTCAAGGCATTTCGATCGACATCGAGATATGCTTTTCTCCTGATGCAACAACCTTCGATGTTCTCATTCAGGTCCACAAATTGCAATTCTTCCAGCACCTGGATAGCCTTGTAGTCGATGATGCTACTAACGTAAAAACAGTTATATGAGCGCAACTCGGTGCGGTGTATCGTTACAGGTCTTCCCCATTTGGAATTGGTAAGCGATGGTAACGTTGAATATGGATAATCAGTCATGGTCGGAGTGAAAACTTTCCCCCGCGTGGCTAATCTTGGCTGTACCGATCCGGTCTGTCCACGTTCGAATCTTTCTCGAAGACAACCAAAACATCCAATTCGGCGGTACGGAAAGCACTGTGTTTCGAACTCCTCCTTCCGGCTACTGGAATTCAAACAAATAGGGCTCTGCATCGACTGTAAGACCTTCCGCTTGTATCATACCTTCCCTATAACAGTCTCCCAGCAGTTCATAACATCTTCCAACAGGTCTTACCACGAACGGGACAGCACACCCCACGAGAAGACATATACGATCAGTCGGCGTTGTGTCTACAGGAACCCAGGCCAAATACCTTTGCTTTGTAATGCAAAATTTTCGGCCGGCTGATAGTTCGGAGAATCTGCTTTCGTATATCCCAGTTCGGTCGCCTTGTTCGTGATGACTTCGCAGGCGGTTAGGGGAAATGTTTGCTTGTCCCGCTAAGCTTCCGAATTTGCTCAATAGTGCCTCGAACCCCTCTATATATTCGTTGGCTGGTGTGTCCCTTTCTTCAAGATGCACGCCAAATGCCATTGCACGGCAAAATTCTTCGTAGAATACGTTGTTATCTGTACGTGAGTGAATCGACATAGCTACCACATAACACATCCACATCCAATTATGCATGTATACGGCCGACTTCTGGACTTCGGAGCCATTTCTGATACTCCCGTGCCAGACCGGATCCATATACGGGCTTGAATTGATGATTACGTCAGGCTCGTCCCAGAAAATCCCTGGTATAGACAACGTCTGGAAAGTTAGCTCTTTCGCGCAAGAAACTCAAGAGAAAGCTCACCTTGTCTTCAACGATAGCGTGATGAGAAGAGTTTGCGAAAATTGTAGTGCCATAATAATAGCGCGTCAAGGGAACAAAATTGAATCCACTAGGCTTCCAGTCCGGCACCCAGCTTGGTAGATTCGATGATTGTGAGGAGCGAAATTTGCAAGCTAAAAACCTGCTTACTCTGCGCATGTCATTCTCATAAATTTGGTGCTTTGATGTGTACACAGTCTTTCCAGTAGATATGATCTTTGGAACTGGTATGTTGAGGGCCTTTGTTGCAATCTCTGTATAGACGGTCGCTTCATCCTTACGATAATCGATCATGTCCATATTTACTGCCGTTTGTGTCGACAAGAGTGCGAAAATTCGGTCTCGAGGATCTGTGGCTTCCAGTCGCTGGCTCCTGCACCATAGACTAAATACACGAACATCATAGCCGGACTGATATATTCCCAAAGCTTGAATTCTCAAGATGGCTCTTTTGATATCATGAGCGTCCATCTTGTGCCTTGCAACAGCCTCTCCGATTGCAACACACACTCCCGTAGCGTATCCGAAATGCACTAGCAGTTCAGTTGGAATCTCCAATGCACCGGACATAAATGCGGATCTCTTCGCATTCAAGAACTCTTGTACGATCCAAACACGTCCGAACCACGGGCGACAACACAGGGAGGCCCATCCAGCCCAACCGTGATCAAGGGAAGAAAGGCCCATCTCCTTCAGAGTCGTCACTCGATGTCGTTCCAAATCTGGTCGATTCGGAATCCTCTTGGAGAAGCTTCTCATCAGATCAATAGCAGCTTCATCGTAGCGTTCTTGTTCTCCGAGCCAGAATATGACCTTTGTGGCGCTCTTGTAGATGTCTCTCATCATAGGCACTTGAAAGCTCTTCTCTTCTTTGTCCTTTTGTTTGATGCATATAGCGTCTACCCACAGTAAGCAATCAAAACGCTGTTTCTGTAGTTGCGCTAAGACACCCCAGAGATTGCGCGTAATCAACATTTTATGCCCATTGCATATGATCTCGCGTTGCGATGCTCCATTGCCCCAGACATATGAGAGCGCAGTGAATTGTGTTTTTGAGTCGAGGTCGAAAGTTTCGAGAGTGGTCTGTATGCCTTCTTCGCCGGTTCCTGATTCGATGCGCAATAAGCGGATGGCTCGTTGGTGCGGAAGCGGAGAGTATAATGGTGCGTCTGACATTTTGACGCTGCTCTGATTCTATCAGTACGCGTGTTATCGAAGGAAAAGCTGGCGCCGCAGCCCCAGAGGATGGTCGCTTCTACAATGTGGCTAGGCGAGACAACCGGTGAACCGACCGGATTATGCATAGGCGAAGTGGCGTCTCGCCGCACAATAAATGCTGGCGCACAATAAGCCAATCAGCATCTCAATAAAATCCTTCACCATGTTAATGCGCGACGTTTGCTCCTGAAAGATGATGGCGCAGCGCGCTACCTCAAAATTGAGGTGCAATAATCCAAAGGTGAGGGAGCTAAAGATGTCAATTTGTCGGAAATCACTCAGCAGAGCAAGATTCGCCAGTCGTGATGCAGAGGCAAATCCCGATGTCCTGAGGTCGCATATAATAGAGAACTCCATACCCTTCTGGCGTGGTCATCGTACGGGTATGTTCTTTTCCACAATTTTTCCATCTACAGCCGTATATGCTTGAGTTTGGTATCAACGGGACTGGCAGCCACCACCCTTCCAATTCCACGTCTCAGGCAATTCAGCCGGTGTGGAATGACGCTTGGTGTCGAGTTATCATCAATTGCCACGCACAACCAGTTTGAATCTGTTGATCAAACGAAAGCCATCGAGCAACAAGACGCGACTTCGTAGCGTCGTGAGGAGCCTTCAACTTGTTTCTGGCGGTTCCTGCAACAAGACAGGCGAAAGCTATATCGCTTACACCAAACCCACTGTCCGAATTGAAATGCCTTAGCAGCACATGGGAATTGCAAGGTATTTTGTACCGACCTTGTGTGGATTCCAGAGCATCGGTGAATTTGGGTGTTAAGGTGTTCGGTCCTCGTTCAGCCACAACTTTGAAATGCGCCGGCCTAGACGGTAGCGTCAGGTTCACATACACAACGATGCGCAAAACCCTCGATCCATAGTTCTTCCGCTCAGGGTATTTCAATGGAATAACCCCTCCAAAAAAAAAGTAACGGCGTTAACATCGACCGGCATGTACGTCTTGCCGAGTGTGGACTTTCCCTGGAGCAAACCGGACATAAGCGGACTTAGCGGTGTAAACACAACCTTCCAATGTAACACCGTCCGACCCACGAACCTCTACACTGAATGCGGTGACCGGCGGTCAACTTGTTCAGCCGTTCTGTGGATTCTCTCGGTGTCGCATTCGGATTTGGAGATGTACGCAGGTGTCGTGAAGCAAAATACTGTTTGTATGTACTGGAACCACTACTACATAAGAGAGGGATCACTGTCCTTTTCAGACTTGATCATACTATTATTCCACTCATACCATTACCACTTCAATCTACAATCATCAACTCTTCACAGCCAACAATGCCTCAGAACAAAGCTGCCTGGATCACCTCACCTGGTGCTCATCCCTTTGTAGTCAAAGAAGCACCGTACCCAAGCGCTGGACCTGGAGAAGTGGTCATTAAGAATGCGGCTGTTGCTATTGTATGTCACTGCCCAGTCTCAGGGGATATAGTGCTCAAATTTAATGCGCACAGAACCCCGTGGAATGGAAAATCCAATACCACAGCGAGGAGCACAAATACGTATACAACTACCCGTTCATCCTCGGTTCAGACTGCGCTGGTACAGTTGAAGATGTCGGTGAAGGGGTAACGAGATTCGCAAAGGGAGACAGGGTTATTGCGTACGTCTACTTTCTTATTCCCTTTTGCTCCTACGCTTCTCAGAGACGATACATTACTTCGGAACCACATCCTTGCCTCTACCTACCAAGAAAACCGGCTAACAAGATGCATATCACAGATTCTGTCCCTCACTTCCTACCAACAATACCGCACAGTCCGCCTTCCAACACTACACCCTCGTACCGGCCACCCACACCATCTCCATTCCCGCTTCTCTCCCCTTCAAAAACGGCGTCGTACTACCTCTTGCCCTCGCAACCGCTGCATCTGGTCTTTACCCACCCAACCTACTCAATCTGCCTCTACCGACTACCCCGCCACGCAAGACAGAGTTGAAGAAGACGGTGCTAATCTGGGGTGGTTCCTCCTCCGTCGGCCTCGCTGCAATCCAACTCGCTGTCGCATCCGGTCTCCGCGTCATCGCGACATGCTCTCCGGCTAATTTCGAATTGGTGAAGAGCGTGGGTGCGAAAGAGGTGTTTGACTATAGGTCTGCGTCTGTGGTGGACGATATCGTGGCTTCACTCCAGCAACCCGACACCGAATTCGCCGGTGTTTACGACGCTATCTCCGAATCTTCTAGCTTCAGTATGGTCAAGTCTATTGTGGAAATCCTCCAAAGCAAGGCGCCCATAGCAGTTGTTATGCCGTGTGCAGCGGATATGGCATCAGAGTGGTACAACCCACAGTTCCTCATGGGGTTCCAAATCTTGGCTCCACCGCATCAGCATATTGGGGAATACATTTTTGGCGAGTTTCTCCCTGAAGCACTTGAGAAGGGGGTAATACAGGCTAAACCTGATGCTGAGGTTGTGGGGAAAGGGCTGGAGAGCATGCAGCATGGTGTAGATGTGTTGAAGAAGGGAGTCAGTGCGAAGAAGATTGTTGTGGAATTGTGAGGGGAATGTTGGATTGGAGTTTAGCTTGAGTAGGGGACAAGGGACGTGTTTGGGTGGTGCTCGCAGTAACCATAGAACAAGACAATAAAATCACCTTGCATGAGAGTGCCTGTTCTTCAGCGAATTACCATACAACATATAACCAGATTGTCTTACCTGTTCTACCACCTGCCATAGTTCCTGAAAAGATTGGACTTTCGCGGCTGTTTACTGAAACAATACGTGTCGAGTTGAGGTTTATGGTACCGATATTCAAAACCACGGTATCAAGAAGCAAGGGCATTGCAGCACCACATTAGGAACTAAACATGACCTGTTCACTCTTAGATTGAGTATAAATTGAACCAGATGCGGAACCAAACATTACGAAGCACCGTGATGCGAAAAGACAAGTGATTGGACTGCGTTCATTGATAGCTTTTCTATAAACGACTGCCGAATCCTCATTGCGCATCTTCTACGACTCGGAATTATAACAGCAAGGCTCAGGCCGCCCGTGGTACCATGTAAATTGTTGCACCCAATGCACTGACAACCATGGCAAGACCGATGATGACGACAGGGTCCTCGATAGTCTGGTTCGGAAAGCGACAAGTACACCGCCGATTGGCTGTTGTTCCAAAAGCTGCTCGACCTCTGGACCCAGGAACAGTAGAGAAGAAATTGCTCAGGGTACAAAGGCGCGACGCTTCGATATCCGCAGATATGAACCGCAGGTGAGCCGTGCAAACCGTGGTAGAGAACCAAGCGCAGAATCAAGACCGACGAAACAAGTCGTGAAAACCGTGGAACGGACCTGCACAGATGTTTTTTCGGGATCAGCCTGCGCATCTCGCACTTGACTGGTAAGGTGGGGAAAAAACTGCTGTGCAATAGATAAAAGCCCGCACACCCTCATCTAACGTCCACTCTGATGTAGTATCTTCTTGGTTAGTCATCAACGAAGGAGGGGGTATACGTACGTAGACCCTCCTCTTTCTCAGAATCCGGATCTCATCATGGTGGACTCGAATCATTGGGAGGCCAACCCTACCTTTGCAGTTCATCCTTGTTTCCCTTCATCCAGAACCCTGGCAACCCCATTGTGTATCGGCTCTTCGGTCGACGCACTGTGACGGATGCTTGAGGACGCTGGAGTTGGGGGATAGGCGACCGAACGCAAGGGAAGGCGACCTGCTGGTGTCGAATCATCGAGGAAGGTTTATCGGCTAGTGATGACACTTGCTCGGGCAGCTAGACTTTCGAAAGAGGGTATATAGCTGACGAAGCTCTGAAGCCGTATGAACAGTGGAGATGGAGAAAGTATCAAAAGAGTTGTTGGACAGGCATCGAATGATTGTAAGGTACTCAAGAAGCATGTAGAAGTAAGGGGTCGGGGAAAGCGAAGCTGAAAGTGGTGTTAGAGAGTGATGGAGGAGAACACGAGCTGTTTAAGTAGGCTTCTCAATTCACTTGCTCTTGCTCTTGTTACTATGGTCTTGCTACTCTCTCGGTGTAAACAGCATCTCCTCCTGGGCATCAGGAAAGCGCAGGTAAAAAAAGACGGAAGTCTAAATGGATCATTGGGTAAGAACGCTCTGGAAGTTCCTTCTGTACTGTCAACATTCGATTCTGCACCAGGCGCTAAACACCAGACACGAAAGAGTGCGACGGTTTGAATTTTTCCGAGAGTGCCATCACTACGTAGCTATCTGAACAAGGTGGTAAGAGCTCTTAGCTCATCACGACACCTACCCTCCAGGACGATCGCACTCAGAAGGAGCAGGAGACTACCAATGTTAAAGCAAGCCCAACTCTCTACATTGTTCATCATCTCACCCACCAACCTACAATCAAGGACGCACTGGTATCGTGTGTCCTGCGGCTGGCTCAAGACTGGCTCCAGTAATCTCGGTCACAAAAAGTGAGTCAGGCACATGTGATGAGAATGGCACAGAACGAAGAGTAATAGAGTATGATGGCATTTACTGGACATGATATAAACCTACAATCCGCTCCTGTAAAACTCCAGCTAATGCTACAAGACGTTGCTAAAGACCGTAACGAATAAAACAAATGCAGTCATTTCGACCAATCTATTACAACGTATATTGTTGCCCTTTCGCAGCGCAGTGAGAATAAATGGTATCGTGGTGATCAAAAAAAAAAGGCGCCGGGTTGTGTGTGTATCTTCATCATCCAGTTGTCCTCCCTTTTTAAAAAACGCCATGGGGAAAAAAACGCAAAAGAATAATTGATGAGGAGTTGTTATTGAGGAAGAGATTGATGTGCGGCGTGCGCATCTTGGCCTGATTCAAGCGGCTCGCCAGTCCTCATGCTTGTAGGGACGGAGGCTTCCTGCTCGGAATTTGAAGCCACCTGTCGTGATTGTTGTGTCTGTGTTTGTGGTACTGAAGCAGGCGACAATACGCTTCCATCGGTGGAAGAGCGTTGTACTTCA